CACGACAGGGGACACCAAAAATGGGCTTCACACATTGTATCCATGTGGGGAATCGAACCCGGGCCTTCAGCGTGATGAGCAATCTCTTATACCACTCGGCATACCCACCTACATTTAAAATGTCAGTGTTTATATAAATTGATGATAAGTAAAAATGAGGTTAATAAACGTGGTATACAAAAGGGAATTTGTATTTATGTCCTACACAATGTTCTTGATACAAAAGTGAACAAAATTTCAATGAAACAAAGCATTAACAAACAACAAATTACTTTTTCAAAACTAAGGTCAGGCTCAAACTTAGAAATGAAATCAAGCAAAAAATGAAAAAAAAAGACCAAAATGCTATTTCAATTCATTTGGATGAAAAATTGTTTCCACTCAAACAGGGTGAAATTGATTGTGTTGATGTTGTGTTGATGTTGTGTACAGTACATGATACAAGCCTATCTGAGTCCTTAAACCACTGGTATCTAACGCCTATCGGAGACATCACCCAGTTGGTCATACTCTCTGAACTTTGTACCCATCTGAAACACAGCTTGCCCGTCACATGCAGCTATCAATGACCGACTTCTGCCTGCATGTCTAGTTCACTCTTTGTTTACAATGTCATCAACACATGTGACAATCCTTACACTGTACATCTGTATCAACGCTTGCCTCACTCTTGACATGGCAGATACTGAGTGAGTGAGTGAGTTTGGTTTTACGCCCCTTTTAGCAATATTCCAGCAATATCACGTGGGGGACACCAGAAATGGGCTTCACACATTGTACCCATGTCGGGATTCGAACCCGGGTCTTCGGCGTGACGTGCGAACGCTTTAACCACTAGGCTACCCGACCGCCCCTGGCAGATACTGAGTCTTGTTCCACATACTAAATGTAGTATTTTATTATGAGGTACCACAGCCCAGCGTGTGACAGATGAACATGTTTTATTCCTGAATTTTGCATAACAAAATGATTTAAGATCTGAAATTGAGAATATTTTAATTTGAAATTGAAATACTGCTTATAAACTGAGATGTTTTCCCGAAATTTTCATTTATAAAATACTTTGGTTTCATTAACCTAACATTTCAAGTTTTGTAATCATGGTAATCTGAAATTGAAAAACTGGGTATTAACTTTTTTCCTGCTTTTCTGATGTATTGATTGACATGGTAGAGCCCTGTGTTATTATTGCCGGAGAATGGACCTTTGAAGTCACTATGATATAAAGGTGGTAAAAATGAACAAACTGCAAGCACTGCAGTCTAAGATATAGGGTGTCCTTGGCTCCTCATGGAGCTACAGATTTGGCAGATTGAGACGTTTTCCCCCAACCCGACGGTGAGACAAGCATGAGGTTATTGGGCCAGCGAGTATGATTTTACGTCCATGTGGGGAATAGAACCCAGGCCTTCGACGTGATGAGCGAATGCTTTAACCACTAGGCTTCCCCACCGACCCTTAGGCTACTGTTCTGACAAGAAAGAGGGGGAAAGAATTTTAGGAAAATTATAAATTTTTAAACTTATCTGGATTGTGTACTTGTTTAAGTGTGGTTTCAGTTTCAGGTTAAAAGCCTCTCTGCCAGTCTGTGATTTATCAGGCTTGACATATTACAATGTTAACTGCCTTTAGTGCAGGGCTAACAGTTTCCGTGTAAATACAAATGCAATCTCATTAAAATCAGATCTTAGTTCTTGCTATCGCTAAACCGGTCACGTCAGAACGACCTTTCATCCAACCAATCAGAGCGTCGCTTACCAGATCATGACAGTGAAAGGCGGAATGTGTTTTCTGATCATGCAACCTCGAAATATTTAACAGAGGGTATTCTGAAATACAGTTACAGGTTTTATGATTATATACATACAATCTAGGCCATCTGTAAGCCATTCCAGAATGTTCTTTTTAACAGTTTTAAATTTTTTAACCGGGAATACATCAAAATATGTTTCGAAGCGTAGTCGCCAGTTTGAAACTAGTGTCGTAAAGCTGCCTTCTGATTGGCTAAGGCGATTTCTTGTCAGTCATTTCATTGATCGGTCAAAGTTCACGAGAGGTCGTTCTGACGTGACCCCTAATGGGATGTCCTCAGATCTTTGTCTAGCGGTAGCGAAAACTGAGATCTGATTTTAATGAGATTGATATAAATGGGATATCTTAAAAGTGCCCCAAACCTTAACGACATAGTTAAAGTATAAAAAGATAGGAAGGCATGAACAGGAGTATTATCAATTAAGTAAACAGATGACAGGGTTATCCAAATATAAAATCAATACATGAAACAGCTATTTCTATGAGAATACAATACCCAGGATATAGTGATACATTTTTGACAGCTGTTGGGCTATGTCAGGTGACAGTGACACTGCAACACTGGACAACAGTTAATATCCCGGCCACATGTCACAGCGACTGACTCCCTTTCACAACTACCTACCACAGCGGAGGGAAACTCAATGCTTTTCATTAACAAGATTCATCTTCTATGTAGTTGAGCAGGTTTAATGACTGTTTCATATTACAGGGTATGAAACTCCCAAAAATTTCAGCCAGACCACAGGACTGGCTAGCTGAAATACTTGCCAGCCCTGACCAAAACCTGCCTGCCCACTATAATCATATGTTTCTCAGGATAAGCTAACGGGATTTCTTTTTGGTTACATTTTATCATTCATCTTTAAATGTGAATTAATGATTATCATCGGGAAATATTTAGAATATTTTCACATATGAAAAATAACCCGACCGTCGGGCAGGGGGATTTCAAAATCTGGCAGCCCGAGTTGAAACCAACCCGTCTCGGACGGTCGGGCAGGCAGGTATTTCGAACACTGCATATTACATTCATTATTTGTTCGTTTATAGGTTGCAATAGTTCAGCTATATGACGGTGGTTATTACACTTATAACAACAGATGAGACACACATACAACGCTCGATTTACATGTGGATATCAACCAAGAGAGAGATTAATTAAGAGTGCCACTAGATCATAGGATGGTTGGTTGGTTTGTTGTTTAAAGCTGCACTCAGCAATATTCCAGCTATATGACGGCAGTCTGTAAATAATCGAGTCTGGACCAGACAATCCAGTGATTGACATCATGAGCATCGATCCAAGCAATTGGATGACATGCATCAACCAAGTCAGCAAACCTGACCACCCGATCCCGTCAGTCGCCTCTTACGACAAGCATAGTCGCCTTTTACGGCAAGCATGGGTTGATGAAGACCTATTCTACCCCGGATCTTCATGGGTAAGAGTCATAGGTACTGGCATAGACACAAATACCAGCCAAAGCTGAGAGTATGTTTTGCGCAGTAATACCTTGGTCTTGACATCTCAATAAATTTAGGTGAGGTCAAATGGGGTTTTACATTGTGTTCAAGATTTTTGCACTTATATAGTGTCATGCATGCATGTGTCTGTGTGGCTTCTTGTACAAGTCCAGACGATGAATATCCCCCTGGGACACAACATACTGACTCTGAGCCGAACAGTCCTTGTTTTAGCCCCTTAGTGCTGAGCGCCAGACAGGGTAACAAGTACCGTCTTTTGGTATGACGCGGCCGGGAATCGAACCCCCAACCTCCTGCTCTTCAGGCAGACGCTCTACCGCTAGACCATGGAGGCGGTCTCAATAACTGAAACCTCTACCATACTTCAAGCAAAGCCAAGTGTAACACTTATGATATAATATAGTCATAAATCATAGTAGTAAATCGGCCTACATAAATATGCTTTCCAAAACATGGTCTGCATTGTGATTCAAATATACTGAACAAAACAAGTTTGGGATTATGAATATTTTTTAGGGTATTTTTTTATAAATTGTGTGCTCAGTCTTCCCAACAACAAAATATCCCGAGAAATATTCATGATCCTAACTTGTTTTGTTCAGTATAGTTTAAAACATGAGCATTAGTCTTAGCTAACACGACAAAATATTGAAATACAACATGTCGGGTTTAACATGTTAATGGATATCAAATTACTTGTCTAATATCTGGCTGTTACCATCTGGTGATGTGTTGACCTCTCGCAGACAGTAGACAGGATATTGCGAAACATCGTGTACAATGTGACACTATATTCAGCGAAATAAGCATTCTGAGCACTTGGAAAGGTTTACCAAGGGGGCACAATACACACGATACAAACGTTAAATTTGTTTTCAGAGATTGTGTGGAAGTGAACAAACTTGGTTCAAATGTCAATGAAACAAAAACCTTTTCCACTCTACATGTAGTTACAAGTCAATTATAAACACCTTCTGCACTTTTGCTTTCTGTAAAGTAGGGCTGGGACGAGTTCAAATTTACGACCCGGGTAACTGACCCCCCTATTACCCGACCCGACCCTACCTACCCTACCTACTGCAAGTCTCAAGAGTTGGGAACAAGAAGTCTGATTGGTAATTGTTTTCCAGCAGCCCTGGCTAAAACTATTTAGATACATGTATCAAACAATCAGATCATGCGTTCACTGAAGTTGACTGAAGCTTTATCTTTACTCAAACATATACAAGTCAAAAGGAATGTGTGCATCGTCAGAAAGAAATGCGAGCCTTAGCAACTTGTAGTGTAACCACTGAGCTAAAGAGAGTTTTTATCATTAAACAATACATCATGTGACTAACCACGGGTCCGGGTAGTTCTATGGGTACCCGGGTCCTACTCAGGACCCACCCGATCCGAGGTCCCAAGTCACCTATCCCACCCCTACGGAAAAGTCATCTGTATTATACACAAGGAAATATGGACTGCCATTTACATGTTTGGTCTCAGTAGGGCCTTTGTAAGATTACTCACAGATTAGTCTAGAACTTGGTCAGGAGCGCTTTTTGCAAAACTCACTGAATCCAAGCTGACCAATACTTAATTAATCCCGTTAATGCTGGGCGCCATAAGAGAAACAACAAGTACCATGTTTTAAATTATTTCGGTATGGAGGCGATCTAATAACTAATTTGTTATGGCGTAATGGTAAAACTACATACCTTTAACAGAAACTCGCTGTGATAGAATTCCACACTTCTCAGAGATATCAAAATATCGTCTTGGTTTCTTACTTGACAATGGAGAGTGGACTGTTCTAAATGTCCCTTCACTACAAGGCTCAGCGTTCAATGGCCTCAAGTTTCTCTCCCCCCGAGAAATAAGGGGAGGAAAAGGATCAAACAATGCATGAACCTGTGCGTGTATCGTGAAATTCTCCTCTTTGGCAACATTCAAATCACAATGAGGATCTTCTGTAGCCCTAAGGAAATGATTGTCCTTGAACCAGAAGTATTCGTAACCCGGTCGATCAGGAAACTTGTCTGTGAGGTTGGCGTAAAGTCGAATCACTTTTCCAGTTGAAAATGTGTCCCTCTGTCTCTGATACTCCAAGGTTTGGTTTACGTGCACCCTCCCATTTAAATACTCTGAAATGGAAACGGGATGCATAGAATTTTACTTCTGTTGGTTGGTTGGTTTGTTGTTTAACACCGCACTCAGCAATATTCCAGCTATATGACGGCTGTCTGTAAATGATCGAGTCTGGACCAGACAATCCAGTGATTGATATCATGAGCATCGATCCACGCAATTGAGATCGATGACATGCATCAACCAAGTCAGCGAGCCTGACCACCCGATCCTGTTAGTCGCCTTTTACGACAAGCATGGGTTGCTGAAGACCTATCCTACCCCGGAAACTTCACATGTCACTTTACTTCTGTTTAATGTTTCAATGTCCTGATTATTGAAGAACTGAATTCAATATGTTTTGTATTTATGGAAATAGAAACATAAAAACCAGAGTGCACATTGTGTAAATCCACAAAAAGAGGATATCAGATTTATAAGGGATCGGTCATTTATTATTATGACCATAAAGAAAGGGGGCACAAAGATAAAGTGGCAGTGAAACGGGGAGGAGGGGGGGTGATCCAAATTAATCCAAAGTAATCAAAAACAAACAAAATGTCTCAAACCTGTCAGAGCAAACTCCATACTGCCAAAATTAATCATGTCAGAATATTCCTTCCCACCATACACAGCCACTGTCATAACCCATCGTCCTGACTTTGTGCTATCGCTGCGGAATTGACGATTGTAGGACGCGACAAAGTCCCCTTTCGTTGAGTGGAAGTTCTTATCAGCATTGTTGTTCCAGTCGTAGCGGAACAGTTTTGATTGGGCGATCTTCCCTTGGTGATCTAGAAGACTGGCAGTGAAGGTCAGCTGTGCATCTAGTACGACCGGGCCATCATTGGTCAGTACCAAGGTGTAGTTGACTGCAAATGTATAACACATTGGAATGTAGGCCGCATTGTTTTAAATTGGATTTGAAATATTCTAAAATTTCAGCCACCACTTTGATCATAATAATTAGGAGATAAACATGCTGTGTTTTCAATATAGACGTAGGTTGCCTGTATATTTAACGTCAATAAATTATGTTTGGAACTGAAACCAGTATGTACTCCATTCTATCATGATTAAATAATATGTGTACTCTTTGGCGTTAGCAAATATGTAGTGTGAAGCATCATGGATGTTGGACACAACCCATGAGCAACCATATCAACAAAAACTAAAAATGAAGTAGTATTATATGTTCGGACATCAAAATTGGCTGTTTCAATCAAAGAGGTTTATTGTGATTTGATAACCTCCGATTGACCAATCAAAATCAAGTAATTTCTAAATTCAAGGTAGAATTTTTAACATTCGGGGCTCAAACTTAGAGTAGCAGAATACAATGTAAATATGTGTAAATGTAGTGATAATCTGTAAATCTGTGACTTCTTTAGTAGTATTTTTATCATATCCCACCAGAACAAGTGCTTCTCCCTATTCATATGTGACAGTTTACGAACAGCGCTTCATGTGAAGATATTTTCATCACCTTGGGCTCGGTTCATGTGGATACAAAACTTTTGTAGCATATCACACTTGAAATTACTAACTGAATCTTCATTCCTGTCAATGAATGGTGTGGGTGGTATGTGTCGGCAAAATATGATACAGGCCTATTCAGGGACGTGAATCTCCGCGATCGATGACAGTAATTAAATGTGAATGATCAACAACACTGACCCGTCCTGGCAGTTATTAGAACTTTGATGATGCAGCGTTAGAAACTGGCACTAGTCCTGTAGACCTTACCAAACTGCCCAATAGTAAAGGTATACTAAGCATGCTAAGGACTAGTAGAAATTGGCCCATTTTAAGGGTTTTGCTATATGTTATCATTATAAGGACTAGTTGACAAAACTGTTAGTTTCTAACCCTGAATGATGTATTTTACTTATTACATTTCATAAATCATATTAATGTATACTGAATAGCAACCAGTTATTGTCGAGGACCAATTATTGCCAGTTTTGCTTGTTTTGATTACAATAGATTATCCGAAAATGATAAACAAAACCCACACATGTGATGAAATATTAACAAACACACCATTTCATCTTGCTCAAATAAAGTTCAGCAAAAAAATATATAAGGGGATACAAAACAAACTCCAAGAAGTGAAACTGCTGAGATACGAATCTACCAGGAAATGAAATGACATGAAACCTCACACATGGCGTATATAATAGATAAAAATACGGAGAAGTAACCTACACAGAGGACTATATCAGAATTTAACTATTACATGTCATTCTTTACATTAAAGCAAGATGGGTACTTTTGGTGTACAATCACATAGAAGCACATCTCCGTATCAACCACATATTTACGTCATGCACTGTACTTGATAGACTAACATTTAGTCTCTGAAATCTTATATTACACAATATCCTTCTTGACTCTAAAAATATATAAAAAAATCCCTATGCTGTGGAATAGAGCTAGCTTGAACTGGCTAAACTTGCTTTTGTATGCATTTCTAGATTATTTTGTTTCATAAAATAAATATATTCCACGGTCATGGTGCAGGACTATGTAGATCTACTTGATATCTTCAGGTTTTACTGTAACAACAGAGCTAACATTATCTAAGGATATTTCATCTACAATCTTAACTGAATGTCTGAAATATCAACAAATACTGACACATATGATCTGGCGTTTATTTAGGACCACGTGGACAGGGTTAATCTAGACCTGCTATCCTATTCAACTAAAAGTCTGTCGCAAACATCATTAAAAATTTGTCAATTGGAATTATAAATTTCCCAAATTTATGTAATAAAAAATAACTAATGTCATGGCTTTGCAGAGGTATAACCGGTATTTCACTGATAAAAGGACAAACATTCATGATAAAGAGGAAGCTGTTTTGATGCTTAGTTTTATATTATTGCATTGAACGCAGTCTCCCAATACAGTGAATACATGACACTTTTTATGGATAGGAACTTCTTTTATTCTTCGTCACGACGTTTCAGACCTACTTCTTGCTCCTTCACCTGATGAAGGATGAAGAAGTGGCTATAAAACGTTGTGACAAAGAATAAAAGAAATTTCTATCTATTAAGTGTCATGTATTCATGTTCTTCCAACTTCTAAATGCCTATCAAAGACTCCAAATACAATGTAAAAATACCATGTTTTACTATTTGTTGCCCAAAATGACTACCGGGGGTATTTAGTCCTGAGCCCTAGATAAATCCCAGGTGGAGTTAGACACTGAAATCATTCAAGGCACTAAACGAGGATTTGGGGACCAAGACAAGGGCTCTAATTCAATTTTGTCACTCACTTCTCTCGGCTGGGGCTACTGTGACCGGTGTCACGTTGGAGTGCGGGCTTGTGTGAATTGCGGCGGGTGTAATAAGACCAAGGCCCGGCCCTGTCCATAGCACTACCACCACCGTCATCGCACCGGCAAACATCCAAACACTCATCTTTGAGACAGTAGACCTTGAATATCCACACTGTCACTGTCACTGTAGCGTGAGCAACTAATACCAAGTTCTGCTACGCCTGGTTACATAAATTCCCATCCAATGTTCTCCAGTTCATTGCTTTGAGAATGGTACTAATGCTGCGCATCAGATAACAGAGTTCCTTCCTTGTCTTGTTGACACTTTGAACACCGTACATACGGAAACAAAATGACGTCCTTACACATGCAACTCACTCCCCTTTCAACGAAGTTGTAACATGAATGAAGTCACGTGTGTTATGGCTATGGCGGTGTAAGTATGAATTGTTCCCTGTGTAATATGACCAACCTGTGGTCGTTGTTATGTCTCATATATATATTTTTTAAATCACAATTTCTCTGTTAGGTTAACAATATTTTAAGATTACTGGTGGTGGTGAGGGGGAGGTGCAGTCCAGGGAATGTCTTTACAAACTGAAACTGAAAATCTATGCTTCTCCGTGTCTTGTTTAGATATACTTTCTTAAAAGTTTTTGAGTATTCACGGGAACAGAAAAAAAGGGAAGAGAACAACAACAGTTTACATCACTGTTTGTATCAAAGGATATTATTATTGTCTTACGCCGTAACAAACCAGCAATATCACGGCAAGGGACACCAGAAATGGGCTTCACACATTGTACCCATGTGGGGAAACGAACCCGGGTCCTCGGCGCGACGAGCGAACGCTTTAACCACTAGGCTACCCCACATTGTATGTGAAGAATTTCACTCCCCGAACATAGCTAGGTTACGTAATAAGGATATTCATTGTTTGAAATCACTATTTTCAAATGAAGACACATATATATCATTCATGCCAGGAACATCGTGGTGAATTAATGTAAATGCGCATGTGCTACACATGTCTGTGTTATATGCTTGTAACTGATTATTGATCATGAAACAGTATGTACAGTAAAACTGATTATAAACTCACTGCCACGTTTGCCTATTGTAAAGAGATATCTTTCTATCTCGTGACAGCTTCTTGGGAGGTTTTACCTTTCCAGGGTGTGAGGTCTTACTGTTTCCTAGTTTTCCTTGTTTCTTCTCACGCTTTGGTCGCATTGCTTTTACACCGCCGCACACTGTAATGTTTCACTATGAGATATCTCGATGTTTTGTTTTTAAAAATATTTTTTTTATTTCTTGCATTTAGACGGTTTATAAGTGAGGCAAAGCACTCCGAGGTTATGGTCAAGGTTGGTTGGTTGGTTTGTTGTTTAACGCCGCACTCAGCAATATTCCAGCTATATGACGGCGGTCTGTAAATAATCGAGTCTGGACCAGACAATCCAGTGATTAATATCATGAGCATCGATCCACGCAATTGGGATCGATGACATGCATCAACCAAGTCAGCGAGCCTGACCACCTGATCCCGTTAGTCGCCTTTTACGACAAGCATAGTCGCCTTTTACGGCAAGCATGGGTTGCTGAAGATCTATTCTACCCCGGATCTTCACGGGTCTATGGTCAAGGAAGTAATACCTCGGCAATCGGGTATCAGCAATGTAAGCTTCGCTCCTCCGTCTTACATTGCCGATACCCTCTCGCCTCGGTCTTCCTTTCTCGACCATAACCTCATAGATGTGCTTAATCCTTCACAATTTCAATATTCTCAGAAGTGATTGTTTTTCGCTCGGTGGCGTTTAGCTCCAACCCGTTTTCCAAGTAAAATGACAACGTTATTCATTTCCATATCTTCTCAAAGGGATATATAAATGTAAAATGTTTCCTGACACCAACATTTATTCGTATTATAAATCATGTACAAATTAAAACAAAAGACCCGAATATATATCTAACAAGTTATACGATGGCGTGTTTTCCAAGCAGGCAATGTCTCCCCAAGGCGACTCTGTGTGTTCTGGTCACATCCACTTGGTTCAACATTCCCACAGCTTATCACAACTGAATGGGTGCGGAGGTTATGTAATATTAGTCGACATTACGTTCTTGTGAATTCGTGTTGATCAATATTATGATACTAAACTACCAACAGAGACCGATTCATACATGGAAGATTTAGAGGAACCTGTTTGGTATGTCGTGACAAACAACTTAAAGGGCAAGTATACACGAAAATGAACCTATTTTTCTTGTACTTTTTCATCATGAAAAGTATTTACCTAGTAGTTTCGGAGGCAAAACAATTAAAATATCACACGTATCAAATTTATTTTATTCATAAAATCGGTTCATATTTTTCACATTTACAGAGTGTTCTATTTCCATAATAAACACACCATGGCTTATGCCCCTTGCAATATGACGTCATTGGTGCCAATTGATAAAGGAATGACGTCATAAGACTTTATTAGACGCGTTTCACGTGGTGTATGTAGGTGTGTGGTTCTATCTTCTCAGATGCGCAGCCTAGCTATTGTTTTGTTCGGTGCCGAGCTGTCCAAGATACAACGCTAAGCACAATTACTCTAAAATTATTTCGTTTTCCAAAATCGCGACTGTGAAGACAACAATGCACTGATAACATACTGTAAGATTCGCGATTATGGTTGGAAGGGTCCGTTGTATGAATTGCGCTTATTCGTTCATTTGTGTTGCGCATATTGGCTCTTGCTGAGTTGCTGTCGTCTTCCGTGAGAGTTTAGATACCTGCTGGTTCTGAAACCACAGGACCATATGTAACTAATAATAACAATTAAAAAAACTAGCCAAAAAATTATAGAAGAGGCCGAAGGCCGTTTTTGTTACTATTATTAGTTACATCTGGTCCTGTGCTGAAACTGATCGGAAGCGGATGGTGTACGATCCTTATATGGAAACGGGCCAAAGGGACAGCACTCTCATCAAAACCCTGACTGGGATGTTTTTGTAAACAAACGCCGTAAAGTTGAAGTAACTCGATCAGGTAAGTTTGCTGTGTTAGTTTATTCTAACCACAGTAGTATTTAAGTAATGTATTTTAGCAGGGGTAGGGTGATATTTGTTTCACTTGACAATCATGAACATCCGCGATGTTGTCTCGTTCACATGTTCACTTCCTGCATGGTTATGTCGATACCCCTGATCAGCTGATCGTTGCAGTATGCAGCAATTTAAACTCCTGTTGATGGAGTAAGTTGTATTACGTAATGTTTTAGTTTTACAGCCATTCCCGTCTGGAATTAACACAGATCATCTCATTTCGGTAATTAATAAACTTTATAATAACACAGGAAAACAAATTATAAATTATATAAACTCATTGAAATTCTGTGTGTGTTTGTGTGTGTACCTAATCTTTAAATAATCATGTACAATAATTTTGATTCAGACTGTTGAAGCAAAAATCCGCAAAATTACATTGTTGCAACATGTTTATTTTTTATATTGAGGCTTTATATATTTTTTATTTAAAAAGATATCTGGTTTTGCAGGTTTGTAGCTGACAAAATATCCAGTCACTATCCAAAATCATTGCCCACCTACCACCTAAAATATTCAAATTTCATGTTCAATGCAATTTACACACATATACAATTTATAGCACATTTATACATGAAAAAAATCAAGTTACCATTTTATATTTTGTGATAGTGCGATATAGATGACAAAAGTGTTAATGTTTCTATGTTGTATCTTTCAAATATGAAGTTTCGAGCCAAGTCATGCCAGACACCAATGCCCAGAAAGTACAGGTCCCCAGTCCATCATGGTGTAAAGTCGCTGTCCAATGTACACAAGAAGCATGGCACACCGTGCTTCACAGTATGAGGTACAAAATAATATTTTGACAATGAATAATCACACAATGTAAATACTATATGCAAATAATTTCTGTATTGAACTATTTTGTGTATCTATTATATTCTATATTGTTGTCTTTTGTAAAAGTGTAGTGTGGATGACAAATGAAAGTATACTGTGAATGACATATAACAGGTTAGATCTGATACAATTTGTACACAGTTAACTGATGATATTTGTCTTCAGGCACCCAGTGACATGCCTGACACTGCTGAAGATTATTACCACCTTCTTTTACAATTATTTAGTCAGTGTACATATTATTTTGACAAATTTATGTTTAAATTATTTTTATATTTTTCAGGTCCCACAATGATATTGAAGAGTATAAATGCGACAAAACCCTTTCCATATTCATATGAAATCTCTGTAAAAACAGTTGATGGTACGATTCTGACTAAATCCTGAGCAAGTGTTAATGAATCGCTATCAAATAGTGATAATACCAGGTGTTCGCGAAAGGTGAGAGTATCCTGCCCAACCAGACCACAAGGAATCCCTGGTGTTGAGATCCATTTTCATTGAGTGCAAATTGTGTTTATTTTCATGCAGAGTTACAAGTCATAAAATATTAGAGTGTCTTGTGAGGTACAGTGCTTCAGACAACAAGAGAGCTGTACTTTTGAAATAGTCAACCAGTGCACTAACAAGTTGCCACTGAGCATTTAGCCAGTGCTTGTGATATTTTCTTCAGTCTTTTCCCCGGCCCTCGCCCTTGCCCAAAACTACCTGATCCAGCATCAGCCATCCTGTATTACAGAAACTTATCAAATGAAGCAGCAAAGGCTGATTGTTGTCAGAGACCATAAAACAAGATTTCAATGAAAAAAGTTTATTTTAATGAGCATAGAGAAAAACATTACATACATCAGATGGAAATCTTTCATGAATCACCTCGACAACACAAGATGGAATAACTTTTCTCTGATTCTTCAACTATTTCTGCAAATCCCCAAAGTGAACCTCTTGTTTATGAGTTGTAGATAGATTCTGAAATGAAAAAGTGTCTTTTATAAGTCAAGCTATGCACAACATTACAAAAAGATATCATACCATTTACATATATATTTTTGTCATTAAATCTGGAGGGATGCTTATATAAGAAGTAACTTGTATTGATGATATATGCATAATTTTTATTACATGTTAATAATTCAATAAATACCAAAACAGTTTATAGTTCTATCATGTTGACATGATGTGTTTATTACTGTAGGTTTGAATACTTCTTGAAATATTGTGGGCATGTTTCAATATCACTGATGTAATTTAATAACCTTACAAGTTACATATGCTTTCACAACTTGCTGGCAAATAAACATTTATGGTACTCAAATCTCTTATTTTACTTGTCAGATTTGTTTGTTGTGCATGAGAGATCTTAAAATGCATAATAAAATAAATTGATGAAAGTAAATCATATTATATGTTTTCTAAACTTTATTTCAAGTGTTAATATAAAAAAGGGTTGTGGGGTAGCCTTGTGGTGAAAGCGTTCGATCATCACACTGAAGACCCAAGTTTGATTCCCCACATGGGCACAACATGTGAAGCCCTTTTCGTTGTGATATTGCTGGAATATTGCTAAAAGCGGGGTAAAACCCTACTCACTCACTCATATAAAAAAATGATTGCATATTTCATTTGCATTTTAGGGGGTGGTTGTTACAGATGTTTTGCTCAAAAGGTCAGGTTGGGAGGTCCAAATTTCCAAACAAAGATTTACAATTTCAAATATTTTTCACTAATATTCAACAAGTTTTACTTATGGTTTCTTAGATAATTTATATGTATTTTTTGTGACAGTAAATGAGCTTTTTGTAAACATTTTACATATATCTGGTCCACTCAGTTAAACAACCCACTGTTTTTAATAATTAATTATATATTAGATATTTCTTCTTATTTATAGTTTCTAAACATTTTTTTAAAAAATCTGGCCCCATAATAGATGATAAATAGTTTCTCTGCAAAGTTGCAATGCATTTTCTATGAATGGTTGTCAGAACAAACCAATAACCAATTATCTATTAAATAGAATAAGATAATGTAGGCCTACTGCAGTAACTGGTTTCAAACACTAAACAAATCAATTGAGTGATCTATCTTTTCACTTTCAAATGGGGACGGTGTGAAGTGTGAAGTACGACATCCAATTATTTATCAATAAATATGGCAGGTATTTTGAACTCGGATGGGAAAAAATCAAAGAGAATATCTTTTTCCCCCAGTACGTTACCACTCGGCAACCGACTTTAGAAACGTACTGGGACGTACCCCATTTTCGTGTTACTCTAAGCATATGGTCTCGTCATCAGCTATTGTGTAATCTTGTTGAGACAACGTTTGGCGACAGATCGTATTTGTTTCTTGATATTGGCAAGTAGCATTGATCTGTAGCCTATAGGTGGTGGGAATAGTTACACCCAATACAGACAAACTCAGATTGACGACAATGCCGATACCGGCGATAGGGTCGTAACAGGGTGGGACAGGATGAATAGGCCTGCTGACGAAGCATGCGGGTCACCAGGCGTGACAAAAATCTCTTAGAATATGACATTTCCGCTTCTAAAAACGTAATAATGAGCATATAGGTAATTTAGGTATACACACATCAAAGTGTTATTCTTACCACGTTGTCACTGGTAGGCCTAATTGTGTAGATGTGGAGTCGATGTCGGGTGACAAATTAGGTGATGTGGGTCTTCTCTTGTTTCCACTTGATTTTCATCGTTTCCATACCGCGAAGCTTGCTCGTTTTGGTTCAAAATCGTATGGTTTTGCGATTTCTTGAAGGGTCAAGGGAACTTCTTCGGACCAGGCAAGGTATCGGATGCCATGTTGTCTCACCATAAACTGGTTCTTGATATCTTTTGCGTTGTGACAAGACAGGGACCCAGTTAAATTGGCACCAATTACGTCATAATCTAAGGGGGATAACTCAGGCCTGTTTAGCTCGGAAAACGAGGCCTCATAACGGCATGACATTTTCACTCTTATTGTGAGCTCGCTACATTGACTGTGAGAAAAATGAGTGTATATTTTCAAACACTGATACTAACTAATTCTAAAATTCCGTTTTGTTTAAAATAAGAAAGAAAGTGATTTTTGCGTGTACACTTCCCCTTTAACAAGACTTTGTAACCTCCAGTGACGTCATCCGATTGTTCTCCAGGCAGGTTAAATCTCAGAAACAGGGATGTTATAATATGCCGGGGATTTTATAATTACAACTTCCGTTCTTATTGTAACATATTAATGTTTCTCGCTAGAAATTTATTTTGCATTTGAACACAATGTAATGAAATGGAAAATCAAATGACAAATGTTTTCTTATTATTCCCGCGGATCGAACATGCAACCTTCGCATATTTAGCCCAGTGACTGTGCCACTAGCCTACAGACGCGCTGATACATCACAATGATGCTAAGAACGTCTTTTTTCAAGAACTCGTACGCCAGCAACAACTTTACGCCCGTTTTCTAAGGTTTATCCCTTGGATTTGTGTTTTAATGTCATCTAATAACCCTGCATCTGGTGTAATTCTTTGTTTCGTTATCTTGCTTAAAGGCCGAATAAAGGGGAAAACAAATCATTGCAGTCATTGTAGGACGTTAATTTAAAACAAAGCTGCTTTATTTTTTTTTATGTCATAATTTCCTGGAGGTTTATTCAAGTCAAACTGTGTTTTTATATTTATGTAGACCCTGCTCTATCGGAACCTGTATGCAAATGATATTTTTTTTAACTATAAGAAAATTATCTTTTGACTTTCTGCAAAATGTATTTCATGAACATTTAAAGACGTTCGCGAATCAGAAATAAATTATATCCGGGTCCGAATTTTCGATAGTGATAACATACTGAACACCGTGAAGCGTTTTATCGTCACCACTCGCCCCTTTCCGACACCTGCATGAAGATCCGGCTTGTCCCGGATTAACACGAGTTGGTCACGAATGACAAGAAGTTGGACATTCGTAACCACTCGCCACTTTCCGGAACCTGCTTGTCCCGGAATAACACGAGTGTCACGAAAGAATTTACAGAGCTCACAGACTGATAATATTACTGCATCTGTTTTCAGAAGACATCTGAAGACTTTGACAGCTGTGGGAGAAACTACGAAATGGATGAAACTGCGAAACGAGCTGTGATTAAGTATCTGCATAAAAAGGGCATGACAACAAATGAAATACACGAAGATATGAGCAGCACCCTTGGTGCAAACTGTCCTTCTTATTCAACTGTGGAGGAATGTGTTGCTGAACTGAAGCAAAGCAGCAGTGGCAGCGCAGACGGTCAGAATTCGGATCATCCTGAAGATGCCACGTCTGAAACTAAACTGGAGCCTGTCCACAATGACTGACTATATCGCAAGGACTACATGTTGGAACTGGTTGTTTTTGTGTTATATCCGATGAGATGTTTGTTCATGCTATCAACCACATGTTTGTCACAGACTCCCTGGCATGTACTCACTCACTCATTCTCATACATGATTTTCATGACACATTGCCATCCCATGTACGAAACACCCCAAAAAGTCAATCCAATTATAATACCTGTAGCTATTTTATTTATGCCCTGGTTGTATTGAAATGTTGTGTATGTGTGACAGTGAAATTTGTCATGTGATATGTATGTTGTATGTGCAATAAAAAAATTACACGATCTACACATACTCAAACTTTAAGAAATTTTGTATGTTTTCAGCAATATTGTCTAAAAAATCACATCACAGTTTACACCTGGTATCTACAGAGCCCCGGATGACTTTTTGAGCAATTGAGTTTTTACTCTAGGGTTTCTATTTTAATTGGGTTATTACATTTTTCATTGGGTAAGCAATATCTGTTTTACTCACCTATTCATCACTCTATTGGGTTTTGCCTAAAATTAGTGAACTTTTAAAGATTTAAAAAAAATGAAATAATGTTTTCGATGTATATGGCTGTTCTAAATATATAGGCTTGACTAAATTAGCTCGTAATTGTGTTTTGGAAATAAGCTCCTTTGTACGCTTGCTGGAAAAGCTTCATTGTGTATTTACACATGCTGTTTTTATACATTTGAGTTTTTCATTTAATGCATGCGTTTCTGTATGCAATTGAAAGTAATTGGGTTTTGAACATTTTGGAGGGGTATTTTACGCAAATAAGCTGCTTATCTGTAGCTCTGCATCTAAATCTAGGTCTATATTTTCTGTTAGACCTATGTAGGATCAGGGCTCCCAGATAATTTTTTAAGCAATTGAGTATTTACCACGTTTGCTCACCTGTTATCATTCACTTTGAGTATTTGATAATTGTCTTTGGGTATTGAATATAATGTTCTCCCTTGGATCCAGGGTAGGGGTATTTTTAAACCAACAGTAGACATTTCAAATAAATCTGCTTAAGATAGTATACACAGTATACTTACACTGAGCCGACCAATTCTTGTTTGGCCCCTTAATGCCAAGCGCCAGGCAGGGTAACAACAAGTACCCTCTTTTAATGTCTTTTAATATGACCAACCTACAGGTGGACGCTCTACCACCAGACCATTTAGGTGGTCCTTTGGGTTTCTGAAGCTAACGAGGAATGGTGTCTGCTGATCTATTAGAAGTCCTATCTGGAACCCATCCTGCAGGCACCCGTGAAGATTCGGGGTAGAATAGGTCTTCAGCAACCCATGCTTGCCATAAAAGGTGACTATGCTTGTCGCAAAAGGCGACTAATGGGATCGGCGATCAGGCTCGCTGACTTGGTTGATGCATGTCATCGATCCCAATTGCGTGGATCGATGCTCATGATATCAATCACTGGATTGTCTGGTCCAGACTCGATTATTTACAGACTGCCATTATATAGCTGGAATATTGCTGAGTGCAGCGTTAAACAACCAACCAACCAAACCAACCAACCACTTTTCATGTTGTTTACATTAACTTACAGAAAAACATGTGCATGCTTACCGGTACTTGTCTGGATGAATGCACTGCATAGTGCTAGCCCTCTGAGATACCTTGCCACCATTTAAACATACCAGACTCAGTAATCTGAGTATACCAAGCCAACCAGTCCTTGTCTTATCCCCTCAATGTCGAGCACAAGGCAGGGTAACAACAAGTGCCATAGTTTAACATCATTGGGGGTTGGGAATTGAACCGACCAAATGCTCTCTTGATGATGAAAGAATAAGAATAAGAAAATGAGTGCAATAGGCTGAATTAGTCGTAATTAATGAGGAAATCTAACCATGATCAACTCCATTCCCCAAGATCAATCTTTTACTATATGCTTGCACTGTCGAACATTGCCAACATCTTAGAAAATCAGCTTGGTTCAAAGACTTGCTATGTTCAAATATTTATCCTAAAGCTTCAGGAAAACTAATGTCAGACTTTCCGACACATTATATTCATCATTATCTCTTCATTTAGTGTTGGTAAAAATTCTCATACATCTAATTACCTTCATGATGACAATTAAATATTTTGCACATTTCTAAAATCATGTATAACCTGTGACGTAATTTGTCCTTTTTATTTTGTGTTAGGTGTTCAATGGTGCACTCGTTATCATATGACATATAATAAATAATCAAGACTGGACCAGACAATCCAGTGATTGACATCATGAGAAACGATCTACGAAATTAGGATACGATGACATGCATCATCCAAGTCAGCAAGCCTGACCATCTGATCCCGTTTGTCACCTCTTATGACTTTAATGTTTAAGTGATGTTTCAGGGTTACTTCTGGCCCTTCATTAAGTGAACAAAGGGAAAGAAGAAGCCCAAGTCACCAAGCCTGACCACCCGATCCAGATAGACGACTCTTACGACAAGCATGGGTTGTTGAAGATCCTTAAACCCTCAAAGAAAAGACAAAAGTGATATAAGCATCTCAATATTTTAATACACCGTTTGTGAAGGTGACCTGTACATAATACAAAGCATGATGGTCATTTAATACATAATCATAACATTGTCACTGTACATAATATACAAACTTATCAGCCTGCCATAAACAGTCCAAAGAGTGACTGCAAGTGATGTAGTCTTTGTGGAGATCAACAATACAATTAATAGCGTACATATCAATGCAACATTTAATGAGAATTGTGCTTGATAGTCGTTCAAGTATGTCCATGTTTTGGAAGGTGACTTAAAAGAGTGCCTGATTGGGCTGCTTTTGCTGTAGTCAAACTGGCCTTGGATCGGGGAAATCTGTTGTTAACACTATGAGACTTCCTAGATGTCAATACTAGGACAGGTCATCGAGGAGAGTTGTTCAGTGACCAGTACAAGGAGTTATGATACACAGAGTAGCCAAAAGATCCCTGTTTGTTTGGAACCTGCCCAAGAAGTTCGGAAAGATGACAACGAAACAACAAGGTCACAACTGCCAGGGTACAGTGACACAACCAAACGACCAGGTCACTACTGCCAGTGTATGGTGACACAACCAAATGACCAGGTCACAACTGCCAGGGTACAGTGACACAACCAAACGACCAGGTCACTACTGCCAGTGTATGGTGACACAACCAAACGACCAGGTCACTACTGCCAGGGTACAGTGACACAACCAAACGACCAGGTCACTACTGCCAGTGTATGGTGACACAACCAAATGACCAGGTCACAACTGCCAGGGTACAGTGACACAACCAAACGACCAGGTCACTACTGCCAGTGTATGGTGACACAACCAAACTACCAGGTCACTACTGCCAGGGTACAGTGACACAACCAAACGACCAGGTCACGACTGCCAGGGTACAGTGACACAACCAAACGACCAGGTCACAACTGCCAGAGTATGGTGACACAATCAAATGACCAGGTCACGACTGCCAGGGTCCAGTGACACAACCAAACGACCAGGTCACTACTGCCAGGTTACAGTGACACAACCAAACGACCAGGTCACGACTGCAAGGGTATGGTGACACAACCAAACGACCAGGTCACAACTGCCAGGGTATGGTGACACAACCAAACGACCAGGTCACCACTGCAAGGGTATGGTGACACAACCAAACGATCAGGTCACAACTGCAAGGGTATGGTGACACAACCAAACGACCAGGTCACGACTGCAAGGGTATGGTGACAACCAAACGACCAGGTCACAACTGCCAGTGTATGGTGACAACCACACGACCAGGTCACAACTGCCAGTGTATGGTGACAACCAAACGACCAGGTCACAACTGCCAGTGTATGGTGACAACCAAACGACCAGGTCACGACTGCAAGGGTACAGTGACACAACCAAACGACCAGGTCACGACTGCAAGGGTATGGTGACACAACCAAACGACCAGGTCACAACTGCCAGTGTATGGTGACAACCAAATGACCAGGTCACAACTGCCAGTGTATGGTGACAACCACATGACCAGGTCACAACTACCAGTGTATGGTGACAACCAAACGACCAGGTCACAACTGCCAGTGTATGGTGACAACCAAACAACCAGGTCACAACTGCCAGTGTATGGTGACAACCAAACGACCAGGTCACAACTGCCAGTGTATGGTGACAACCAAACGACCAGGTCACAACTGCCAGTGTATGGTGACAACCACACGACCAGGTCACAACTGCCAGTGTATGGTGACAACCAAACGACCAGGTCACAACTGCCAGTGTATGGTGACACATCAAGCAAGATTCAGTTCAATCAGTGCTCTGCCATTTTGGCCAAATTGTCCCAAATTGTTGGATATTGTGACAAGCATATACATGTGGTTTTGAAGTTGATTAACATAAATCTGTTACTCTGGGAAATAGCTCAACGAGATGAGGGCGTCCTCGGAACAGTGAAATGTAGAAGTCTGTGAATACATTGTAGCATGTGAGGATTGAACCATGGAAAGACTTTGTGGCAGATCCATGGCAGATCATTATACATGAATATGGCCGTTCCATAAATACAACAAATTATGCCTTCATTTTCTAATACATGCACCCTCATTCAGTGCTGTGAAAATGAACAAATTACATAAATTCCATGATAAGTCTACCAACACTACTGTAAATAAAGCTGCAGTTATGTAAAACACAAATGAAGAGGTAAGATTTGAACATTATCACAACCCTAGTGAGACAAATATAACTGATACCACAATGGGGGTAAAAACAGTCAAGAAAAGGAGGTAACACCAAAACAACGAGGATCACAAGAATGGGCAGTATCCGATCATCATGACGTCATTACAATACAAGTGTGAAAAAGATGATCTGCCACAGAGACCCACCATAATCCTCATAAAACAATTATCTTCCAGGGAATTTTGTTATCAAGGCCAAGCCAATATACTTTTCAGAAAAGAGTTCTGAAGCCAATTTACAAAACAATGCATCAAGTCAGAAAACTAAATGAATGGTTTATTATTCTCCTGTGGACCTCATTGTCCCATTTTGAATTTTTTCTTTTGATTTTGAGTTTAGTCCTTGCTTTTTCCAAACATACAAGAGAAGATGGTGACACATAAAAGAGGTACGTCAGTCTGGCCCTAGGCGTCACTGAGCTGCAGCTACACAGAACGATCATGCTAACAAAATAAGGAAAACTTTTATTAAAGCTGCACACAATCAAATAATGCTAACATAAAATCTGGTAGATCAATCAACAAAAAACTTGACTCTCCATGTCTGACTATGGGATTAATATATATACTTGCAGCAACTGAATGCATCTTGTGTCACAGAAAAATGTACCACACGAAACTCATTGATATTATGCCTTTAAGAAATTAAGCCAAGAAAACAGATTTATCTCTTGATGATAAATTTTAACATTTTGGGGGGGACAATCTGTTTCTCTTCCGAACTGTTGACCTTCGTTGATATTACAGGCTCACATACAGTCCTATTGTAATACCAGTTTCAATGTCAATGTAACATGCTCACAAAGAAAGCAATCTTAAATATCCCCATGTGAATACAGGTATATAAATAAGGAGTCTGGGAACAAACTACTGACAGTATCTTGTTTTTAGGACAAAGTCTGGAAAACATTTTTAAGAATAGCCATACAAATCAAATTAAGTCATTCATATCCACTTTATTCTGAACATTCAGTGTCTGTGTTGAAATATAAAAATGACTACAATATTTTCCCTGACATGAAATGCTTTTTGGTATCATATATACATCATATTTACTCATATCCTCTAAGTTTCAACACTTTACTGAAAAGTAACGAATAACAAAATACTAGTTACCATGGTTACAAACTAACAATGTTTTGGACATCTAGCTAACTTTCACACACATTCCGCAGTACATGGCTGGAGCACTATTTACTTCTGCCATTCTCGGAGTTCATGAGTGTTCTTGCTGGAGATACTGCCTCACACTATAAACATCATGACTTGAGGGCACCTGTAGCACTAATTCAACTGATGTACAGTACATATCCACAAAATACAATAATTAGCTTTAAATGAAAATCAATTTATCTCAAAGAACAAGGGCTGGGACAGGTAACTCGGGTCAGGTGGGTCCTGAGTAGGACCTAATACAAACCAAAATATCCTAACTGTGGTTCGTCACATGATATAGTGTTCCAGAGCAATAACAATAAAGATCCATGGTAACTTACTCTACAAGTCGTTAGTGTTTGCATTTTGAATTCACCTTGCACTCATTTCTTCTGACTTGAATAAATTTCTGTAAAGACAAATCTTCAGTCAACTTCTGTGTATGCATGATCAGATCGTTTTATACAAGTATAAAAAATTAGTGGTGGGACGATACACTGACGCATCGGTTCATCGCAATATTTCACTTCCTATACAAGTATCGATCACAGTTGCACACAAAGTAAAAAGTATCGATTCTTACCTTAAATGTATTCTTTGATAAATGTTACACCAAACACTAATTAGTAGTGAAAAAGTAAATATTTTCATCTATGTCACCATACTTGACACTGCCAACTTTAAATCATCAGTGTGCCAGGTATTTGAAAATCCTGTCTATGAAAAATATGGGTTACGCACTACAGATACGAGCACATACAAGTATCGTGATATGTATTGGATCGTGAGCAAGGTATGTGATACGTATCGGATCGCGCGGTCGGTGTATCGTCTCAGCCCTAATCTAAATAGATTCTACCAGGTCCCTAGTAAAAATTCCCAATCCCATTTTGTACCATAATCTTGAGGCCTACAACAGGTACCTGGGTAGGGTCGGGTACCCAGTAGTAAGTTTGGACTCGTCCCAGCCCAATCAAGTACTGACAAATTGATGTCGGCTGGTGTTTCCTTTGGTGTCAAAACCAGCAACCCAGGTCTCCTAGCAGGGACTAGGATGTGTCTGTTGCCCACAAAGAGAAGATAGGTTGTACTCAGTGTAATGTATGAGTAAAACAGTGACTGTATCTTCGAATTACATCAACAGATTTCTGCCACATATGCACATATATATAATTAACAGAAATCTAGAGTAACAGAAACAAGCAGTAAGCCAATCTTTTCACTAAACCTTCACTGCAACGGTTCATCCTGGGACTACCTACCACTAACAAATTGGCACTACAGTGATGGTGACTATCCATAGATACAGAGAGGGAGTAACATCTGGAGTCAGTGAGTGAGGGAACAAAGCCAGGGAGTCATACCAGTACAGCTATAGTCAGGGCAGCCTGGAAGTAAAGAAGCCAAGATGAGATGTGTTGATTGTGAGGACAGAAGGTCATGGTGATTCACATCAGCAGGGTCACAGATGAGAGTTGTCTTCTCTTGTCTGTCTTCCTAGCACTGTCTAGGACATAAGTGGGGTACTGGGAACCTAGTCTGCCATTCAATGCCCATGGGGATAGGATAGGACTCTATAATAACATAGATATGATAAAGACTAATACTATATGTCAATTAGGGAGCAACCATTTGATTTTCGGTGGGCAGTATTTTGTTTTGTGATCAGGAATGTCAAGGATTCAACATACACAGGTGCTCATCTTAAATAGAAAAATTAAATAAAATTAGTGAACTGTATTCTTTGGAAACATGAAACTTTCATGGATATCAACTTATTTATTGTGGCAAGTTTCATGCTGCTCTTCCAACTACTAAATGCCTATTAAAATCATTACTTCTTTGGATACTTTAAATACTGGTAGTCTGCAAGAAAAGAGAACATTAATTTGTTTTCTTGAATGTGAGGCACATGTAACTTATTCAGGGGGTTAATCAAATAGAGGTTTCCTCACCGTAAGTAGTATATAAGATGTTACAATGGCTGCAGAATAGGACCTACAATTACCTTGCAGAGACTGCTTCTTGCTACTTTGTGCTATTGTGTGCTACACAGCAGTTTCACAATAAAAGTCAAGGGGTTCCTTCCTTTGTCCTATTCCAGCTTTAGGGGGTCCTAACATTCAAATACTACAGCCCCAAATCTCATAGACCTTCTTAGTTTCTAACACCGCAAAGAAATCCACACGTTGGACACAAGTTTCATACCCAACATACACTTCCTTCCTGGGGGATTCAGGTTAATAGCTAATTTAGTGAAAGTACTTCATATTTTCTAAAACAACCCAGTACTTTGGTCTGATTAAGACAGCAAGTTTTAGACAGAGGGCTGCCCACCCATTTCAAGTCTGTCATTGCCTCATCACTGTGTATAGAACATAGTTAATATGGTTTGACATAAGCCATGTGTGCTCACTGCCAGTCCAACGGATGAATGATATGAATGTTTGGACATCTATCTGGGTAGCGAAGACCCTCACCTAGTCAGTGATTGATATCCTTGTTTGAGCATACGGCTTTACGATTCATCAGCAACCTCTTTTCGTCGTCCATGGTGAACGTAAATCTGAGACAGACTTAATGAGCATCCAGTTGGAACCTTGTAACACTGGGACGATGCACATGATGAATACTGAATATCACTCAGCCATCCACATCTTCAGGACGAGCACCGAGAATTACTTATAGGTTATTGCTAGGAATAAAAGATGTGTTGGTGATCACATGTGGAGTGAGGGTAACGATCATAGTGTATCACTTTACGATAATAATTTCACATATACTACTCCGAACAAGTTAAGGATCACCCGATTCTTTCATATTACTACAATTAATCTGTCACGGCATGACAGATTAACTACCAGTATAATAATATATTATTTTAGTGGTATAAAATCATGAGACATGAGATAATGGGGTCTTATCACCAAACTGTAAATTATAATTCACAAAGTGATCTTGCAATACCTGATGTTATATAGAATGTGTAATACATTGTAATGTTTTGTCATGTTATATACATCGGCTGGAAGATTTAATGGAGACTCTTTATTCTTCTTCGTACAGAATACAAATGGTACAGTTTCACCAAGGAAGAGAGCTCAAGCTTTCATCTGCCTCAGTTGCGAGTTTGTTGACCTTAACAAAATAAGCAAAGGTAAGTACCAGTCTCAGCTAGCACAAACCAAACAACACCGAATGGCACCAGTCATAGCTGGCACAAACTGACAAGCACATCCGCTCAAGTGTGGATCAGACCAATCCAAAGCCCTCGGTTTGTTGAATAGCGGTGAGAAGCTTTGTTCGGAGGACATCTTTCCGTGTGTATTTGGGCAGGTCAAGGAGGTTGAAGCAAGTGTGAGCGGCGGGCAGGTAATCGTCCCCTCCCCCTGTAGGCTGGATCACCATCTGTCAACACACACACACACACATCCGGTGAAATAGGAGTACACTAACACTATTATCTCATCTCATATAAGTTGCTTGTTTGTTGTTTAACCTGGACTCAGCAATATTTCAGCAACATGTCAGAAATCGACAACCATGTTTTCATTTCGATATTTCACTTCAAGAGAAATACATTGGACACAAGTAACCTATCCTTCACATGAGCAGGATGAGACGCATTGAAGGTTCGGACCCAAGGTGAACCATGCCTTTGTGTTGGCAACCTGTTCTTCACAAAAGAGATATACACTGGACACAGGGGACCTAGCTTACACCAGCTTCATATTTGCTGACACTTTATATCGCCGTTTCATAACACGAGTTTTTCGTACCTAGTAGAATGAGGGGGGCATGAAATGGGGTTGTTCTAAGCACAGGGTAGAAGAGCTCACGTTGTTGTAGCTTTTATTCCAATGGCAACTTTGCATTTTGTCCAAAATAACTGTTACAAGAACTATTTTTGTATATAAACACTATCTGTATCTGATTTCCTTTTTCAGTCTCTATATTTTCTGCAAATAAGTTTAAATGAGCTGGTAAGTGACACTGGGGACCAAGCTTGCACCAGATTCTTATTGCTGACATGTATTGAGTACATAACTGAACTCCCTGAAGTTCTCAGTAGACGGCAGCATCTGACTCACCTTCACATATTTCATGCCAAATATCGGAATCCTGTCACTGCCAGTCAGGAATACTGAAGATCAAAACCCACAAAACAACATTGTCAGTGATCAATTAAAGTGCTTTCCTCATACCATAATATGACATCTCTTGGATGTTCAGAGTGATGTTGTATCGGGTATATGGTTTCAATTGTAATGTAAGAAACTAAAAAAAGTCATATCTAAAACTTGTTATTGTCAGTGGATTGTGGTGTTTTACAGTTTTCGTAAAATTGAAATAAACGGTTTAAAAAGATTTACAAGTATCGTCAAGTTAGCTGTTACATATGCAAGCTACTATGAAAAGAACATTGGAATATATGGGCTTTCCTGTAAACAAACTGCCACACCTGTCTACAAGGACACTTGAAAGAATTGTACACATGAGAGAGAATTTAGTTTTACGCTGAAGTAAACAATAATCCAGCTACATATTACTCAAAAGAAGTTAATGAACATCCAATATTTTCATATGACAATCCCAAAGCCATGACAGATTAACTATAGTCATATGAAAATATCATGGCAAGCCATAACATTACTTCCTGGCCAGGCAAACAAGTGACTGAGCAGGGTCAATGATCCACAAAATCGGGGCTCAATGACACGCAATCAGCCAAGTTGCTTGGGATGGGATACTTGGTGCCTATTCGTTCACAAGACTTAGAGCCATACAGGGTATCAATTACTGTTACATTAGCTACCAGAAATAGGGCCAGACTCCATACAGGGTATCAATTACTGTGCCATTAGCTACCAGAAACAGGGCCAGACTCCATACAGGGTATCAATTACTGTGCCATTAGCTACTAGTAATTGATACCCAGTATGGAGTCTGGTCCTGGCCCCAATAGTCGCCCCTGCTAGATCAACACACCTCCCCATGCCAGGCTGGTTTTGACACCCAACTGAGTGAATCTCATGCTGTCATCCACTGGTTTGCCGGGCCCTGATTCTAGTAGCTAATGGCACATAATTATTGCAATAGTAGCCCACCCTATTGCAATAGTACTGCGACAGTACCCAACTTTAAGGCTTGATTATCATATTAATGTAATCAATGTACAAGAAATGAATTAGGTGAGGTGAAATTGGGTTTAACATCGCGTCCAAGATTATTGCACTTATATAGCGACGTGCATGCATGTGTATGTGTGTGTGTGTGGCTGCTTGTACTAGTCCGGACTGATGCCGATTTATAGTGCTAGCTCACTGAGATACCATGCCGCAGTTTAACATGAATACCCCACTCAGACACAGTATACTGACTCCGAGCTGACCAGTCCTTGTTTTAGCCCCTTAATGCTGAGCGCGAGACAGGGTAACAACAAGTACAATCTTTTAACGTCTTTTTGTATGACGCGGCCCGGGATCGAACCCTGGACCTTCCTCTCTCCGGGCGGACGCTCTACCACAAGACCACGGAGGCGGTCAAGAAATGAATTAAGTATTGCTGACAATCTCAAAGACAACCATTTTTCTCCCTGTTCCAACTCAAACCAAGGGAAAGTAACTCTACTCTGAAGTTGTCTTAATGATTGCTAACAACCAAACAGGCAGGTTTGAAAAATTTGCATAATTTATGTTATATTTATATCTAAATGCAATTACTGAAACTATCGATTGTTATGCATACTATCGTCAATACTTTTGGCATTTTTGTATTATTATTGATATAGAACTATCTTATGGGAAACAAGTGCAAAACATTAATACAATGTAGTTTGATATATCGTTACACACGTATGATCTACTCACATAGGAACTTCTTCTTATCCTCCATCTCCATCTCATGAAACACCTCCCAGAAGATCTTGATAGTGGGGTGATAGCGGTGGTACTCTCCCTTGTATTCCGTGTTCTGAAGCAAGGACACGGTCAGACAATCATGACAATGGCTGAAACATATGTTCCTTGAATAATGCCTTAATCCCATCTCACGTCACATAGGATCATGATACAATAGATACTGAGATATCATCACTGAATAACCTGATATTTGTTTACTTAAACCAGGGTATGAAACTCCCAAAAATTTCAGCCAGACCACAGGACTGGCTAGCTGAAATACTTGCCAGCCCTGACCAAAACCTGCCTGCCCACTATAATCATATGTTTCTCAGGATAAGCTAACAGGGTTTCTTTTTGGTTACATTTTATCATTCATCTTTACATGTGAATTAATGCTTATCATCGGGAAATATTTAGAATATTTTCACATATGAAATATAACCCGACCGTCGGGCAGGGGGATTTGAAAAACTGGCAGCCCGAGTTGAAATCAACCTGTCTCGGACGGTCGGGCAGGCAGGTATTTCGAACACTGCTTAAACCACAGATGACATTGCCTGAAAAATATGTCTTATGAACAGTTGGGAATCTAGCGGATAATAAATCACATGATCCCTAAGTGGACTCCTATATGCAAACAAGATTGTCACATCTTTTTTGTTTTGTTTGTTTGTTGTTTATTGTTAAACGCGTAACTCAGCAATATTCCAACTATATGACGGCAGTCTGAATAATCAAGTCTGGACCAGACAATTCAGTGATTGACATCATGAGCATCGGTCCACGCAATTGGGATACAATGACATGCATCAACCATGTCAGCAAGAATGACCACCCGATGTCATTACTATGACTATGACTACCTTGATTATAACTGATGTCAGGTATGCATGGGGTTTTACTGGACACTGACCCAGGACCACCCACTGATTACTATAGTTACTAAATGTGAACCCGTTAAGATCCCAGTTAGAATTGGTCTTCAGCTCCGTAAGCTTGTGGTAAGAGGCGACTAACGGGATTGGTTAATCCATGTCATCGTATGCCAATTGCGTAAATAGATCCTCATGTCAATCACTGGATTGTCTGGTCCAGACCTAATTATTTACAGACCCCCGTTATAAAGCTGGAATATTACTGAGTGCGACATTAAACAACAATCAAAAACAAGAACTACCTATGAACTGAACCACCCTGTGACTTAGCTCAGAAATCCAAAGTCACAGTCCAGGATGATGTTCTTCAGGTTATTAGCCGAGCTGATAATAGTCCACATGTTTATCCCTGTATTATGGGTTTCAAGTGTAAGGAACACTTGCTGTGTTCTCGCTTATCTCATGACCAACTGTAAAACATCTCAAAGACAAGTTTATCAAGCCGTCATCTGAGTATTTACCATGTCTGTGTGACGCCACAACCATTGTTTTAGCGCGAGTAACTGCAATAAACATGGTCGTCCAACGACATAGACAATCTAATGAAAACAATGTTCACACAGAGGCCACATATATTGGTAAATCAGCTGTGTTTGGGGTAGTAGACTAGGTTTATTTGCACAGAATGTTACAAACTCATAATGTATGACTAATATTCAAGTCACCTTTTCCAGCTCCATGAAATCATAATTCTCGTTGCCCACAACCATTGCCTGCAGTTCTTGAGGGTGAAACAGCTCCTGAAGAAAAGTATCAGAGTTTGATGATCTGTCATCATGCTCAGAGTTTGGAACGATGTGGGATTTCTCTCCTCAATTTGCAATTATGAACAGGAACAGAAATTACAAACAGAATAACACCTGTCATATCAGATGCATGTAAATGAACACATGGAAGGCGTTATTATGAGGAAGTCATCTATATCTACTCCAGAAATTGAAAGAACATGAAAACAGTTGGACCAATGCATTATACTTCTCTCTGGTTTAGTTAACATTCCATTACTATAAAAATATTGTGTCCTTTCCTCATAAAATTACTGATCCCCTGAAATACCTGTAACCTAGAAAATCACAGAAGTACATCCAAACTTGTTAACACATGAGGGCTTCACTTAAGAAACTAAGTTTAACTTCCACCAAGTACATGTTTGGATGCAAAGCTTGTTGCACCAGAAATAAGCAGGTTCCACCCTCAGTGTAGTCATCAATATGGTCCATGCTGAGGAAATAACCTCAGTGTCGTATTTTACTATTGTTACAAATCAACAACAACTACATGATCCATACAACCTCACAATAAGTCATGATTGTGTCTTCACTGCCCCATGCAGTAATAATAATAAGTGCATTTATATTGCGCCAGATTCCATTCACCAAGTGGATGCTCATAGTGCTACACTATTATTACCCCGGTCAATGGATCAGTGAGCACTCGATTTTCATTCTCAGCTCCCTGGGGAGTATACAACCCAAGCTGCCTGTGAGGCGCTAGAAGGTTAACATCTCTAAATGTTGAAACTGAATGAAGTAAGTCTGACATGAAATTACAAACTTATGACATGGAAGTTCACGTGAATGATTTTCTTTCTTTTTCAGTTTGCATTTGTGCATGTTTTATAGAGCTAAACACATCCATGAAAATATACATACATGCCAAGACACTGAAGCCAGCAAATCCCTTTGCTTACCTCCATTCACACAGGTCCATCTAAAGCATCGGTGGGGGGTGCACCTGCCGCTACCAATAACTGACACTAATATTTGACCTGTCAACTCTAGACACATCAAACTCCATCCCTCAGTGTAAAACATGGTTACAACAAACTCCAATAGATTTTGAATTAAATTTGTTACTTGCGAAGCCTTGTCATTATGGACTCCACAATATATTATAGTCTGGAATGCAAACATTTCACACTTTGGACTAAACTTACGGTCACAACAAACAATTTTCTATTGAAAAGAAGCTGTCAAAGTCGGACTGAACCAGACCGGACCGGACAGGACTGGAAGCTCTCTCACATTGAAGTAAGCTCAGTTATTGCAAATGCTGCATGTAGTCTTAACATTTGTCCGCTTAGTTAACTGGAACTTACTCACCTGTTAATAGGAAACTCAGCTAAATTAGATTAACTCAGTGTCATGAGCATGTCAATAAATAACGATAAACACAGCTTGTCGTTATCAATCACAATGGCTGAGGGAGCAGCAAAGAAATAGCGTATCAAACTTACACTTGCTAAGAAAGTTGCTTTAATTGTGGAATTTAAGTCAGTGCAAAACCCTTGATAGTGAACCACTTACTTTACCTCGAAACAATGACTGAGGACACGATTTTGAAAAACAATCTTCATAAACATAAGCAGTCCATTCTCAATGACATTTTCAAGTAAAGAATGTTTTAATGTGTATTTAATGCCAGTCCATGTCAATATTTCATGTACAATGAATTTGTATGCGAACAAAGAAGAATGATCGTTGCTTTTCGTTTTATCTTCAGTCCAACTTTTTGTACTCTGTGTAATCTGTGTAATCGGACCTCGCTGTAAACCCGACTTTTTACTGGTCTCAACCGAGTCTGAATTGGACATATTCCACTGCATAACACATATTTTTGAAAGAACTGTAAATATCCATTCACATTCAACATGTGTGAGATATTGTGGATGTATCAGTGTTTGGTATGTTTGGTATCTTAGTTTGTATCATTCACTTGGTATTCCCACAAATAGTTACCAATTACTCTGCCAACTGAAGAAACACATTGCAGGACATCACCTTCTGGACATTTTGGTAATTGCTTCTATTTCTAATTCTGACCAATGTCAAAATACATACCAGGACATTACCCCCACAGACTTTGAGGAATCCACTGCTGAAGGCTTCAAACTGGCTCTCCACCGACTTGTTGAACAGGAAGTCGATGTAGAGATCCACGTACTCTTTCCTGGGGAGAAGTGTAAACTAGGGTATCAACCATCCGAGTGAATCATTTGGGTCTGTCACTGAATATTTACTCTGTTTCAGTCATCTATTATAGCCTTTTACAGTTATTTAGTGTAGTTTCCATTGTGCGTGTTGTTAAACACGGCACTCAATCTCATTAAAATCAGATCTTAGTTCTCAATACGGCTAAACAAAGATCTGAGGACATCCCATTACATGTCACATCAGAACGACCTTTCATCCGACCAATCAGAGCATAGCTTACCAGATCAGGAAAGTGACAGTCAGAATGTGAAAGTCACCATTTTGAAACTAGTACCATATAGCTGGAGAAAGCTGCTTCTGCTTGGCTAATTATGACTTCATGTTAGTCATTTCATCAGTCAAAGTTTGCGAAAGGATGTCCTCAGATCTTTGTATAGTGGCAGAGAGAACTAAGATCTGATTTTAATGAAATTGCACAGCATTTGGCAATATTCCTGCCTGTCAATAATCATGTCTGTACCAGACAATCTAGTGACTGATATTGTGAGCACCGATCCAAACCATTAGGGTACGATGATACACCATCAACAAAGTCACTGAGCCTCGCCACCAGATCAATCAAGTCACCTCTTGTGACTACATGTAGCATAGATTGGTAGGTACCAGAGCCTCCAATAATAACAAGGCAGAGTATCTATCATCAAGATTTGGAAAAAAAAACTGTCTGACTTATCATGCCAAATTTGATGAGTGCAAGTACCGGTATATCTGCTGGTAGTCATGTATAGTTCTGGCAACTTCTGGGGCCACTTGCACAAAGTGATCTTAGCGCTAAGACCATCGTAAGCCTATGTTAGAGTATGGGAGTTAAAATCATCTTAGCGCTAAGATCGCTTTGTGCAAGTGGGCCCTGATGAATGATCACACATTTAGGATACATATGTCATATCAGAAATTTTGTACCTATGATGCAATAAGGAAATCGATCAGTCAATGATGATTAAAATAGCACATCTTGAGGTTGGACATGCTGTGAGGAGATAGAATGAAGGAACATTTCATTATTTCATTATTGAAGGGAACACAGGGAGGTCTACCTGTTGTCCTGATTGACACACTTCTTGCTGCCGTTGTCACATAGTTCCAATGTCTTCACCTCCCCAAACACCTCCAGTGTGATCTGCACAACAGTCAATGAGTAAGTCAATTGGGCCATTTAGATTTTATTTTTAAAATAACTCATAGCTTTTAGACTACTTGAAGGAGGAAAGCACCATGTAACACCAGTTGTCAACAGTTGAATCTAGGATTCGATCCCATCTGTGTTAGGAACAGGACAGTCGAGCAGGTGACCCATAGATGTTACCTGCCCATCTTCAAAGTTACCTGCCTGCATACAGACATTATAAGCATTGAAAAATTGTCAAAAAAATAAGAGACAAATCAAGTCTTGCTTCAGCTAAAATAACGCAAACAATTACTTGAGAATCTACAGGAGTTATGATACAACTGAATACATAAGGCTAAAAAAGAAGAAAGTTTTGGTTCTCAGGCACCGTGGCATCATCACAAGTCCACCATACATTTTCTTTTTAATTCCATTTTCAAAAACTTTAAAAAATGACCACCTGATCCCGTTAGTGGCCTCTCACGACAAGCATAGTTGCCTTTGGGTTGCTGAAGACCTGTTCTACACTGGATCTTCATGTGTTCAAATGACATGTTATCAAAAATCTGTGCTCAAAACATTGGAGTCCTGTCTCGTAGCATCATTTTCAGTAGTATTAAGCTATCACTATCTGAACTTACTAAACAACCTACTTTTACTAGACTTGGGCTTCATACCAGTGGCTAAAGTCACAGACTGAATCAGCAACGTGACTCATGAAAACCCTACCAATCCCCAATGTAGTTTGCTCTCATTTCAAGTATGGAGAACTAAGGACCTATTATAAGGAACAAAGGATTGGGGCGAGTCTGGATCAGAAAGCCAGTGGTCCATAACCTGAGCAACAATTCATGCCATTCATTGTAATGCTGCATTAAACAGTATTTCAGTCATATCAAAGCACACCCACAATGACAGCAAACAATCACCCTTGACTGCCATTCACATACATAGTCATTATGACCATTTGAAACTGTTTTTAGTAGAATGGTGTCAAGGTTAGCTATATTTAAGTGAGTTGAGATACATTGTACGATTAAGTGATTGGTAATCAAAATACTCCATAAAAAACAGTCAGTAAACTGATCATTTATAGTGTAATATAAGATAGCTATGAGATAAATCACAATTAGCAATGAAGAACGAAGCGTGGTATACTTCACGATAAAACACAACTCTAGTTTTGAGAGGGAAGTGTCTAAACGCAGTGGCTGAACGATTGCACCCAAAAGTGGGAGAGATATGACAATCGGTATTAGGAGAGGAGGTACAGATAATCGACGTGAGGATTGTGAGAATATGTGGGGATTACCAAACTTAACCCACCTGTTCATAAAATGGACTTGTCCAACATTGCCAAGGTCGGATTCTATTCAGGGAGTCATCATTATTACAACTAAGGTAACTATTTTTTAAGCCTGTACATTTTATCAACATCCTAAAAGAGGATGTACATAATATTGATATCTCATATAAGAAATAAACGAAAAGTGGTTGTTGTTTATTGTACAATAAAACACTGCAGGGAGAATAAACCACTTGGGGCTGAGCCTCTAATGGTTTATTCTCCCTGCAGTGTTCTATAGTATGATAAACAACTCCCACTCGTTGTTTACTACTTAAGTTCATTACCTACGAGGACAAACTTATCGGGGTTCATAAAGATCATATGTGCCCTAGGGTCACATCACGTCACAAGACAACAGTGTATTGTTTCCATCATCCGGATGGCATTGTTGATGTCATTCGAATCTTTTTGTGATGTGAGGTCGGACTTACGTCACACGAGAACACGTCATAGCTGAAGATTGTTGACGTCATTCCACAAATTGTGGTTCTGCTGCTGTTGCAACTAGCTGTCCTTATAGGTAAACACTAAAAATTGTCTCTGTATGTTGACGTCTTCTTTGGTAATAAATAGAACATTATATGATTGTTCATGTCATACTATGATTACGTTGGTTGGTTGGTTGGTTTGTTGTTTAACGCCACACTCAGCAATATTCCAGCTATATGACGGCGGTCTGTAAAAAATCGAGTCTGGACCAGACAATCCAGTGATTGATATCACGAGCATCGATCCACGCAATTGGGATCGATGACATGCATCAACCAAGTCAGTGAGCCTGACCACCAGATCCCGTTAGTTGCCTTATACGACAAACAGTCACTTTTTACGGCAAGCATGGGTTACCTATTCTACCCCGGAATCTTCACGGGTCTCTATGATTACGACACTCATGCCTAAATTCCGGTATTCAGAAACTTGTGTCTTAAACATAGAATGACATGAACACTCATATAATATCCTCCATATTCTAAATACCCACCTCAAACGTAAGGCCAAAGATCTCCTCCACATCATTCCCCTCATGCTCCAACAAATGCTGCAAACTCCTGCAACACACAATCACACTCCACATAATGGATGGACCTTGACGTGTCAGACATCATGACACACCTACAACACAAGAATGGCGACTCACCTCCCTACAGTAGGCAGCAGTTGTTTCATGTCGTCTATCGTTGGCACTCTGAAACAAAATTCTCCCGATCAAACACACAGTATCTTCTAGGGAACTGAGTCCCTTGGCCAAACAATACCACCTCCAGGGATTTATCTACCTCTGCTCGGACCCAGGTCTGTACCAAATACCAGTTCACAGCAGGTGAATCACCTTCATGAATCTATTTTCGCCGGTAATTTTTAATTATTGTACTGATTGTTTTGGTCACTAATTTGCATTTTTCTCTTATCTTGTCACAAGAAATAATGGATTCTGAGTTTCATTTCCCTGACAGCTAAATCACAAAACAGTGAATGATATCTTCAAAATGCATGGCTGCACTGAACCTGATGCTCTGCACAATTGTCAACTGGTTACCGTTTTAGTAGTTTCTTGTACAGAGCTTGTGGGAAGTGTAGATCGATGATGGTGAAGTTGTAGATGGCAAGTCCACAGAGGATCCCGATGAGATGGAACATGGAGTTGTCCTCAAATGTCTGCAACAGTAGCGCGGGGGAGGTGGTGACAGTGTTTACAGAGTGGACAGAGACAAGAGCATCACTTGCATTTATGAACCACAACAACCATCAAACTTGAAAGTGTTCCATTTGATCAGTTCAATTAGTGAGTGGAAAGTCAAACATGAAATTCACAAAGAATTTGTATGTCTTGTCTTGTCTTAAATTCTAGTACTCATTGAGTGTGTAGCTGACCCTACCTGTGGGTTAAACCACTGCATGTGGGATTCTTCATGGTAGCGGAACATCCCGTACTTGGGGTCAAGAACCTCTCTCAGTAGCAGCAGGAAGAATTCCTGGGGACACAGACAGACACATCAGACAGGGTCACATCGAGGGGACAGAGTTACAATGGGCCACAGACAGGGTTACATTGTGAAGACACAGGCAGGGTTACAATGGGACACAGGGTTACAATGGGGAGACAGACAGGGTTACAATGGGGAGATAGACATGGTTACAATGAGACACAGGGTTACATTGTGGAGACAGACAGGGTTACAATGGGGAGATAGACATGGTTACAATGAGACACAGGGTTACATTGTGGAGACAGACAGGGTTACAATAGGACACAGACAGGGTTACATTGGGACACAGACAGGGTTACAATGGGACAAAGGCAGGGTTACAATGGGACAGAGGCAAGGTTACAATGGGACACAGGCAAGGTTACAATGGGACACAGGCAAGGTTACAATGGGACACAGTCAGGGTTACAATGGGACAAAGGCAGGGTTACAATGGGACACAGGCAGGGTTACAATGGGACACAGTCAGGGTTACAATGGGACACAGTCAGGGTTACAATGGGACAAAGACAGGGTTACAATGGGACACAGGCAAGGTTACAATGGGACACAGGCAGGGTTACAATGGGACACAGGCAAGGTTACAATGGGACACAGGCAAAGTTACAATGGGACAAAGACAGGGTTACAATGGGACACAGGCAAGGTTACAATGGGACACAGTCAGGGTTACAATGGGACACAGGCAGGCTTACAATGGGACAGTCAGGCTTACAATGGGACACAGGCAAGGTTACATTGGGACACAGACAGGGTTACAATGGGACACAGACAGGGTTACAATGGGACACAGGCAAGGTTACAATGGGACAAAGGCAGGGTTACAATGGGACACAGGCAGGCTTACAATGGGACACAGGCAAGGTTACAATGGGACACAGGCAAGGTTACAATGTGACACAGGCAAGGTTACAATGGGACACAGGCAGGGTTACATTTGGACACAGGCAGGCTTACAATGGGACATAGGCAGGGTTACAATGGGACAAAGGCAGGGTTACAATGGGACACAGGCAAGGTTACAATGGGACACAGGCAGGGTTACATTTGGACACAGGCAGGCTTACAATGGGACATAGGCAGGGTTACATTTGGACACAGGCAGGCTTACAATGGGACACAGGCAAGGTTACAATGGGACACAGGCAGGGTTACAATGGGACAGAGGCAGGGTTACAATGGGACACAGTCAGGGTTACAATGGGACACAGGCAGGGTTACAATGGGACACAGGCAGGGTTACAATGGGACACAGTCAGGGTTACAATGGGACAAAGACAGGGTTACAATAGGACACAGGCAGGGTTACAATGGGACACAGGCAAGGTTACAATGGGACACAGGCAAGGTTACAATGGGACAAAGACAGGGTTACAATGGGACACAGGCAAGGTTACAATGGGACACAGGCAAGGTTACAATGGGACAAAGACAGGGTTACAATGGGACACAGGCAAGGTTACAATGGGACAAAGGCAAGGTTACAATTGGACACAGGCAGGCTTACAATGGGACACAGGCAAGGTTACAATGGGACACACTCAGGGCTACAATGGGACACAGGCAAGGTTACAATTTGGACACAGGCAGGGCTACAATGGGACACAGGCAGGCTTACAATGGGACAGTCAGGGTTACAATGGGGACACATACACGTAGACATCAGAGAGTCACACATGAGACAAGGTTACATGGGGACACACGCACACGTTAGACAGACATTGGATAGAGCTAAATGGGCACACCACTGCTACTATGCAGCAATCATCTTAACATACCTTCATATTTTACACATCAACACAAGCTGCCAATATTTCATTTTTATAAATCAACAGGTTTTATATGTCAATCTTTGACAAAATTTCTGCAATTTTGACTTGCAACAAATCATTAAATATTTTATACAATATTCAAGATGCAATCCTTCATCCTTCCTTATTTGAGACAGTTCTCTTATCAATATTGACAAAATTATGCAATTGTCAACAAACAAAGAATTAATTTTTCCACAAATGCACTTAATCAAATATCTGATATGCAAAGCACCTCTCAAAAAATATAAATAATTAAAATCGATGTCATGCAAACCCAGAGCCACCAAGTTTTTACTTAAGCCATGCATGCACATGTCCAAATAGCCATTTACAAGTAAACAATGAATGACCACATTGAAAGACATTTCTACTGATGCGGCAACATTGTAACGCAATGTACAACAACGGTAAAGTACAAACTCCTTGGCTCTAACAGAAGTTCAACTGAAGGGTCCCCAGCGTGCAATCAAGGTAGGTAACTGCTTCCACTTGCCAATGTTTACAAATATGAGTTGGATGGATAGATAAACAAACCATTCCATAAATCTGCTTATCATTTTCTTCTTGAACCAAACTTTGTGTCCATATCACCTTAACTGTCTCAATATTTCAATAAGGGAGGAACAATAATAGGGAGGGAGTGTTAAAGCTTTATGCAACACCAGCAATTTTCCATCTATGCTTGTAGAGTTGTCGAGGCATTATTACCATGTTTTACTCCCCACACACCTAGGCTTGGACAGCTGGAATAACCACATCATTATCAGGATATAGCCTGCATTTTTATGTCACCTAAAATGCTGATAAACCTTTGACAAGCTTCATCTTCACATGATGAGTTGGGTTTCATGCAAGAAACTGCATAAAGTCAAAGGGTGTTGACATTTACCACTCTGGTAAATTGACACAAGCATGGATATGGTGCTTGGACAGACGATCAGAATCAGGTGAACCAGGATTTAAACCAACAACTCACGGTAGCTTAGACAACTGAGCCACCCCTATCCCCTTCAGGAAGATTACCGTATTCGATGTAATAAGCGCCCAGGGCGCTCTCAAAATTAGAACTTGGGAAAAACATAGTTGAATGATAAATTTTGTGGTTTATGCTGACAGCCTGAAATGTTTATGTACGACAGATATGTTTTTCCAGAATTTAATTGTCTATAATTAAGGATGGATAGAACACACGAGTGCGTATTATACGCGAATAAATAAGTCTTGTGTACATTGATCAATCGGAAGGGATGCTAATGGGGCTTGTTCACTAGCCAATATATTAGCAAATATCGCCGTGGGCGCTTATTAGAGCGGGGCGCTTATTACGTTGAATACGGTAGTTGTAAACTCTGGTTAACCAGAGCATGCTAAGTTTACTTGGAAGCACTGACACAGCAGTCTAACTTGACTGCACTCTGTGAGAAAAGGCCAACACCATAGAATGCCTATACTAAGATCTTATCTGAAAGACATGGGCATAACAGCACATCCGGGAAGGACTGGAGGGAGCTTTAGTGTGTGTACCTGGGTATATAGTTGCTATGTGCATTGTCAGAACTGGATGATGTACAAATCCCACACTTTTTTATCAGTGGCAAAAATGTTAAGCAGATGAAGATGAATACGCTTGAGGTAATACCAGGTCACACCTGATCTCTTTCAGACTTTGTTTAAATCCTACAAGTCTATGACACCTGACATCAAACAAAGGACAACACGACCATAAAATCAAACTATCGGCAATTTGTACAGTTCTTGAATTATTGACATTACTATCTTCTGTTTGAATAAGAGGTTAACACTTAATTACTGATCACACATAGGATAACTTTTAATGATATTATTATATTCATAAGTCACTCCCTGACAACAAAGTTTTAGTTGAGGAAGAGGGAAAACACCAAACATGCTCAAACAAACAACATGATAACAACAATCCACCAATCCATCTCTTGCATCAGGAGTTTCAGTTCAAATAGTGTTTGAATCACGTTAATTTAGGCAGTGGCTTTCCTTAACATGATCAGTGAACATGGAGCATCCAAATAAAGACCTTTTTGCTAAATCATCCCTGCTATAGCTATAAAATGGTTAGATATTAGATGTACTTCACGTTGTACATATTTGCACATATTCTATGTCGACGTATTAATGCAAACATGAGTAAATGTCATTGAAGTCAATGTCTATATTCCAATATGGAGAGGATATCATAAGTGGATTAGTTTAGTGTTTTCCTAATGTGTGTTGTCAAAATATGTTTTTAAAAAACTAAGACCTCTCATCTGTCCAATTTCATAATATGCGTTGTACATTAAGATAGTACAAGGGTCCGATAGCCTACAGTGCGAAATGAATACAGAATATTGATGTGTTGTGAGAGCTTAATCTGTGGAGCCACAGATCACTTACTTCTCCACTTATCTCAGCTAACTTCTCTACTTATGTCAACTTACTACTCCACTTATCTCCACTAACTTCTCTACTTATGTCAACCTACTTCTCCACTAACTTCTCTACTTATGTCAACTTACTTCTCCACTTATCTCAACTAACGTCTCTACTTATGTCAACTTACTTCTCCACTAACTTCTCTACTTATGTCAACTTACTTCTCTACTTATCTCAAGTTACTTCTCCACTTATCTCAGCTAACTTCTCTACTTATGTCAACTTACTTCTCCACTTATCTCAACTAACTTCTCTACTTTTGTCAACTTACTTCTCCACTTATCGCAACTAACTTCTCTACCTATGTCAACCTACTTCTCCACTAACTTCTCTACTTATGTCAACTTACTTCTCCACTTATCTCAGCTAACGTCTCTACTTATGTCAACTTACTTCTCCACTTATCTCAGCTAACTTCTCTACTTATGTCAACTTACTTCTCCACTTATCTCAGCTAACTTCTCTACTTTTGTCAACTTACTTCTCCACTAACTTCTCTACTTATGTCAACTTACTTCTCCACTTATCTCAACTAACTTCTCTACTTATGTCAACTTACTTCTCGCACAATTTTCTTTCAAACAAAGCACATTATAAATAAATATTGACTTTCCCCAATTTTGAAATTTCTTTCATGATCTACAACATGATGAGGTGAGAAGAGGGTCTGTATTCAACTAGACTCATTAATTAATTTGTAATACTTCTTGCAATACATTACTAAATTGTAGCTTTGCAATGACAATACTGACAACAGAAATTGTGGGTGAGAAATGATGAATATGATAAAAGTTACAGAGAATATGACACTGAACATAATCTTAAAGGTATCTGACCAATGCAAGAGCATACTGGTACTGAATGCAAGAGCATACTGGTACTGTAGGCAAGAGCATACTGGTACTGAAGGCAAGAGCATACTGGTACTGTAGGCAAGAGCATACTGGTACTGTAGGCAAGAGCATACTGGTACTGAATGCAAGAGCATACTGGTACTGTAGGCAAGAGCATACTGGTACTGTAGGCAAGAGCATACTGGTACTGTAGGCAAGAGCATACTGGTACTGAATGCAAGAGCATACTGGTACTGAATGCAAGAGCATACTGGTACTGAAGGCAAGAGCATACTGGTACTGAATGCAAGAGCATACTGGTACTGTAGGCAAGAGCATACTGGTACTGAAGGCAAGAGCATACTGGTACTGTAGGCAAGAGCATACTGGTACTGTAGGCAAGAGCATACTGGTACTGAAGGCAAGAGCATACTGGTACTGTAGGCAAGAGAATACTGGTACTGTAGGTAAGAGTGAGTGAGTGAGTGAGTTGGGTTTAACGCCGCTTTTAACATTATTCCAGTTATATCACGGCGTGTCAGCTTAATGTGGGAGGAAAGCCCGAAGTGATGCAGGTCTAAGACGTTTACCACTTCGGTGAAACCCACGAGCACGGGCATGGTGCTGACAAACCTAGAAACATAATTGGGGCGAACCGGGATTCGAACCCACAATCATAGGTTTCTGGCGTGCCCAAGGGACGCAACTCTGCACAGCGAATCGCGGCGCCTTAGACGACTGGGCCACCCGTGCCCGCCTGTAGGCAAGAGCATACTGGTACTGTAGGCAAGAGCATACTGGTACTGTAGGCAAGAGCATACTGGTACTGTAGGCAAGAGCATACTGGTACTGGTACTGGTACTGTAGGCAAGAGCATACTGGTACTGAATGCAAGAGCATACTGGTACTGAAGGCAAGAGCTAAGTGGTACTGTAGGCAAGAGCATACTGGTACTGTAGGCAAGAGCATACTGGTACTGAATGCAAGAGCATACTGGTACTGAATACAAGAGCATACTGGTACTGAATGCAAGAGCATACTGGTACTGTAGGCAAGAGCATACTGGTACTGAATGCAAGAGCATACTGGTACTGTAGGCAAGAGCATACTGGTACTGAATGCAAGAGCATACTTGTACTGTAGGCAAGAGCATAATGGTACTGTAGGCAAGAGCATACTGGTACTGTAGGCAAGAGCATACTGGTACTGAAGGCAAGAGCATACTGGTACTGTAGGCAAGAGAATACTGGTACTGTAGGTAAGAGTGAGTGAGTGAGTGAGTTGGGTTTAACGCCGCTTTTAACATTATTCCAGTTATATCACGGCGTGTCAGCTTAATGTGGGAGGAAAGCCCGAAGTGATGCAGGTCTAAGACGTTTACCACTTCGGTGAAACCCACGAGCACGGGCATGGTGCTGACAAACCTAGAAACATAATTGGGGCGAACCGGGATTCGAACCCACAATCATAGGTTTCTGGCGTGCCCAAGGGACGCAACTCTGCACAGCGAATCGCGGCGCCTTAGACGACTGGGCCACCCGTGCCCGCCTGTAGGCAAGAGCATACTGGTACTGTAGGCAAGAGCATACTGGTACTGTAGGCAAGAGCATACTGGTACTGTAGGCAAGAGCATACTGGTACTGGTACTGGTACTGTAGGCAAGAGCATACTGGTACTGAATGCAAGAGCATACTGGTACTGAAGGCAAGAGCTAAGTGGTACTGTAGGCAAGAGCATACTGGTACTGTAGGCAAGAGCATACTGGTACTGAATGCAAGAGCATACTGGTACTGAATACAAGAGCATACTGGTACTGAATGCAAGAGCATACTGGTACTGTAGGCAAGAGCATACTGGTACTGAATGCAAGAGCATACTGGTACTGTAGGCAAGAGCATACTGGTACTGAATGCAAGAGCATACTTGTACTGTAGGCAAGAGCATAATGGTACTGTAGGCAACAGCATACTGGTACTGAATGCAAGAGCATACTGGTACTGTAGGCAAGAGCGTACTGGTACTGTAGGCAAGAGCATACTGGTACTGAATGCAAGAGCATACTGGTACTGAATGCAAGAGCATACTGGTACTGTAGGCAAGAGCATACTGGTACTGAATGCAAGAGCATACTGGTACTGAATGCAAGAGCATACTTGTACTGTAGGCAAGAGCATACTGGTACTGAATGCAAGAGCATACTGGTACTGAATGCAAGTAACACTCTCTTATGTTTGATAGTTTGAATTTTTCCATAAGAAGTTTTTTTTGTGATTGACAAGAACTCAGAGGGTTTGAATATACTAATGCTTATGTTACCAATCACTAAAAGGACTACCTGGTGCTCCCCTGCTTATACAACTTCCTCTTTCCTGCTACATTGATGCATGTAGTTCCAATATTCAGTACACTGCGACATTCTAGTGTACAAGACTACATTTGTAGGTTATGCAAAAACTATACAAGTACAATCCGACGTACTAAAGTGACAAGTGGTATAAACATAAATAGTAACATACTGTTTTCTGCATGTTTGTAAAGAAGTCTCAACCTAGTTGTTTTTACTGATTCAAATTTACTTTTCTTTTCCTTTGAAGATGGAAATGTTTCCATGACTCGTATCATGACTACCTATGCGAGACATATCGTATTGCAAGTGTACAGTTACTGCCCTGTGTTCCAAGGTCACAACAGTGTTACGTCGACTAATAGTTACACAGCTCCTGACAAAAGTTTTAAACAATAGGCGGATCCAGAGGGGGTCCAGGCGGTCCGGACACAACCCGCCCCCCTTGAAAACTAAAACGTAGTATGTTTAGGCACTAAAATTATCTGAGAGAGGATTTTAATATTTTGGATCCCTCCTTTTTAAAAATGCTGGATCCGCCCTCGTAAGCAGTTTGGAAAGGACAGCCACAATAAACACTGAATATTATTTTTATAATAAACTCAGTAGTATTGCTTCTCTGAAAACGATGGATCAGCAGAAAACAATGAACCATGTTAATGAAAATCAAGGTTTTGGAGAGGGTGAATCTACCCTCCCACGCTAAGCATAGCATGGAGCGATGTCGAGTACAATGAACTGACATGCTGAGTACACGATGGTTAAGTCGCACCTTACGGACCCCGCCCTCATCCACTGCTTCCTCGCCGAGGAACACCACCTGCAACAGTGGCAGACAATACTACACAGTCAGTCCTCCAGACTACCACAGACAGAAAATAGTTTACCTTCTTCAATCCACCAGCATCTATTGCCTCTTCTCCCATAAACAAAATCTGAAATATAAGACTTGGCAATCATCTGTGTACGTACAGTAGATACACTGGAAAATGGCACAGACTGTGAGTGAGTGAGTGAGTACGGTTTTACACCGTTTTTAGAAATTTTGCAGCAACATCAGTGAGTGAGTGAGTATGACTTTACGCTGCTTTTAGCAATATTCCAGCAATATCATGGCGGGGGACACCAGAAATGGGCTTCACACATTGTACCCATGTCGGGAATCCAACCTGGGTCTTCGGCGTGACTGGGCACTAGGCTACCCCACCGCCCCCCAGCAACATCACAGCAGAGGACACCAGAAATTGCCACAGATGACAAAAGTTCATGTCAGATATCTGAGATGAATAAAACAAGTGAATACTTATCCATACTTTCAGTTACAATGAAACCTTGTTATCTCAATTGTTATTTGTAAGTGGTTTTCGTGTAGATATGTTTGTTGAGGTTGTCAGTGGCGGTAAATGATTGAAATATGGTGAAAAATACCAAGTGCTGTCACTGCCGGATGTGAACCGCAGTCAATAGCCACAGTGAGTGGAACATCCAGAATGGTTCTGTGCCATAGCTAGAGTTATCCACCCTTGTTGTCTACCTCATCATGGCAGGCTTCATCATTTGAGAAGTTTCAGGATGGGACAGTTTCTAGAAGGCTGACAATAATAAGAGTAAGAGTATAAAAGAGTGACGGGAATTTCTCCAATGAATGTATCTGTCATGTTCATTAATGACTGAATCTTCACAATGTTGTGCATTGTTCTTACTTTGAGAGGTTTCTTCAGATCTGCACTGGTATACTTTATGAGCTGTTGTAGAGTGTCCTGAACCAAATTTTCACGGGTAACAAATAACACGAGACACGGGTTCACTGGGTCGATAGGCAGGAAGAGACTTGAGAAGTTCCTCTGTGCAACTTCATCTATTGCAGTCTGCAAAATACCATTTCAAATTTTAACAAAAGAACAAAAACCTTAAAAGCATCAGACAATATTGAATCAACCACTGCACAATCAAATTAAAAGTGTTTGTTTGTTTCTTGTTTAATAGACCGCCTCCATGGTCTAGTGGTAGAGCGTCCGCCCAGAGAGAGGAAGGTCAGGGGTTTAATCCCTGGCCTCGTCATAAAAAAGACAGTTGCTATATAAGTGCAACAACCTTGCACACGATGTTAAATCCCATTTCACCTCACCTCACTTCTTGATTAATGCTGCACTCAGCAATATGACAGCAGCTCATAAATAATTTAGCCTGGTCCTGACAAACCAGTCATTGGATCTAATGAGCATCAATTCATGCCGTTGGGAGATGAGGACAATCAATCAATGACATCACCAAGCCTGAACACCCGAACCAATAAGTCGCCTCGTACTACATGCATAGGTTGCTGGGGCCATTGCTAACCCGGAATCCCCATGGGACTATGAGCTTAGGTTGCTGGGGACTGATTCTGGCCCGGAATTAGAAGTGGAATGCCTGACCATTCTGCAAACCCAAACAATATTGAAATAGGGCTGCATTTCTGACTTGCATCACCAACCAAAACATCGACTGACACACTGTGTAGGATGCAGTGTCCGAAATAACTGCCTGCCCACCTGCCTGACGTTTAAGGGTCACCTGCCCAACTGTCCTGTTGGGTTTAAAATTATTTCATTGGCTTTGCAGGCACCAATTCTGAGAGATATCTGAAGTAAATGCATTTCAACAGTTGTTACTTTTATCTATTTTAGGTTTTCTATGGCCATTAAAACTTACCACAATGACTTGCCCTACAGTAAGTGATGTGTGTATCCCTTCTCGTTGACTATTACAGGTATGTAAACAGTAACGCTGTGGCAACGTACCTGCATCTGCATCATGGCATCGGTCTGCAGGAGCATGCTCTTGGCCGCCGCATCGAACAGGAATGGATAGTTACAGAAGTGGAGGCCCTGCCCAATACAGACCGTTATATTAACCACAGAAAGTACCATTAGTACACAACAATATTAACATGATGATTACTCAAAATTGATCAGAAGTATCTCATGACATAGCCGACTCTTTTGGAGGGATTTGGGCTTTTGTGCTGTCTTTAACATGTATAAAATATAAAAAAAATAATAAATAAAAAAAAGAGGCCATACAACACAATTTCCCACCTGTTGCCTGAGTCTGGAGTTCTGCTGAACCCAACTGACATAGTCAGCTTTGATGTTAATCTTGTCCTTGAGTTCTCCGACATAGAACTTGTGATAGGGGATGATCTGCCCATTCTGTTCATTGACCACATTCAGTTTCTTCAAGATCTCCAGTGACACATAGAGGCCCTTGCCTCGCTTTTCACTCTGAAGCAAAAACACCACAATCACATATGGAAATGTTTTCTCTGGTGAGGAAATTGTTTTGACAAGTGTATTATTGTCATGATTATCATTCTTGAGTGAGTGAGTATGGTTTTATGCTGCTTTTAGCAATATTCCAGCAATATCACGGCGGAGGACACCAGAAATGGGCTTCACACATTGTACCCATGTGGGGAATCGAACCCGGGTCTTCGGCGTGATGAGCGAATGCTTTAACCACTAGGCTACCCCACCGCCGATTATCATTCTTGAAGGGAAGTAACTTGTAAATGATTTAACATTGATATCTGACTGATCCAAACACTAATATACTTTTTTGTTCTTTGAAAATGTTTCAATTTTTGGGGGTACCTGTCAGCACATGGCATGTGCCCTTCCCAATTACTGGATTTCTAAGTGTGCCCTTTAGGCACATGGAACTTATTTTCACCATGCCATTATTACTCTAACGGTTATGGGTACTTTGAGCAAGATCATTGAAGAAAGAAGTATTTGCTCTGTAAGACTTCCGTCATACCTCATGAGGATTCGTGGTGTCTGGCAGCTGCAGGATATACTGGACACACTGCTTATACACCTGCACAAACAAACAGCAGGTCATACAACATGTCCGTCATCATTGGTCTGATGGGGCGTATGTCCACAAACAAACCTATTGCTTGCATTATGATAGCCGTTTACAACAAAGGAATCAGAACTAATTTTCTAACTCATCCAAGTTTACATGCATGCCCGTACGGATTAATGCACGCACAGATTAATGTGTGAGGATAGCACACAATGTCTCAGGTCTTCAGTGATTTTAGTGGAGACAAATAGCATTTAGACATTTTCACGAACTTACCAGCATTTTAAAGAATATTCCTCTAATCCTTAATAATTCTAAAAAGACCTTAGGGACATTTTGATCAGTCAATGACGCTCAAATGTCAAAGCAATAGTGAACAGCTGATGAATGACTTTGTAAGGGAAATGGTTGCCATACGGAAAATTTTGAGGACGGTGTGGTTGACAAGAAAAACATAATATAATTCACAAACCGGCCGAGAAAATTTTTTTCTTCTCAAAAACAGTATGACTGTAATAACAGATAACGAACTGTGGAAGATGTGTGGTTGAGCAAGTTTGAATGGGCGGAGATGAACATAGATGGTGGGGAATTATTTTGTACTGTCTGCCAAGAACATAAAATTTAACAGGGTAAGTGAAAATACATCTTCCCAAGGCAGGTGAGTTACCTGGCTTTAAAAGTCCGGTGTCCACCCTTGCTGAATTAGGCTGGTATTATGGAGTTATATGTTGGCTGGACTAACGAGTATATGCATAGTCCAATCAAAATCGCTAAACGAAATCGAAATCAGGTTTGTAAGCTGTCATGCAGATTTCGGTCGATTGCAGGATTTGCGAAGGATGTGCACCGCCAACTCGGCGTCAGCATATATTTTCCAAATCTTTTGCATGTTTTTAATCAAGGTGCACACATGATTTGATTCACTTTCCAACGTCAGACCCGTTTTATCACAATATAGATCTTGATTATTGATCAGATCATCTTGACTGGGTGCCACCATTTTGTTTGAAGCAAATGCAAGTGATACAAGATGTGGAATCTCATTGGTCAATAGGGGAGGCATAGAAGGGACACAGTTTGTACTAACCACTGATGGCGCTACGATCGAACCCAGAAATTCCAGTCTAGTTCGGCAAGGGTGGAAACTGGACTTTTATAGTCAGTTAACTCCCTTGTCTCGAGAAGATGGTAAAAATACTGCAGGACAAGTATTATCTACTTCGCCTGCAAGATAAGTTAGGCTTAAGAAATTTTTCAAGCCCTGTTTCATAACTGGGTACCAGGACATATTGCTATGGTTGCCTCTACAAGACTTACACTGACAATTCTATGGAAATACGTCTCTTGTAAGGCGGACCACCATAAATCTGAAACATTGGAAGAAAACAAACATGAAACTCCATTTAAGAATTGCCGATTACTCTGTGTAAATACATGAGTATGTACCTTCAAAGAGAAAAGCCCCACTGTATGAATGTGGGGTTTGTGACAACTCTGTCAAGGTCCATGCTGTTGAACTCACAGAGCAAAAGTCAATTCTTAGAAATGTTTATTTCAAGATTTAATGCCTTCATGGGAGTCTGGGAATCACTTTTCTATTCTGTAAACAAAGCACCTTCTCTTGCATGCCTTGTGACTGCCACACAGACACCAACTGTGTCACATGTAAACATTAAACTGCCAAATATAAATGAGAACAATCAAAGAGAAAATCAAATGGGATTTCACGAGAGTATGCAATAGACATTTTGGTAACTTCCTAGACCATACAAAATGCTGAAAAGTGACATTGTCAACTTGCAGAAAGCCTAATGGGAGATGGTGTATATTGTTCAATTATTTGAATAACATCTGAATGACAAACATGTCATTCTTACACTTGTCAACTATTTTATTTGTGTGTTAAATCTCGAGGTGTAGAAATTCATTGTCAATACACTGTTCCACAATCACATATGGCCATTATGCCTTGTCGTAGTGTTGCATGTCTTTTGTTAGCCAGCTTATGAAATAACGCTGTGGATAACTTTAGGAAGCCCAGTTAGCACTGCTCCATGCATGAACCTCGTGTGAGTCTAAACAATGCTGGACTTGAAGTAATGTCCCAAGACTCATGTGAGAAACATTAACATTGTGTGATGTAATCTGAGCACTCAGTAATCTGAAAACTATATGACAACTCCCTCACTAGAAAATTACATGGGTTTTATTGGTTGGTACAAAATAGAACTGCACTGCGTAACACCCATATGTTGTTTGTTTGTTGTTGCACTCAGCAATATTACAACTATATGACAGCGACCTGTAAATATCCAAGTGTGGACCAGACAATCTAGTGATTGACATTGTGAACAAGGATCCATGCCATCAGGGTACAATGACACACCATCAACAAGGTCACTGAGCCTCACCGCACGATTCCTTTGGTCGCCCCTTACGACCCCGGCATAGGTTTCTGGGTACCAATTCCAACCCAGACTACCCACAGGGTACATGCATATACAGGCATGACAGAGGAATGTAGCGTATACATGCTCATAAATATTGATGACGGGAGAAGTTGGGGCCTACATTTGTCATGAATGCACTCATCAACAGTGTCTGACTAGAGATAGCTACTAGGTGACTCCATGATATATACCAGTAAATAAGGGCTGCAGAATGTAGAATGTAGCAGCCATATAGAGGGAGGCCTTATACATGATCAACTCCCACCTAAAACTTTGGACGCAACTCTGTCAAGGTTGAGGATGTTTTTTCCAAATGGGCAGATGAGTGAGCTGTAATACTTGGGCTGGTCAAAGAGATGGCATTCTGGGAGGATGAGGAACACCCTCAGGGCTTCCACATCAGGGGGCGAGGCAGGCAGACTAGGTAACAGATCTTGTTCTATGCTGTTGGTTATCTGAAATACAAAAGTATACATATGTTGTTAATGTTACTTTTATTAACTTTGTCATCATGTTTTTTGTTTGTTTGTTGTTTAACACTGCACTCAGCAATATTCCAGCTATATGACGGCGGTCTGTAAATACAAGTATTCAAGTCTGGCTAGCGTGACCACCCGATCCTGTAGTCGCCTCTTACGACAAGCATAGTCGCCTTTTATGGCAAGCATGTTACCTGAAGACCTATTCTAACCCAGATCTTCCCGGGTTTGCAATCATAGCACTGCTTCAGATACCCAAACGAGCTTCATAGATGCCTGGGTCTTGTTAGTTGTAAAGGTGAGTTGTAGAGGAGGATCACTTGAGTGAGTGAGTGAGTGAGTTGGGTTTAACGCCGCTTTTAACAGTATTCCAGTTATATCACGGCTTCTCAGCTTAATGTGGGAGGAAAGCCCGAAGTGATGCAGGTCTCAGACATTTACCACTTCGGTGAAACCCACGAGCATGGGTATGGTGCTGACAAACCTAGGCTTTTGTCTACAGCTTATCATGTGGTCACATGACCAGCAGACCTGTGAAGATCCAGGGTAGAATAGGTCTTCAGCATCCTATGCTTGCCGTAAGAATGACTATGCTTGTTATAAGAGGTGGCTTGCTGAGTAGGTTGATGCATGTCATCGTATTCCAATTGAGTGGATCTTTGCTCATGATGTCAATCACTAAATTGTCTGGTCCAGACTTGATTATTTACAGACCGCAATCATATTGCTGGAATATTGCTGTGTGCGGCGTTAAACAACAAACATGACCAGCAAAACTGCCTCTGATGGTTGAGGGGCCAAAATAATCAGAAGAAGTTAACTTGAGGCATGTGATTGTTGGGTGACATTTCATTTGTCTGCAAAGAAGGCCAAAATTTTCTTAATATTTGGCTAATAAATCTGACAGGCCAGATCACCAATTACATAAGCAATGGGCGATCTTTTTCAATTTATCTTCCCTTCACTAACCCGCTAGGTGCGCTGACCCGGACGGTCCAACCTTAAACTGACGGCGCATGTGGTATGCGCAAAACGAGCACTACATGTTACCATGACGCCTATAGACAGTTAACTAGTATAACCTTCACCTCTGTCGGCAACAGTCACGCTTGTGTTGGACAGCAAATCTTTTCGCCTAAACAATGACTTATCTATTGCCATGTCCGGAAATAAATGTTCTTTGATTTAATGATACATCAGGGATGACCACGACTGATCATATTGTATAGTTATCCACTAGACAGGCTTTCGAAGCGATGCGGTGAGATCAGCTGATCGTTCATCCCAGGTCGCTTTGTTGACGTTTTGCAATTGGTACTGAAAGTGTTGTCCTTGATGTATGAATATGAAAAAAAAGTAGATTTTGTATACGTTCCTATATCTATGTTGTAGCATCGCCGAGCAGGCTACATCATATGCATGCATTTCAGTATGTACAACGGTGAGACGATACGGTACGCGAAATGTGGTCTAATGCAACGTAAAGTTGCCCGTAGCCTCAATGTTGTGAATATTGACAGCAACACATGTCAATGATGTGAAATGTAAGTATTTGTCAGATATATAACAGAGAGCAATGAGAAATGTTCTCAAGAAATTGTAAGAGTAACAGGCACTGTCATCAACTAGATATCATGATACAATGTTCAAAACAAAAGTAATGGAAATCACTGAAATTTGTTTTGATATTAAGGGTTAATTAGTGCATGTTGTATAAAAGGATTATATGGTTATGAATGGTAGCTGTTTGTTGCCAAATACTACCATGATTATATTCCAGTATGATCAATGAAAGATATATATTATTTTGGCCTTTTTTGAATTTTACAAAGTAGAAAAAAATAATTTTCAGACACAGAGGACCCTATATATTAGTTAAATACATATTCAAGAGTATTTGACTAACTACAATTTTTTAAAAATAAAACATACCAATACTAACATATATTCATACTAATTGTCAATCTCTATAATGTTGATTGTATTAAAACTGCAGTGTCTACATCCAGTTTGCATTGACAATAATCATATGATTGTAACACAGATAAAGCTGATTCTTAACTTCATTAGGCCTTGCTTCTTATGTTTCCTTGTTCTAAACTGATGTTTCAAATTCCAACATAAACAAATTATCAATGTTATTTTTTTTCTATACACACCAATAGATATCTGCATTGCACAATGACTCTTATTATTTTATTTAATATCTCGGCATACTGGTGCATGTGTACTAGTCTTTGATTACACATGCATGACTTTTCAGCAGTCATCTGTTTCTGAACTGAATATTATGCTAACAAAGATAAGTAACATAAAAAAAGAACTCAAGGATTCAATTCATTGTGAAAACATTTTTAATTTCTTGCATAAGTTACTTTGATCTTGATAGATCAAAATAGATCCAAATTAAATAGAGGAGATTAAATTATGCAGTCTAATTCATTTCAGCCAGTCTGTCTAAAATCCGGTCCTATTTTTCAGGCAATAATAAATTAATGAAAATTTAAGAAAAAATATACCTTGCCTGAGTGAATCAGTCAATATGCACATTAACTAAAATTTTCAGTCAATATACATATTGGACCTGTTTATAGACACTGACTGTAACATATGTAAGTATTATCTGTTGTATGCAAAAACAAATAACATAAATAAATCCATTTATCTACATGGAATGATTGTGGGGTTCAATTTGCATTTATTTACCCATCAGAAGATTTGATGATAAACTTTCTAAATTCATATTTGCTATATGATAATAATATCTTCAAAATATACTTTATATTACAGGTGTCTTGAAATATTGTTGAATGAAAATCAGGATACTTAGATACATCAGGATAGTGTGTTGGTATGTATGGGAAATAATTTGTCAACATTAAAATAAATATAATGTTACTAAAACAAGAAGATAAAACTATGATTTCCATTTTTTTATGCATCATACACATTTTGTGGGGTAGTCAGTATGATTTGTTGTTTGTTGGGACAAATCTCTGTAATTTACTACTATTTGAAGAGCATGAGTATCAGAATTCTGTAAGAAATTATTGATCAATGATTTAACACCTGTGATGACTCAGAGCACTTAATGGTGAGACACATGTTATAAGGGGCAGAATATATGGGTAAATCTCTTTTTTCAAAGTATGATGACTAGTATGTATATTGCAACTGAGTAACTGAGTGCTTAATAGATGCATGGTAGATTTTCATTTGGCCTATTTCTAAAAAATAATATAAATTTAAATATTCAGATGCAACTTTTATTTTTGATATAAAAAGTAACATTTAAAATCAGTTGTTTTATTATTTTGAACGTTATTTCTTCTTAAAATATTTGTAAAGGCACGGATGTATACTTACTATATATAGATCATTGGTAAACCCTGTCAAAGATGTCTGTGTGTTGCAAATGTAGGCATATCACTGATTTTATTAAATTGAAGTCCATGGTAGTATTTGTTGAGATTGGAATGCTTGAATTGTTGTGGGAAATAACACAAAGGCTGATAAATAAAATGAGTTTGTATTATTTCATCGATGCAATATGTTAGCCCATACTGACAGAATGCCTGGCTGTTTTCTGACGTAGAAAATACCGTGGCAATGTACCGTCTTTCATGACGTTTTTCCCGCTATCTTCCATAGTGACAATTCGTCTTGTAGTTGAAGACTCAACAAATGTTGATAATATAAACTAATAATCACTACAAAATATGTGCTAGTTAAAAATATTCAGTTGTAAACGACCGTTTTTGAACGAAGGTGCAACAGGATAACTCTTTAGCTTGGCTCCGTCTCTACATGTCAGTAGTTGGCGCAGCGCGCATAGATCCGGGAACCAGACCGGTAGCGACAGTTTGGACCGTCGCTTATATCATTTCAAAAGGAGAGTTATTGCCCTTTGGAACAAAAAGATCGCCCATTAGCCATAGTTCCACAGGAACAGAAGCTCATCTTTATGCAGTGATATGACACACGTGTAAATGTCACAATACCTCATACATGTAATTGGATGCAATAGGTGTGATAATACTGGGTTAGCTCAGCAGATAATGCTGGGGTTTATCTGGGTTTCTTATTTCAGAGGCTCAGGTGACTCAGAAACTAAGACTGTAAGAGTGAGTGAGTGAGTTGGGTTTAACGCCGCTTTTAACAGTATTCCAGTTATATCACGGCGTGTCAGCTTAATGTGGGAGGAAAGCCCGAAGTGATGCAGATCTCAGACATTTACCACTTCGGTGAAACCCACGAGCACGGGTATGGTGCTGACAAACCTAGAAACATAATCGGGGCGAACCGGGATTCGAACCCACAATCATAGGTTTCTGGCGTGCATAAGGGACACAACTCTGCACAGCGAATTGCGGTGCCGTAGACGACTGGGCCACCCATGCCCCCGAGGATCACTTGAACTGTTCCCTTTGTTTCATTTGAATTGTGTACAATGTGTGCCCCGCTACACTAATTGAGTGAGTGAGTGAGTGAGTTTGGTTTTACGCCGCTTTTAGCAATATTCCAGCAATATCACGGCGGGGGACACCAGAAATGGGCTTCACACTAATTGAGAGAGATCTATTCCAGAGAAGCATTTCAAGAACATTTCAAGGCCACTCGGGGCTCATCTTCTGAGGATTTTAAAGAGGGTGTGTGCTCCTTGTCTTCTAGGAGAACCTGATGATTCACATATGAATTTCCATCAATGAGAGCATTTGCATCATATGGAATGTTTTCTGTGTCCCCCTGTCAAGGTTAGTTTCGGGTCTTGGAACATAACCATTGTACAATGTATCATCAGTATGACAATGAATGTTGTAACCACTGAGCTATATAAAGTATTAGAATCCATGGGCAACTATTGCTGGACAAATGCAATACCACTGCAACAGTTCAGATGGCCCCAGTAATCAACCCTTCCATCTGACACTGAAACTGACCGATGCTGTCCTTACTCACCCTCTGAATGATTATAACATTGGATGTCTGTCCAAGTTGGTGGAGGTGGTGCCGGACATTTGGCATGTCCACTCCAGGGTTACGACTACTGCTGCCGAAGTGGCGATCTTGACTGGAACACAACAGTACAAAGCAATACAGTCATTGTTCATCCAGTTAACGGAAACCTGCGAGGCCTATACAACAACATTCATATCCTAGAACATGGAAATGTGAGTGAGTGAGTGAGTGAGTGAGTGAGTGAGTGAGTGAGTGAGTGAGTGAGTGAGTGAGTGAGTGAGTTGCATTCTTCTTTTCGTTAAGTGGCTGGTTTGAATTACAGAAACATATTCAAATCAAACCCAAATCCCTCCCAAATTTCCAACACATCAAACAAGAAATTGACCATGAATTTGGAAAATACTCAATTTTGATTGGTCAATCAGGTATCAAATCACAATAAACCCCCTCTGATTGAAACAGTTGACTTGACGTCTACATGGAAGATAATATTTTTAAAATAATACTTCTTTCACAGACATTGTGTGTGGGCATATTTAAATGATTATATGTACAACTGCAGGTTACAAAATACAAAGCTGCAGTTACTACAATATTCAAAGGGCGTGTGGCAATACATTTCGTACAAAAAACATGATATAAATCTTTAAAGGGAATGGATTTCAAATTTTGAGGACAAGAGACAGCATGCTATTATGCGCTTTTCTATACACGACTGACATCATATCTGTGCGTCACAATGAACGATATGACGTCATAATAGTGATGTGCGGTGCCTTTGCAATACATGCTTAGTTTTCTTTATTGGTGCCCACCTCATATCAGCTTATGAAGTTGCCAGGCTACATGCTTTCAGTGCCTGTCATAAGTTTGAGTGGAGTATTGCGGTGTAAACAAACTGTTTGAGCAAATAGAGTGCCATGTTTTGTTAAAAGGCTGTTGTCGATGAGTCCGTAAATTCTGATGGACAACCCACTCAAAACACTGGACTCAACCCATGCTACTTGACTCAATATATTAATATATAATAAGAGTTCGCATTTTATTTAGTCATGGTAGAATGGAGATAAACATACTTATTCAAGGAAACCAACAACCCTAATAAAATCCTAGATATTTATTTATATTTGCATACTTATCCTGTATTAATCCTTAATGCTACTAGTTCCTGACAGAAAGAAGAGCTGTGTGAGGTCTTCCTGTTGTTCCAACTGGTTGTGTGGCTAATCCCATCACACAGCTCCCATGTGACCACGGAACTGATGACGTCACATATCATCACAACACTGCTGTCACTCCGAGAGAACAGTCACCTGTTTTAAGCTCTCAGCTTTATCCATGACAATCCTTTGTGTGTTATTATGACACTACTGTTTCATGTGAATTGTATCCTTCCTATGGTTTGTGTCTTCATATATTACATATGATTTTTACTCTTGCATTATTTAACGCTTGATGGTGACTTTATTGAAACTAAGGTTGTGGATTGGTTCAGGATACTGATCATAGTAAATCAAGACATAACACACTGGATGATCAGGGATGACCAGTGACTAAATGCAGCGAGGGGGTCCTGGAGTTCTCGAGGCTTCCTCCATTAGTATTGGAATCTCAAGACCCCCTATACTAAGTATTGGAAATACTGCAAAACTGAAAAGTTCTGTACTTACTCAACTAAGAATGACCCATTTAGACAAGACGCATGAGAGAAGATTTTTGTGACATCTCTGAAAGAGAAAGGGAACACTCACATCTATTGAAAACACATTTTGATACATGGACAACAACTTATTTTCTCAACACAAATCAGCTAATAACGATAGGACTTGATACCATGGGAATAACTATCAGATATATTATAAGGGAACCAAGCACAGAAAACTTATCTGACATTGTAACACAAATTGAACAGTGTGTGACACACCAGGGTTTTACCATGACTAACAAAATTGGGGGTCCAGGTGACACCCATAATTAATTTAAAGGGTCCTTGTAGGCAGTACGAGGGTCCTGTAAATTAATGAAATGGCGTAGTGTACTGTACGCTTAGATAATTACTTGAGAGCCTGGAATGAATCAATGATCATGTGGACAGTGGTCATGTTGATGGATAAAATGACAGATGCTTGATTGCTCGATACGCTGTAGCTACATTATAAATTTTATTGTGCTTCCCTCGGGACGCAGCATATTAATTTTCTGCATCAATTCTCTACAGTTGTGCGTCACGAAATAAACCAACATACTCTGACAAGTCTATGGATGGCATTTCATCTGATTTGAGTTGAGCAATTTCTTGAGTTCTCTGTGGACTGAGGGTGAGGATCTGTGTGTCCGGGTCTATGTTTCTGTAGTCCGCTGGGCGACATCCTTCCTGAAATACAACACCGCTGCTCATTAGCAGGGTCACCATTCACCAACATTTGATTCATTATTTACACTTAATGATATGACATGCTTCTCTAATATTCATTCATACCTGTATCGATTTTCATGAAGCTTTGCAATTACCTAGCCCAACTATTTTGGCTAGTTTTGGAGCCTATCACAAAACACACTGCTACACCCGAATCCATGATACATTTAGGATGAGAATAAACTGACAACAGACTTTTGTTGATAACAATCTCTTATCAGCCAGGTTGCAATGGAAAATCGCCCAAATTTTTATCTTGATCATGACTTAAATATCAGGATGTTCATCACAAAATGGAGTTTTGTTTCTTAGTAACTGTTGCTTAACGCTGCACTCAGCAATATTCTATTGATATGACGGCAGTCTGTAAATAAGTCTGGACCAAACAATCCAATGATTGACATCATGAGCATCTATCTATGCAATTGGGATACGATGACATGCATCAACCAAGTCAGTGAGCCTGACCATCCACTCCTATTAGTCGCTTTTTACAACAAACACAGGTTGCTGAAGATCGATTCTAACCCGGATCTTCATGGGTACATGAGGCAGGCACATCATGACTACCCTATTGCTCATGTGCTAAAACACTTACCAGATGTAAAATAATATTAAAAACATTCAGTAGTAGTTAACATAATAAAAGAGTTTCTGGGTTTTTATTTATCAACTTGTAATATAATTAAGAGACATCACTGCACATATAAGAATCCACATTTTTACACATGATAACAAGATCTTTCAAATCTCAACTTACCATGAGCACTTTGTTTTTCAGAAATATATTTGCCTTACCTCTGAAGTTACTATCACAAAACAATGATCACTCCCAGCAAAAATCCTTAGAATATGTATTATCACAGATGCTTGATTATTTTGCACAGAATAACTAGTTCCCTGAGGTGCTTCTACTAGGCCTCTCACTACACATGGACTAGTTCTGTTATCATGGCTTCCGAGTCCAAGCTGGCCATTGCCACCGAGTCCAAAACTATACAGTCTGCCTGATAACACAGCTATTGCTAGGGTATGCCGCCTGAAACACAAATGAGGACAATACACTGACATGAAGGCAAAGTCACCAACATCCACCATCCTCTTAAATATATGCTTAAAATGACAAAACGTATGCCACACACATAATCATACCAAAATTAGCGACATCTAAATATATTTGACATTTGTATACTGCTTCCTTTGGACAGAAAAACGAAGTTGTGTGAGTCTAGGTGAAGAAGAAGTTGTTCCAATCACTTGTGAGGCAGGCCCCATCACACAGCGCCTACAGAAGCGATGACAGCACATGTCTTCACATTACTGCTTGATGTCTGACTTCTGGGGTCACGTGGGAGCTGTGTGATAGGGTTAGCCACACAACCAGTTGGAACAACTTCTTCAGCAAGACCTCTCACAAGCCCTTTTCTTTGTCAAGACTAAGCAGTAAATGCATTAAGGAGTAATGCAGGATAAGTTAAAAATTAATATTTTCAAAACTGTAAATCGTCATTCAATAATAAAATCAGTAAAAAAATAAACTCTTCCTGAAATGAAGAAAGACGCTTTGTATGTTTCTATTTTAATGAACATTGCACCATGAACATTGCACCATGAACAGGGAACATGATGGAGCCCCTTTCTAGAACTTTGTTTTGGTGGGAGATAATGACTCAAGAATGAAACAGTGCTTGAAGTTAAGGGGAATGCCTAGGTCCTTGAGGATGTTAGCTATGCTATCAAAAATTAGGCACAAACAGATTTCCTAAACTCAGTGTTCCCCCTGGCTTATTAAACTGCCAGTCCCAGTGGACTGGTAACTCTAAAAAGTAGCAGTCCCCCCCCCCAATTTATGTCAGTCCCAACTTTGAACAAATTCAATGATGTCATCTTTGAAGTAACTAAGATGTACATGTCATTCACTAAAAGTTCAACCACAACTTTGTCTCTTTTTTTATAGTTTTTCACTTGGTTCAAGACTTAGTCACTACAAATAGATATTTACCCTTGAAGCACAGCGAAATGTTATTTCCTGAACTAAAAATAGACAATGGAAAACCCTGACAAAGGTGACTTCGTTCGAAACATATAGTTCATTAATTAGCACCTATGTTTTGGTCAACAACAATGTCTTTATAAGGTGCTTTATTTGCCGATCCATTGTCAACGGACATGAATTACTTTTCCAAGCCTAATTTTACCAGTTAAAAACTGGTAATTACTGGTAAACGAGAACGATGTAAACCCAGTCAAAATACATGGACTAAAAATGTTGCATCTCATTTGAGCTAATTATTAATTTAGTAATGAAACAAGCTTTAAAGAAAGTCAACATAGGAAGGAAAGTATCCCTTGGAATAGTCATCCCAAGAAACATTTTCCTTTATTTTACCAGATTAACAATTCATTTCCAAAATTGCTGTTAAAAGATGTCATTCAAATGCCTAATGACGGTTGATAGAGTGGATCTCTGACCTGCCACAGACGATCTGTGAGATCTCTGTGCCCATGAGCTCCATCACCTTCTTGGGAAGGATCTCATTGTTGGTAGACATGTGACCAAGCTGCCCGTAGCTGCCAGCACCAAATGTAAACACACCACCGTCCTGAAACACAGAAAATACAATACTGTGTCACCACTACCAATGTATGACTTTACCCACTTGTCACAATCTTAGTGTCAGTGTATACTGCCCATTACATGTAGCAGTCCCAAACTCCCTATGCTGATCTCTTCCCAGTGACCTTTAGCCAAGGTCATTCTCTCCATCCAGGTTCTTACTACCCCCCCACCACTCCTCCACACACACACATTCAACTCATTTCATCAAGGACTTTGACAAGGATAACCCGTTAAAATGTTTCACGCAAATGACCATGACGGAACAGAAGCATGGGAGTAACACCCTCTCCACTGTGCTACTGGAATGTCCCTGTCAACCAGTATTCAGACTACGGTATTCGACGTAATAAGCGCCCCGCTCTAATAAGCACCCACGGCGATATTTGCTAATATAATGGCTAGTGAACGATCCCAATTAGCACCCCTTCCGATTGATCAATGTACACAAGACATATTTATTCGTGTATAATACGCACTCATGTGTTATATGCACCCTTAATTATGGGCAATTTAATTCTGGAAAATATATGTGTCGTGTAAAATACGCAGACTTTTCTTTTGTATCATTTCAGGCTATCAGCATAAACCACGAAATTTACAATCTTTCAACTCTTTCAACAGAATAATGTTCTAATAAGGGCCCCCTAATTTTCATTTTGATAGCGCCCTGGGCGCTTATTATGTCGAATACGGCATATACAAACCATATTCTCGTGTATGACAAAATGCACGGATTCCAAAGACCAATGAATTTACCCCTTGATTATTACAATACTGTTAGTTTTTGAAGATCATTGTATAGAATCCACTTTGTGATTCATACGATACACCTCTTAGTAATTAAATACATGGTAATGATATCGCGTACAAATAAAGAATATTGACAACACAAAAAGTGCTGTTCTCTTCAACATATTGAGAACCTAATGCAGAGGAAACACATCTACTGACAGTTGTGTGACCTCCTTGTCCCCAGTACCTGAGTAAGTGCAGCAGTGTGGTCCTCACCACAAGATACAAATTTGATTTTCTGATATCGGAGTGATTTGCACAAGGTTGGGAATGGTCGATCTGAAACAAGTTAAGCCTTCATTGAATGTAACTCAAGAAAAAACATGATATATGGCATAAGAGAAAGAAATATTCTAACCCCCACCATTTTATTACAAAAATTCCTTCAATATTTTTTCAGTTAGGGTGGCATAAAAGCAAAAAACATTGTACACACTGACTAAATTTGGAAATTTTCCAAAAATTGTATATTTATATACTTATCCAATCTCACACTTTGCATTTCTTCTTTCTTTTTACATCCTATGTGGAAACATGCTTGAACAGTTTCCAGCTTCTAAAAAACAATCACCCAAACACACCCCAGCATCACCATGGTGACCTCCCAAACAAATGGGTCACGGACATTATCCCATGCATAGCTTCCTACACAACCTGATCACGTGCCTCCTTTGTCTGCCGCATCATTCTCCTTTGTCAGAGCTAACAGCCTAGAGGAGATAAGATGCAGGAGGGATGGTCAGGTGGGCATATAGCGTGTGAGATAGGATAATAGTATCAACATACAATTTATTGGAAAATTTCCAATCTTATCCTATCTCGCACTGTGCATTTTATCCAACGGTTGGATGGTGAGCGTAGATACCCTAGCCTGTAAGACTACAACTGTGAGACGTACACGAGGATGCTGGTTCTAAACAGTGAAATAAATAATATAACTAAACCACTGCCTCATGTGTAAAACAACAAGAATTTGTGAGCGGGATATCAACTATCAACTGGTGATAAGATCCCGATATGCTACTCGAACGTAATAGCACTCAATTGGGTCAATTGATTCTGCCAGTCTTTCTCCACTGGACAATAGCATATGTCTGCATCTCTTTTATGGCCTCATTAAGGCTTTTAAACACACCGAGTGATTAAAGTGTGCCAAGACGAGAAGAGGAACGATCAACAACATCTAATCAGATCTGCCCGGGATCGTAGCGTTCAGCTGGAAGCTAGTTCTTCGCAACAAAATCACAGTGAAGATCCAAGAATACCTTTCAGTTCTTGGACCGTTCAATCTGAACCCTGTTGTCGTCCAGAGTGTGAATCTCGCTCATACGAGCAGCAGTTGCAAGGACCAATAGAGATAAGATCTTGAAAGGGAAATCCTTGAGCTTCCGCGTAGATCGCAGGTGATGAAGATATTCAGCGGTCTGTTGTGGTGTAGCAGAAGTGGAAATGTCACAAGTGCGACAGAAAGCCTCAAAAGCCGTCGTAAAGGCGTTTGATAGAAGAGTGGTGAGCCTCTGTAATAGTCTTCCCTACTCTCTGGGGTTAGCCTTTAGCAAAGAGGGATCCCTGCCAAACACAAAGACGGAGCGTGACGAGTGACAGGTGGAACAACTGGGAGTCAGGCTGCAGAAGAATTTCGTCTTGAAGTGGAAGATGGTGGAATCTACCGATGTGGGGAGCAATTGCATGTTGGCTAATAGGGTGCGATCAAAGTCAGTGTGAGGTGATTGTTGGTTTCTATCTTCTGAAGGACCCGAGGAAGATCGGCAATATCTTCAGTTAAAAAGCTGTCAGACTCCGTCATTGACCACAGATAGTTCAGGGAACAAGGCTGCTAACGGGACAGCAGCAGACATGGTGGCAGAAGACAACTTGCTGTAGATTGATGAGTGACAACAGACGACATTTTTGCATTCGTCGCGTGTTGAGACTTCTTGTCGGAGTCACAAGATTTAGAGCCTCCATTTCCCTCTGATGATATTTTTGGAGATAAATGCATTCCATACAGTGTGACAAAAGGCTGCTGCATCATCCGCAACAATCTTTTGATGTGGGTAAGAGGTCGAGTAGGTATGTTGACACTGCGAACAAGCAGGACATGGATCATCTCGCTTTTTCCTTCTTCTTTCCCTTTCCCGAGCGTGGTACAAAAACAGCTGTGGAAAATTCATTGAGAGAAAAACACCTGAAGCGTTTTCTCTTATGATAACACACGTCACCATGGTGTAGCGATGAGCAAGAGAATGAAGTGACAGACAAAGGAGGCACGCAATCAGGTTGTGTAGGTCGGTGGATTGTTTTACAGAAGCTGGAAACGGTTTAAGTACGTTTCCAAAACATAGGATCGAAAAAGAAAGAAGAAATGCATAGTATGAAATAGGACAAGTTTAAAAATATGTTTTTACATTTATACCTTCATAAACTCATATTGAAGTAACAGAAATTCACGAAAATTAATAAAAATTCCCTTTAAAGGGTATTTCTGTGAAGCTTCTATCTAAAAGGTTTGCAATATTCAGAGGTGCTTAATATGTGCTTAACTATTTTACTTACCTCTTTCATCATTTAACCCAAGCTGCCCAAAGCTGCAACATAAACCATATATAACACATAATAAATGCAGGTTCAACCTTTTCAACACACAATCAACACTACACATTTAGCATAACTTTGCAAAAGTGTTATTTGAGCGCAATGAGGTGTAAGCATCGATAGTGTCAGATTAATTATTTTTGAAAAGTTCTTTACAGCTATAATAATAAAGTACAGTCAAGTCCCGTTAATCCGAAATGGTTGGTTGCATATGATAGTATCAACATTCGTGATCGAAAATCGGACAACTACACGATAGATAACGATACAAACACGTAATAAGAAAATAAATATTCATATTGTTATGTTAAATTGTTAGTGGAATATGTTTTAACCATGTTAACATAAAACAACTGTTACGGACTGTATGACTTATTCAAAATACTGTAAAAAGTCTGGAATCGAAATCACAAGTTTGAAACTGGTACCGCAAAGCTAAAGAAAGCTGTTTTCTAAGTGGCTAACATTGACTTCCTGTTAGTCATTTTATTGGTCGGTCATAGATCGCTAAAGGTTGTTCTGACAAGACCAGTACTGGGATGTCCTCGGCGATAGCGAGAACGTGTATCTGATTTTAATGATTGAGATTGAGGTAATCTAAGAATGTGATTAATCCTCTTTTCTTTATTTAAAGCATTAGTTTCTTATTGTTAAGCAAGTTTATCTCTGCAGCCGTTGTAATATGCAGCTACCAGCCGACTCATCTCGCCTCAAAACACGGGCTGTGTACTCGCGGACAGATGACCACGGAGTACTCTGATTACTGTGTCGGATTAACAAGACTGATTAATGAGTGATTTCAGTAATTTCGTTGCAAATTAGGTATGTCGTAGTTGGAGTGCGAGACTGTCGGATTAACGGGTCTAAGTAGCACTGATTTAATCGGTTCCCATCATTAGTGTCGGATAAAGCCAATTGTCGGATTAACGAGTGTCGGATTAACGAGAGTCGGATTAACCAGACTAGACTGTATTAGGGCTGGTGTGACAGCTTGAGATGCCAACCTGTGGTTTGCATTTCAGTGAGAGGAAGGTTGACTTTACCTGTTCCTTCCCCAGCCAAACATGGTGCCAGATTTAGAGAGGACGAAGCTGTGGTTTCCCCCGGCAACAATCTGGGCGATGGGGATTCCCTTAAGACAGGTTAGGAATTCTGGTGTGTCTCGATGGACGGTGTTGTTACCCAGACCTAGCTGGCCGTAGTTGTTGGCACCCCATGCCCCTACAAGACCCTCTGTCAAACATGGAACAATCACATATTCAGTTTCAGAGTGGGGTAACACATGGCTCCCAAAATTTACTGACATTTTTAATACTGACATAATGTTTTTTCCACATCGCAAAAAACATTACCAGCTGATCTAGGATTTCAAACTAAGTGCCCTTGGCAAACAAATTCTGTTTTATTATTTTGTTCAAAATAATGTTAAATTCTTATTTTCTGAAAATATACCATTACCATGTTAATGACCCCCAGCATTTTGTCAGTCAAATATTGCAAAATTTGTTTTAATTAGTGTTTCAAGTTCACTTTTACAAACAGCCGCTACGAACAAGTGTCTCCAGCTAGCTTTTCCCTTTGAACCTGTTCTAAAATATTTATAGGCAAGAAGTTTCCACGTGATTTGATGTTGAGTTGCGAAAATTTTATTTCCCCTTTTGGAATGTCCACTGACATTTTCTGCCGACTTATCGGGTTAAATATCGGCCTCTAAGCAGTTCTTGATAAATCTCTGCCTCAGTACCGAACCCACACTGCTTGGGCATTGAGGAAATATTTTTTAGAAGCTTTGGCTGGGCTGGGCATTGAGGAAATATTTCTTACAAGCTTTGGCTGGTTATCCAACACAATTCTGTAAGGGTGCTGCATGCAGTCACTGACCTGCTGTGAGAACCAGACAATGGTTGTTTCCGCAGGAGATCTGCACCACACTGTGGACTGCCAGGGACTTGACCAGCCTGAAACAAGGAAGTACACAGGTGGAGGAGAGGGTGAGTAGATGAATGAGTGAGTGAGTGAGTTGGTGAGTGGATGAGTGAGTGAGTTGATGATTGAGGGAGTGGGTGAGTGAGTGAGTGAGTGAGTTGATGAGTGGATGATTGAGGGAGCGGGTGAGTGAGTGAGTGAGTGGATGATTGAAGGAGTGGGTGAGTGAGTGAGTGAGTGAGTGAGTGAGTGAGTGAGTGAGTGAGTGAGTGGATGATTGAGGGAGTGGGTGAGTGAGTGGATGATTGAGGGAGTGAGTGAGTGAGTGGATGATTGAGGGAGTGGGTGAGTTAGTGAGTGAGTGAGTGAGCAAGCGAGTAGATGAGTGAGGGAGTGTGTGAGTGATTGTTATCGTAGCCATAGTAACCATGGCTGCCAGCAGTGTTTGAAATAACTGCCAGCCCGCCTGCCCATGGCAGGTAACTTTTTTGTCGGGCTGCATGAAATTTTCCTCCTCCTGCCCAACTGGCAGATAATTTTAAGACTACTTACATATTCAGTTTGATCATAACTCCTTGTACATTCTCAAGTCACTGTTTGCATTATTTCAACAGCATCGAAACCAGATTTGTCTCCTAGTTTTTACAATATTAACAATGCCTGAATGCAGGTTATTTTGATGATGGGCAGGCAATTAGGATTGGCTAACTCATAACAAAGAAAGGGTGTTGATAGACTTACATGACGCCAAAACATGTTTCATTTGTAACATGTCAGTCATTATGAGTTGATTATGATCATGTATAAGTAATGTTGAAGTGTGAATGTACTTGTCTCCGGACATAGTCAGTGCTCAAGGAAAACATGGTAATAAGAAAAAAGATGTTGTATGATGTGTAAACTAACTGCCTGAGATCATGTCTTTATAATGTTCCAGTACAGTATGTGGTGCAGCCAATTTATCTGTTGTGCAGTCACTTGTTAATAGCAGCCCGCAATAGGTGCAGTGAAGAAAAAAAACCCAGATAGAATTGCATCAATGTCGCTCTGTCCTCATCGTTTCTACAGCATAATATGCCACTCAAGATAAAGCAGAGCTCCAGATAAGCTTTTGGGGTTGTGGGTATTTTACCGATGCATTTTAAAATCATTGGGTATCAGTAATTCTATATGCGTATTCAAATTTCCCACAGTTTTTACACATGTGGGTATTTAAGTTAAATATTTAAAAACACTATTCATCTAGTCCCTGCAAACTGGTGTCGTGTGGGTTCGAGAGCTTTATAGGACTCAAAAATACCACGATACTTCCACAAGAAAGTGTGATGGCAAATGATCATGATGTCACTGTCATCGTGGAGTTTGGCAAGGTTGACGGAATGCCTGTTTATAATTTAAAAATAAGTTGCTGATTTGCTAATCGAATACGCAGGGTTACTTCACAATATTTTGATGATACGCACAAGTTTTATTTTTGTAGCGTATCTATAATGTTCAGTGCGTATTTGATACGCTTGGATTATATTTTACTGTGTATTTCTGCATTTCTGATGCGTATTTCACGCAGCTTATCTGGAGCTCTGATAAAGTCTTCCTAAAGAACATGAAACACATGGATGATCATTTCTAGCAATAGAAACTTACTTCGGCATACGGGTCAGCTCATCTGCGATTTTCCCTCGTCCAAGCTGTCCCTGAGAGTTATCTCCCATAGTGAACACCTCATGGGCAGATGTGAGCACCATGCTGTGTGATGATCCTGCCTTCACTCGTATCACATGCTGTGACCGTAAGGTATCGATTTGCTCTGGATGCAGATGGAAATACTACATGAAAGTGATCAACCTTTAACTTCCAAATGACATATGTAAAATCACATACTGATTACTTTTACCAAACAGGGATCGATTTCACTATATCCAAGCTGCACTAGTGCAGGTAAAATATAGCTAGTGCAGGTAACTTTTATTGCCAGGTTGCACCCCGTGCAGGCAATATTTCCCACTACAAGTGCATGGCAGGGCAGCAGTTATATTGATAAAAGTGCAAATCTTTTAGAAACCAAGTAACAAAAGTCATGAAAATAATGAAATACACATGTCTGAATGCAGTGAACTGGCAGAACTAACTCTTCACAATTACTACTAGAACAGTCACTCATGAGGTTAGAATAACAACAGACAGACACTTTGAAAATTCTGTTTAAGGTTGTTTACTGGATATCAAGATGTTCAAAGCCATAAACAGATTTCCTCAAAATAAAATACTGGAGCACATTCTCAAGTTTATATTCTCTTTGAATTTATTTAATATTCAAAATAACTGAAAATACAGTGTTTCAGTTTAGATGAAATGGTGCAGCCAATATTTTGGTGGTGCAACCTGATTAATTCACTTGGTTGCGCCAGGTGAAGGTGGTAAAACAGAATGAAATCGTGTCATGCCAATGTATAATAATCTCAGTATGTCATAACTATGAACAAAATAGCTATATTCACTGATAATGGTTAGCACTCTAAACATTCAGAAATCAGCTTCTTCATCATGTTCATCAAGCATTCTCTGTCCCTCCTACTCAATACAACAGCCACTACGGGAAGGCTGTGTTGAAATACATACCAGCCATGACAGATGAACTATAGTCAAATGATAAAACCCCGGGTTTTCTTATCGTCTTTTCAGGAGTATATTTTAGGAAAATTGGTACAGATTGGTATTCAGTTAATCATAGTAGGTCAACTTCAAGTGTGAGGAGATCAAACATGATATTGCTTGTAGATATTTTCCACTTTCGTGCAACATCTAACATGGTCATGTACCAATAAATGGAATAACATCCTTACAGATCAGTGATCAGAACTGAGGATGATCTTTGCATGGCAAAGGGACATAACTCTGTATGCTTGACAACTGTATCAGGATCTTTACCGAAATGTCGCCTTTACAGTATATAAAGATGGTTTAGGTTGTTATCCATAAATTATGTCTACTTTTTCATCCGTCAACTTCAAAGTAATGCCTATCAAACAATTCTGTATAGCAAGTCACAGCCCTTTAAACCACTGGGACCAGATACAACATTACAGTTAGTACAAGAAGCCTTGCTGAAACTGCAGTGTTGTATTGATAATATCATTGGTATTCCGCTCAAGGGTCCTCAAAATACTCAAGGATAACCAGAAAACTTGTTTATTAAGTTACATATATTATATATCACTTTGATATTATTATGTTATTATGTATCTGTTATGTCTATGATATCTAACTAAACAATAGCACCATGAGTAGCTCACCTGGATATGTATTGAAATGTCATCAAAGATTGTCACAAAACAAAAGTTGCTGTCAGTGTTGATATTCAAATATTCTCTGCATTGATACTAAACTCTAATGATTTGATCAAAATACGACGTCATAATAAGGAGAAACATACATGCCACAGTTCAGCTTCCTTAGTCTGGCAATTCCAGATACGACGAGCAGGCCATGACATAAGCCCACTTGACATTCAGTCAGAAGAGCAAAGAAACAAAAATTATGACTTTCCAGGGTTAGAGTTTGACAGATCCACCAGTCCACAAGTCCAAGAAAAGTGAAAATACAGAACATGCTAGTCGTTTTCTCCAAACATGATACGTCACACAAACCATCCTGAAACGAGTGAATCTACAGGCGTAGACACCATGAGTTAGCAATGTCACATCCTATTAGTCCACAGATTGCTAGTGACTCATGCTGCCCACTTGATTCATGTTATTTCCAAAGGAGCCATCTGGCTAATGCATGAACAAAAATAGAAGCCTAAATGGTATTCCTAGGAGCCAACACAACCCTTTAAAATTAAACATTTCAGGCTAAGATAAGTTGTAATAATATGACAATTGCTAATTGTCCAGGCTTTTATAAGTCGGAATTTATTCAATTACATTTTTGGAAGTTTCAGTATTTGGTCCAATTTATTAGCTCAGCGTTACTAGTGCTCACTGCAGCAGTTATACACATGTAGCATCAGAACAAGTAGCTGAGGATGCTGGTGTAAACATGGGCCAGGCCCACTACCTATATCTACCTTCAAGCTACGCATCAGTTAATTCTAAGTAATGTTGACAATAATTAAAGAGCAAATCAGCAACCAAAATTAAAATAAGGGCGTCCATGTTAAAATTTAGTTGCATATGTAACCGTTCAGTCACTAATATGAGGGCTGTTATGTGGCTAATATTGGGATGAAAGAATAGTCCTTCCAAATTTTAATTGTCTCACCAATTAGCCAACCACGATAAACAGTGACAGCAAAATGAAACAGTACTGTGGACTCCAATATACAACTCCCCTTCTGACAGGCATATATCTTATCTTTCAACGATTCCGAGAACTGGTTCTTACAATGTCAAGTGTACATCTAAATGTTTGCATTTTTGAATATTAAATATAAAAGGGGTAATTGTAAGGAATTTGTTCTGCCAGTTCAGACCTGTGTATTTCACTAGTTTCATGAACTTTTGTTTCCTTGATTCTAAGATTTGCGACCAGTTCTAAAAGAATTTGGTTTTCCACTTTTATGAAAGAAAAGTACTGCCTTTAACTTGTGGTGGAAAATGTTACCTGCACTGGGTGCAACCTGGCAATATAATTACCTGCACTAGCAATGTTTTACTTGTACTGGTGCAGCATGGATATAGCGAAATGATCCCTGCATACTTTCTGAGGAAAAGGTTCTCTTGGTAAAAAGTTCAGGAAACACACAACCTGGACATAATCACAAGCATGGTATTGTGAAGGGGAAGCAGAAAGAGCCTGGACTGAATTACCTAGTTTCATTCTGGACTTTTCATGGCCGAGTTGTCCGTAGTCATTATCCCCACAGGAGTGAGCTGTCCCATCAGTGAAGCCAACAATGGTGTGATTTCCTCCACAGCAGACGTCACAGATGTCCTTTGCTTGGAGGCTATGCAGCTGCTTTGGGGAGTCCACAGAGGCGTGGTCAATTGGGCCAAGACCAAGTTGACCAGCATTGGCCTTCCCCCAACAGTACACAGTCGCCATTGCTTTAAGTTAGATGCTCCCTTGTATTTCATCAAAAACAAAGGTCTTCAATATTATCATACTGATGTGCTGGAACAAACAAAATTCAGAGTTAGACAATATGTGAATGACAGGTCAGTCCCCGGCGTATTCCACAAATAAAAATTGGGGTGGTCGGGTAGCCTAGTGCTTAAAGCGTTCGCTCGTCACGCCGAAGACCCAGGTTCGATTCTCGACATGGGTACAATGAGTGAAGCCCATTTCTGGTGTCCCCCGCCGTGATATTGCTAGAATATTGCTAAAAGCAGCGAAAACCATACTCACTCACTCACAAATAAATAAAAATTCTTGGGTCAATTTTCTTAAATTCTGCATCCACTTTTTGATAATTCTGCACGGAATTCTACAAACTCTTAAGCTTAGTTTCTATGATTTCTCGTAGTTTTGTACCAATTCCACATGCTGCAGGCATTTATCTGAAAAACTAATCCATGGCTAAATAGCTAATGACATGAAACTGGCGATCACATGCATTTTCGGTAAGCATTAATACAAAAGTCAACTTCACTTCAAAACAAAATCAGGATATTGATTTCACTTTACCATTTCTCAAAACGTAAGATGTTTAAAAGATCGTAAATTGTTTTTTCCCCCCTTTTTTTTCCATTTAACATATTTGGAATGATTAAATTAATACATTGAACAATCCAAAAAATAATGTCTGTTCACTTCAGTAAACCTATACAACATCAAAAACAAGCTCTTGACTCGCATGTCAACATTCTGCAGTATTTGATGAATTTTGTGGTAGCAAAATGCAAAATTTTGCACAAAAGGTGATTTTCCGCAAGGTAGGTACATTTCTGCATCGAGTGGACATTTCTGCAAAATATTCCACGACCGCAGAAACGCGGAATAGAGACGGAACAGACAGGTAAGGTAACACTGTAAATAATTACTTTATCAACCATGCTGACATTAGAGTTAAAACTTAATTAGAGTCCTATATTTTTAATACTAATAGTTATTACATTTTGGACTTACAGTAGGGTTATGGCAAAAACGTTAAACATCAGGAGTATCACAAGAAACACAGCAATATTCCAGCTATATCATATGACGGTGGTCTGTAAATAATAGAGTATAGACCAGACAATCCAGAGACTGACATGACGGGCATCAATCTACACAACTGGGATACGAGGATATGCATCACCCGATTCCGTTAGTCACCTCATACAACAAGCATGGCTTGCTGAAGATCCATTCCTACCCGGATCTTCACGGGCAGGGTTAGAACAAAACTTAAAAACTTTACTAGCTCTGGTAAATATCAAATGCCCTTGAAATGTTAAAACAATGAGGAAATTGTGAAATCTGTACTAGCCTTCAGGAACTTGCTCTAGCCCCGGGCTAGTGGGCTACTGTTTAGTTCTAACACTGACAAGTATTCACCCTTAATTGTTAACACTGTGTATTACCATGCTTTCTGTTTCCCTTACTGGAGTAAATACGGTAATTATGTATCATCTTGCAACATCAAGCTGGTTGCAAAAATGCTAAATAGTTTTGCAAGGGTTGTTTTGCAAGGGTTGTTTTGCATTACGAACACAGGGATTCATCAAGGATTCCAAACTAAGCACCCTTGTCAGACAAGCTGAGAAAAACTCAAATCAAGAGGTGAATTGATCTTGCATTGAATGCAATAGTGTAAAACTAAACACTAAGGCCTTTTCGATCCACTTTCTTAGTTATGTTATCAGTGAAATACATGTTACCTCTACAAAGCCACAACATTTCTTGCCATTGGTTATAGCTGTAATTACATGAATTGGGAAATTTGTAGCTCAAATTTCGGAATAAGTACTACTAACATTGGCTTTGGTTAAATATTGGCCTCTGAGCAGATCCAGATAAATTCCTATCACGATACTTTCATTTTGTAAGACCTTGACCTGAATGGAGACAACTTCATAAGATCCCACAATTACCCAAGTCTCAGGATTGTACAAGAAAAGGCGCAACAGTAACTGGCAACAAATGATACAACCAGTGATCCGGCAACTGATCTGTGAGCTGGACTTCTCCGGTTGTGACTGCAAAATGTCCACTTTAAAAAAGTGCAAACCTGACATTTCATAATTTGCCAAATGGACATTTTCAAGAAATTGCTTGCCGGACGTTACACCTGAGACTGAATATCATAACAAAGTGATATAAAATAAAGATGTGGACAGCCAGACTGACATGTGTTTTTGTTGTTCATTAGTGTACACACGACTTGTAAGGGTTACATCATATTATGCTCGTTAAAAACTAGATCTACATCATATCCCTTCAGGGAATTCAAACTTAAATTGGTCAATAAAAATGTGAAATTTGAAAACAAATATCATTAGACATGATGATTCACCATTTAAATTGTATTTCCGGTTCTGCTAGGTATTGCTTTATATGCAGAAACTAAAACATTTTGTGTATATTTTCTCATTAACTAAGCTGTAAATAGCAATCACATGTACACATGTTTTCTCTCAATTTACCGGTGATTTGGTTAAAAAATACTGATGACAATGTGACATAACTACAAAACATTTTGATGCAACCATTGGAAGATTTGTGTTTGAAAGTATTATTTTATCAGAAATAATATATCCCAACATTGTATTATTTTTAGCTTTTACCATATATATTTAAGATAATAATTTGAAATAATAATAACCATAAGAGTAGCCATCTTCCTGAGACAAGGGAGCTAACTGACCATAAAAGTCCAGTTTCCACCCTTGCCGAACTTGGCTGGAATTATGGAATTATATTTTGACTGGACTAACGAGTCTGTGCATAGTCCATTAAAAATCATGTAACGAAATCGACATCATGACATCAATCACTGGATTGTCTGGTCCAGACTTGATTATTTACAGACCACCGTCTTATAGCTGGAATATTGCTGAGTGCGGCGTTAAACAACAAACAAACAAACAAACAAACAAACAAACAAAACGAAATCAACACTGATTCAAAAACTGCCCTGTAGATTATGGTCGACTGCAGGATTTGCATAGCATGTGTACCGCCTACACTGCGTCTACAGATATTTCCAAACCTTTTCATGTTATTAATCAAGGCGCTCACGTGATTTGATGCACTTCAGGTCCAGGTAGTCCTGTGGGTACACAGGTCCTACTCAGTACCCATCAACCCCGAGTAACCCGTCCCAGCCCTAGTGCCATACATACAAAGCCAAGCAAGGGTACATTTCGACAGTATTACTCCTATCTATGTCAACAACAGCAAATTCTAATGAACAAAAGAATGCACAAATAACAGTAATTAACACCACTGCAAAACGAAATCAACAGGAAAACCAACTAATGTCATACACAATCAATCAAAGCAGCACAAGGGCAAAACTAGCTTCTGATAAATGGACTAGACCCAGTTTAAAATCCTTTCCTGTCTTCCTGTGAACAGCATAAAATCAAAGACTCGGCCGTAGTACGATTAATTACAAAATCAATTCCAAATACACCTACAAACACTAACTGAAATGTGTATTTCCACGTATAGTGCTGACGAAACATTAGAACAGAGACCCCCATGGAAGATTAATAACGGTTCCTGCTTGGATTGGATTGTAAACAGACGACAACAATAACTGAAGTGACAACCCGCCAAATGTGTTTAGTCATATTGTCATTGCGAGTGTTTATGATGCACCCGAATTCTGGCACACTTGACATTACTCTACATACATATCTTTTGTTTAAACCACTGGCAGTTAATTAAACGTACGTTGTTATGAAATTTCGAGTTTCACGTTTCTGTCGTCAACGTTTAGGCCATTTTTAGTCTTCCTTCTGGATAGTTCTTGTTATTATCTCCCTTGAAAGATTTACTTCCGGCTCCAGATCCGCGCAGACTCGAGGGGTTGTTTCAAAACCACAAACTTATATTTCAAATTCAAAGCTTAACTTCTCGCTAAAACGGTCCCGTGCCAAAATAGTATCGGTCCCGCCTATCTTTGGCGAAAACGGCACCATATATATATATATATATATATATATATATATATATATATATATATATATATATATATATATATATATATATATATATAAATAAAAGATGACATCCAATATGATACAAATAAAAAGAGTTTGTATTTCTTCCGTTATATTAAGAGTTATGGTTCTCATTTTATACAACATGCAAAGGTCGTACATTTAAGAAGCTTAGTTATATTAGTGACCATTCAATAGTATTTTGGCACGGGGAAGTTTTAGCCTTAACCCTCCAAGGAATATATTTCCTAACTAAAATTGAGCCGTTTAAAATATGTATCTGTTACTCTTTTTCACACGTTGACACAACGTTTTTATTTATCAGAGATAATAGTAGGCGACTGTGGTGAAATGTGCCTGCGCATAACTGTATATTTGTATATGTGCATATTTAGATATGTACTTGAATAATTTGCAATAAATGTAATTTTCTTCTGCGGTAGAGGATGCTTATTTTGTATATACCGGTAGAATGTCCGGACCTAAACTCTAAAAATACAAACTCAACATTTAGATATAAATCCAACATATGTGCAACATTTCCTCTAGACCATCCGAGCGGCAACATGGATATCGTTTATATTCAAATGATTAAGTTTCTATTCAAGAAACGCTACTATTCTGCTAACCATGTCTATCGTATATAAAATCTCCAAAAATAGTAGGAAGTATTCCAAAATGACAGATGAATACAGAATACGAAGATGTATCGCTTGATGGTAACAGGTGGATAAGAAAAAGGAATGACTAGATTAACATGAGTATCAACAGAACATGTATGGTAAAGGTATCCACAACCAAGAAAGATGACACGGTGTGAAGTCAAAATATGAACGTTTGAGATGGCTGATCAATAAAGGATCATGTCCCCACGATTGGTCAAACATTCGTTAATACGGCGTGGCATGGTCCGATTCAATCAATCAATGACAATTTTAGGGAGTTTTGTCCACCTCTCTTGCAGCGTCTGGCCCAATCTGGCTAATCTAGCGGGTGGCCATTGACGTCGGCGAACACACCTCCCGATCATGTCCCAGACGTGCCTTTTGGGGAATGGTTAGGACTCATGGCTGGCCATTGCCCTCTGGTTATGTGTTGCTGCTGGAGTGAGTGAGTTGGATTTAACGCCGCTTTTAACATTATTCCAGTTATATCACGGCGTGTCAGCTTAATGTGGGAGGAAAGCCCAAAGTGATGCAGGTCTATGACGTTTACCACTTCGGTGAAACCCACGAGCACGGGTATGGTGCTGACAAACCTAGAAACATAATCGGGGCGAACCGAGATTCGAACCCACAATCATAGGTTTTTGGCGTGCCCAAGGGACGCAACTCTGCACAGCGAATCGCGGCGCCTTAGACGACTGGGCCACCCGTGTCCCCGTTGCTGCTGGAGGTAGTCAGTAACGATACATGCACGGTGGGCATAGCGTTAGCGTCTTGAAGACGAGCCGTGGACTAGCATGGCGCGCAAACGACACAGCTGTTGGCGCCAGGATGTCGTCTGTTTGTCCAGTGACCCTTCCGTGGACAATAATCAGTGGCGTTCTGACAATCATAGTGATTTCGCCCCATAGCACAACAGACCTACCCCTAAGTCTGTCATGTTGCCTTATATTACGCTGACGTTCACATGACCTTCACGACACTAAGTCTTCCAGATACGTTCACTCCTACCCTGAAAGTCCAGAGTACATCTGGACTCATCCGAAAGCATTACACGAGATCATCGGCGATTTCCAAAGTTTCTACATTCTAAACACCAATAGCGTCTGGCCAGAGTGTGTCGATTCATTTACGGTATTACAACAATTGCTCGACGGGTGAGACACACCAAACATTTTGGCTACATCTCGTGGAGTTCTACTAGTTTGAAGCTAGCATGCAATAACCCCTACATGCGTTCATCAAGCGTTGTAGCTGTCGCATTCCCATTCTAATCACAAATACTGCATTAAGTAGAGAGTTGCACGTTTCAGTATATAATGAAATTCAACAATACAAATGGTTCTGAGCGATTTGACGACCTTTCGCTGAAACTGAAGGGTCCAAATCAAACATTATCCCCAGCTCATGTTCATGGAGGCATTGCATGGTCCACGTGCATGTTCGGGTGTTTGGGTCCGTTAGGTTTTAGTTCCGAAACCCTTCAATTCTTCAAATCTCTTGCAATTATTTTTCAAAGCTGATCGTTCTTCTGACGACCGATCATAACATATATTTTTTAAGGAACCACAACTACTTTGGAGAGTATACGAGGGCTGGTCAAAACGTTCTAAGCCTAACAAACAAAACCAACAAGTGTTTTAAAATTTATTTTTCAACATAATCTCTCTGCTTTTCAATACACTTCTCATATCGATAGTGAAGTTTTTCAATTTAAGTCAGGAAGATGTTTTTTGTGGCCACCCTGAAAAACCCATTCACGGCAGCTTTGAGGTCATCGTTGTCGCCATAGCCCTTTCCACGAAGGTGTTCTTTCAGTTCAGTTCTTTCAGGTGGAAATCACTTGGTGCCAGGCCTGGTGAGTATGGAGGGCTCTTCGAAAACACATTGTCGCACAGCAAGCATTTGCAAGTCCGGAGGTGTGAGAAGAGGCATTGTTATGAAGTAGTAGAACTCCAGCAGTCAGTACTCCTCGCCGTTTTTCTTTGATAGAATCTCTCAGGCAATGAAGCAAATCAGCATAGTAGGAACCGGTAATCGTCTTTTGACTTTCTAAGTAATCAACATGGACCACACTCTTTGCATCCCAGAATACAGTGGTCATAACTTTCTTCACTGATCTTGAAGACTTGAATTTCTTTGGTGCCAGAGAAGTTGAATGGTGCCATTCCATGGATTGACGTTTTGACTCGGGATCATCGTGGTAGGCCCATGTTTCATCACCCGTTACAAGTCTCTATTTGAATTTGACAAAATCCTCCTCAATTAGCTAAAAGTATTATCTGGCAATGTGAGTTATTGTTTTCCTTAATATCAGAATTTAGAACCTTTGGCAACCAACAAGCAGATTTCTTATTCATCAATAAATGTTTATGAATAAATGTTCAATGGGTCCGTGGCTTAGACCTGTGTCTTCCTCAAGTTCAGCAATGGTAATACGTCTATCTGACAGTATAAGTTCATTTATGGAAGTGGAGGGACGTCCAGACCAATGGTCATCTTCAAGGCCTGTTCTCCTAGCTGCCCAACATTTAACAGTGGAAAAGCTATAGTACACTTATCCCAATACACTTGTGACATGCGGTCATGAAGTTCTTGTGGAGTAGTTTTCTCTCACGTAAAAAGAAACTTGACGACTGCTCGGTACTCGTAATTTTCCATTTATGTGTCCATTTGGACCCCTATCACGTTCATCTGGCTGTCACTAATATACAAACAGCGTCAACAGACCAAATACACTTGCAATGCACTCAATGACTAGTTCACTTTGTTATGGCCCATAGTCAGTCAGGCTTAGAACTTTTTGACCAGCCCTCGTATGATGGTCATCTCTTGTTTGACGTTATCCATGCATTCATGACACAGCTGTTTGATAAGGAGCGAAAAGTTAACGCCATCGGTTTCAATCAAATTGCCGGAAATAGAGAAATAGACTAACCGGATCATGTAATATACATCAAGGAGACATACGGAACAAGGCAAGACAATGATAGAAGAGCAAGGTCGGGTTCAAGTGGACGACATATGAGATGTCACCCATATGACATCACTGACCAACAGGACCCCATGCACAGAGGAGGATAAGAGATTATATCACTCGCTACTACTTCCGAGAGCCCAATAGTTGGCCGAGGGTATGTATTGCCTCTAAAGTATAGGTATGTGGGCATATGATTGTAACGATGTCACCGATGGTTCGGTGTTAAGTGATACTTGTGCCTTGAGTATCGTTTGCGAAGAGGTGTATCGATGCAAACGATATTTAGAGGTTACTATATGGCAGTTTTCATCATACCTCACATCAGCCCGACACTCCCACATCAGACCCGTGAAGATCCGGGGTAGAATAAGCTTTCAGCAATCCATGCTTGCCGTAAAAATGCTTTCCATAAGAGGCACGTTTATAAAAATTCCAGCAATATCACGACGCGTGACGAGCGAACGCTTTAACCACTAGATCACCAGACCGCCCCCTGTGGTGATATGACCAATATCATTGACAGGTATATGATAAATAATGCTGACATGTAAAAGTGTTTGACATTTATTGTAAAATACTGTTTTATACAAACTATAATGTCCCTCTAAAGGAAGTATCTGGAAGCATAGCACTATAAACAGCGAGACGTTATTGCGTGCATGGCAAGATGTATATATACAATTGGGCTCATCATTTATGCTGGACATCTTACTATAATGTCCCTCTAAAGGAAGTATCTGGAAGCATAGCACTATAAACAGCGAGACGTTATTGCGTGCATGGCAAGATGTATATATACAATTGGGCTCATCATTTATGCTGGACATCTTACTATAATGTCCCTCTAAAGGAAGTATCTGGAAGCATAGCACTATAAACAGCGAGACGTTATTGCGTGCATGGCAAGATGTATATATACAATTGGGCTCATCATTTATGCTGGACATCTTATCGGCGACAGTTGCACGTTAGATGATCAGGTATACCAAGTGTAAACGTGACACAAAACCAGAACTTACTCATTATTGATATGTTTTCAACAAATGTCATCTATCAAACACGATTGTTACAACCATAAAATACATTGTTGACTCAAGATAAATCTGGGATTAAAACTGACATCAGCGGATCCTGGAATTGTAAGAGACACAACTCTGCACAGCGAGTTGTGACACCTTTAGACCATAATGTATACATATGACATGTATACATTTATACATGACATACATTCTCAATTCCGTATTTCCATTATTATGTATACACTAGGCTTAGAGAGGTAACATGTGCATGCATTTCAATAATAATGTAGGATGTTTAGTCAAAGTATAATTTCATGAAACCCGATTTCACAAAATTTCATATTTACCCAGTTCTGCAAGTTTGCTACAAATGATCTTTATGTAGACTTATATATATATATATATATATATATATATATATATATGGAGCATAGACGGCCCTGCAGTTCGCTATACAGAGTTGCTTCCCTTGTCAGTACAGGGATCGTGGTTTCGAATCCAAGCGTTCTAATAAAATCAGATCTTTTACTACGATACGATGTCTATCTGTAAATGGATCATCACGCTAATAGGTACCGGTTCGGAGTACAAACTAGTGTTTTAATGAGAGTGGAATAGAAAAAATGACCTGATGGTGATGATGGTTGCTTTGTCAGCACCCTATTCGTACTCGTGGCGTTCATTAAAGTATAAAACGTCTGCGGCCTGACTCAATGGTCCTTCCTCAATTATTAGAGCGATGAGATAGCCTAGTGGTTAAAGCCTTCATTCGTCACAATGAAAGTCCGGGTTCGATTCCTAACATGAGTAAAATGTGTGAAGCCCACTTTGGGTGTCCTTCGCCGTGTGACTCTGAACTCGTTTACCGCTACATTACTATAGTTGGTTTGTTTGTTGTTTAACGCCGCACTCAGCAATTAACCTGCGTTACCCAACTTATCACGCCAGGATATAGCTGCACTGTTAAAAGCAGCACCAACAGTAAATCACTCACTACGTGAACTTCATCCAAACGTTTAATTATTTAATACTGTTTTAGACTGACGTAAGATTTTGTTCACGAATTGCAATTGTCATGGATATGCTGAAAATATACACAAGTATACACCATTTGTGGAAGAATTCATATTCCGATGTGACAGTTTAGTTTTGGTTTCACAATTTTTACAGCAGCTTGCTGATCAACAAAACACGCGTGAGACACGAGTCGAATCCGGTGACTTTATTATGAATCATATGGAATCATGTTGATTCTTTAGCATGGATGGACCCACGTCTGACTCAACATCAGGTGTTTAAGGATGGTTATCAATGTTTGGACTAAATTAGAGAAAATATTTATGACAACAAGGCCTTAGTTAACTTTTTGACAGGGGGGGGGGGGGGGGGGGGGGGGGGGGGGCAAATATTTGTACAAGTATCACTTGTCCCCAACTTGATTCAAATAAAACTGTTTCCTATAAAAAAAAGAGTAGAATACAAGCATATGCCTTTCGTGAGATTTTGCTGCGTAATTATTCAACGAAATCTGTCGGAGATGATATCGAGTTCAAATACCATGTTATAATTAACTTTGACTCATCAGTTCACGCTCTTTTTGAAAAACCCGAAAAAGTAGGTAATTTTTATCTCTTCAGTACCTACATTCGGAATAACACGTTCACGCGACGAGTCAGGATGGGTACAAGTGCACGTCAGCCTCAGCCCAATTTGAAATAATATTTTTGAGACGACCCCGGCTAAGCATGACATTTTATGTAACTGACTTGCCGCTCTATTGTCCTGCAAATGTATTTTATGAAATAATCTTCATCTATAGTGGAGACTGTGCTGTGAGAACGTTTTTCGAACATTGCACTCCCTGACAATGATAACGAAACGACACATTCGACGAATTTCCCTGAAATCTATTTATAGTTTAGGTATTCCCATAACATCTAACATCCTGCTCCGCACTGCGACTGTTTTCCGTCCACCATGTCCTTCAGAGATCCTCGATTTTAAACACGGAGACATGGAAATTGTTGCCACAATTCTTTGCTGTAAGTATTTGTTTTGACCACAATACATATTTATGCTCATTGAGTTATCTGTTAATTCACAGTGCGAGATACCTCATAATTTGACCGTCTAAATCGGAGTGGCGATTGCTGTGATTGCCTCCCACCTGGCCGTGCTTATAAGTGGCCGGTCAAGGTACAGTTTTCTAAAGTGTACGTGGTATCACTACAAGTTTGCACTGATGCACATCAATGTGATATGCACTCTCTTGTCCAGTAATTATCAGTGTATACATACGATGGAGCTGAGATAGTAAAAGATAACAGTTTACTCTAAACAGGCGCCTATTTGGAAAAGGGTGAATACTGCAGTATATATAGCTGCGTTTATAGATACGGGAGATCTAGATTAGGGATAATTACAGGTGTAAGCTTTTAATATTGATTAACGCTTATGGTTACCTTGTTGATAATGAGAGATAGATCCAATGTATATTGTAAGCAGCTATGCACGAGGCCTCTTGCTGATATCACACATTCAAATAGCATGTGTTGGCTGACAGGAAGGTGTTTAACTACTGATTCATTCACTGAATGATTCATTGAATGATACCTGCTTTTATTTTCCCTTTTGTGAGAGAAAGTGATGTTTACATTGTGGGAATATTCTACAGCATATCCCACATCGCATTATCACTTTACTGCTCTGTTGTTATAGTACTTGCTTAGTATGTGACTATTTATAATGATGATCTCATACCTCATGATTATGTGCATGCATTGAAAGTACTGGAAACATGATATATATATATTGCAGAAGATTTTCAGTGAAGTTGTCTATTGATGTAATGTTTGATCATACCTATCGTTTCTGTCTCATTGGATTTCTTCTGTAAAATCAGGGGGATGGAAAATCAATGCCCTACTTGCCCGACTTGTTACGTGAGTACGCCCCCCCCCCCCCCCAAAAAAAAATTAGCTTCAATTTTTTGCGGACAACCTTAAGATTTAGTAGATTTTTTTTATTTTGATGTTTTGATGTTGAACATATTTCTTTGTGCTTGTCAATGTCTTCCTCAGCAAAGGAGGCAAGACTGTACTTTGATTCTTCAATCACATGCCATATATTGTGAGGAGTCGGTGCGACCTGCCACGACTTCTTATAACAGTGTCAATTGTGCCAGGTCCCTTTTTGTACGTGGGATTTGGGGTATATTTTGAGGTTTGGTACAAGAGACATAAGTACAATGGTATTTGGTATGTAGATTCCACATTTAAACAAAAATCATAATTTTTTAATTTTTTTTATATAATTAATATTTTGATATTTTTTCAGGAATTGAACTTAAAATCAAACCATTTTCTCAATGCATTTGAGATTTGTGTTAAGTAGTATTCGGGATTCAGGGGTGAACAGTCATACTCAGAATGAAAAGTTAGATGGTACTTGGGTTTCGTGGAACCAAATAAATGAGAGTGTCGACCCCTGGCCTATAGGAATCATGAACTGAATGAGAGTGGCCCTCCCTTTGAACTGTAAAAACTAATCAGCTATCAGTAACACGAAATGCTGTGTGTCGACTTGTATATTGTGAAAGCAGTTCAACTGAGTAATATCATTTGCTATCTTCACAACTTTATCGTCACCTGCTTGAAATGTGATCTAACTTCTATGAAATAAAAAACAGGAAATTCCAAGTAATGGGAATTAAAATTAGATAGGTCAGGTGACCAACTAAGATTGTACTGGTTCCGAGTGTTACACAAGTTAGCACAACAGAGATGGAAAAAAAATACATACCACAGCTGCTGTTGCGGTTCTGGACATTTTCACCACATGGGTGAGCAGTGTGTTGTTTGTAATTATAAGATTATTTAAGAAAGAACCAAGAACAAAGATGCTGTCACAGATGGTTGTCGGCTGTCATAACTGCTTTATGAACTTGTGTAAACAAACTGATCATGCTTGATGCAAAACTTAGTGAAAAACACATCTAAATCTAGCAATCAATTACATTGTTTATCATAAGCTTTGTTTTGTATATCAGTGTTTCCACCCATTTGCCTCGAACCTGACATCACAATTTACTCCAATAGGGCGGGGACGGTAACTCGGGTACTCGGGTCGGGTGGGTCCTGAGTAGGACCCAGGTACCCATAGGACTACCCAGACGCGTGTTTAGTCACGTGATATATTGTTAAATGACAAAAATCACTTTAACTCCATGGTTACACTACAAGTCACTAATGTTTGCATTTCTTTCTGACTGTGCACACATTCCTTCTGACTTTCATATGCTTTTTTAAAGATAAAGCTTCAGTCAACTTCAGTGTATGCATGATCAGATCGTTTTATTTGTGTATCCCTTTGTTATGGGTTTTTGGATGCTTAAGAAAATTTGTAATTTTCTCTCTAATCACATGAACAATTGTAAAAGATCTCTTTCACTTATAAAAGACAACTTTCTCTTAAAAACAAGCCTTCATCTGGCTATTTACAATGTCGGCGTGATGCTCCACCAACTGTTATAGCGCGAGAAATCGCGATAAACAAGGCCGTCTGAAAATGTAAAATGTCCGAAAACCTATGATCGACAGTATTACTATCAAAATAGTTTTGGCCAGGCTCTGGTAAAACAATTCCCAATTGGACATTATGTACCAAACTTTTGAGACCTATAGAGGGGTCGGGTACCCGGATAGTAAATTTGGACTCATCCCAGCCCAATACTCCAATGTGTCCAGATAAATATCTGCTCTTTATTAATGCGGGCAATGGACACATTTTTAGCATTACATTCCTGCTGGCGTCACTTTCCTGATCGACAGTATCTTGTGCAGGTGCTACATCGCACTCCGATCAACCAGACCAGAGAGCGTGTCCAAAAGCATGATAACATCAACACAGGGAAGTGATCATGCGACTGTTGACAGGTGGACTGTTTACACTGTCTCCAAGTTACGAGTGTTTTATCAAAGTTGACTCATTCAAGATCTGCTAAATTTTTAGGTTTGTCGCAGACAACTGAATCTGATTTTTCCCCTGCATATTCAAGCATTAATTCCCCCCCCCCCCCCCTGATTTTACGCTTGTAACATTTGGTAGAACATACACTAAAGTTTAGTGTATGTTCTACCAAATGTTACAAGCGTAAAATGACTAAACCAATAATGACAATGGTATGGATATTTTTAAATAAGTATTGGTAGGTTAATTGGTATGTGAAACTTTAAGTCACTTATGGTGAATAATGTCAAGTGAGGGAGTGAGTTGGGTTTAACGCCGCTTTTAACATTAATTATTCCTGTTATATCACTGCATGTAAGCTTAATGTGGGAGGAAAGCCCGAAGTGATGCAGGTTTCAGACGTTTACCACTTCGGTGAAACCCACGAGCACGTTTATGGTGCTGACAAACCTAGAAACATAATCGGGTGAACCGGGATTCGAAATAATGTCAAGCATTGATCCAACATATTATGTATGAATATAATCCAGATATATGTTCTTTATGAGATTTAATATATTACCTTGTCATAGAGCTGACAAATATTTGCAAGTGTTCCGTTTGACGTTTTGATCTCAATATTGTTGTTTTCTTTATTGCCCTGTGTGAAGTTGTGCTGTATGAACTAGAGAAATCCCAACATGGCTGTTGTCGAAAATCAGATCAGATTATAGGAAGTCATACTTTTTTGCAGTGGGGTGAAATGGGGTTTTAATGTTGCTTTAAAAATTATATAACTAATATGTATGCATGCATGTGTGTGTGCATGGTTGCTTGTACAAGTCCAAACTAATGCCGGTTTTATAGTGATCATGCTATCACTCACTGGTTTTTCTGTCCAAGACTCTTTTATTTACACGTCACAATGATGTGGCTGGATGCTTGTTAAGAAAGGAATGCTGCTGTTTCATAATTTGCTACCACTTAAAACATTAATTTCCTCTGAACATGTGCAATTTGTTATCACATGTGGTTGATTTCCTATTGATTCGGATGAACTGTCAGCTTTAAGCATGGCAAAACAAGATAAGTGAATGTTTTTTGATGGGGAGAGTTTGAGTATGTCTAAGTGCAAACAAACATGAGTAAACATAATATGATGTTACATATTTCATAAGATAAAAAGAAAGGAATTAGGCTGCTTTTTTTTAATGAACATTTTTGTATTCAATATTTGACATTTCTCTGGGAGCCCCATTTTTTAACCTGGGACTCTTACAGTCTAGGGGGCACAGGTGGCCCAGTCGTCTAAGGCGCCACGATTCCCTTGCAGAGTTGCGTCCCTTGGACACGCCAGAAACCTATGATTGTGGGTTTCGAATCCCGGTTTGCCCCGATTATGTTTCTAGGTCACCGAAGTGGTAAACGTCTAAGACCTGCATCACTTTGGGCTTTCCTCCCACATTAAGCTGACACGCCGTGATATAACTGGAATACTGTTTAAAGCAGCGTTGAACCCAACTCACTCACTCACTCTTACATTCTTAGTTTCTGAGTCACCTGAGCCTCTGAAATAAAAAACCCAGATAAACCCCAGCATTATCTGCTGAGCTAACCCAGTATTATCACACCTATTGCATCCAATTACATGTATGAGGTATTGTGACATTTACACGTGTGTCATATCACTGCATAAAGATGAGCTTCTGTTCCTGTGGAACTATGGCTAATTGCTTATGTAATTGGTGATCTGGCCTGTCAGATTTATTAACCAAATATTAAGAAAATTTTGGCCTTCTTTGCAGACAAATGAAATGTCACCCAACAATCACATGCCTCAAGTTAACTTTTTCTGATTATTTTGGCCCCTCAACCATCAGAGGCAGTTTTGCTGGTCATGTTTGTTGTTTAACGCCGCACACAGCAATATTCCAACAATATGATTGCGGTCTGTAAATAATCAAGTCTGGACCAGACAATTTAGTGATTGACATCATGAGCAAAGATCCACTCAATTGGAATACGATGACATGCATCAACCTACTCAGCAAGCCACCTCTTATAACAAGCATAGTCATTCTTACGGCAAGCATAGGATACTGAAGACCTATTCTACCCTGGATCTTCACAGGTCTGCTGGTCATGTGACCGCATGATAAGCTGTAGACAAAAGCCAAACCAATCACAGGCCAAGCCTGGTCAATGAAGACTGACAGGTAACAGACCATGCAGAAAAAAGGACACTTACATCATGTACAAGAGCTGCACTGTGTTGGAGAAGTAGGACTGTGTTATTTATTTCATAGCAATATACTAAGAAACTAATAGGGTTCAGATTTGTTGGTGGTGTTAAAATTTTATAAATGACTCTTAAAGAAATTAAGAAAAATCTTGAAAATTCCTGTTTAAGAATTCAGCTTAGGAAGTTGAAACACTGATATGAAATTCATATTTTTAAAATCTTTAAGACTTTTCTCCTCAGAAATTACTAGAAACAGAGAGGTGAAACTTGATGACGATGTGTAATGTGACTTGAATTGTTAACGACAAAAATTTCCCCTTTAATGTAATCAGGTGTGTATATTTACAAGAAAATATGGTACTGTAATAGATGTTATGATTTTATGGGGTCACATCAGTTTGAACCATACAATCTGTACATAGTTGTTCTCTTCAAGCTCTTGGCTTGAAAATGACACAAGATAACCTTAGTAGGTGTATATCGGAAGTAGGAACACATGGAATAACTGAAGACACCTCCTGCCCACTGTACTGAGAATGAGCGTGTTACCTTTGTGTGTTTATCCTTCTGATTTGATGAAATTTGTGTCAGAATCCATGTCCCTCCCTCTGTGCCTTGATTATGAAGTATTACTTTTGTTAACTCCAGGTTGAGGGATCACTACAACTGTTCTGAGGCCATTACATCCAGCAATCATGTCAGATGAAAGCCACGTGCAGGAGAAAGCCTCAAAAGTTCTTGGAGATGACCCCTTGAAGTCTCAAATCAAGGTGGACAGGAAAGAGTTTGCAAAGCTCTTGCACCAGGTGCTGGCGTACAAGAACCTGGCCATGTGCATACAGAGTATTGCTGGGGAGAACAAGAAGCTCAAGCAGCGAAACGAGGACTTGGAAAGGACAATTCTTAAGTCAAACAGGAAGTTCAGCCAGATGGTGATTCAGGACAACCAGGGGTCAAGGTCAAGTCAGGTCAAACTTCAGGAAAATAGGTCAAGGTCTTTGCCTTCTCATTTCAACTTTGATGATGATTTCAACCTGATGCCATCTGTTGTTGCACAAAGTCAGAGCTTTTCATCTCTTCAACATCAGCGAAATCCAGACATCAATGCACCAAAAATTAGTTTGGATAAAAGTGTTTCTTCAAGTCAGAATCCTTCTTCTCTGTTTGTTTCCAACCTTGGTGCAAGTGTCCTCGCCGATAGTGCCCCAACATGGTATTCCACTGACAGAGCTAAGCTGAAAGAAAGAGGAATTGTTCACGGTGCTGATTCTGAAGCAGATCAGGAAAAAACAGATCCATGTAAGGATGAAGAAACCGGGTATTCCCTGAAAGTTGATGGTGACTGCAGGAGCCTGAATGTAGCCCCTCAGTTTGTGCTGCCTACTCACTTCAAACCAACCTCTCCCGTGTCGCCATCTCTAACGCCACCGAGCCTGTCCCTCAGCTCCGATGAACAGGATCCTGTTGTGGGGGCGGACCAGCCCCCCCTGGAGGAGGTTCATGTGGCATGTCCTGGTGTGTCCAGACAGTACTTTGATGTTGTGGTCAAGGAACTGGCCAAGTCCAAGCAGCTCATCAAACAACTTATAGCCAAGAGTCGTGAAAATCCAAACGATGTCATGGTAGGTAATGGTGTTCGTTAGATTGTGTAAAATGTTTTATCGGTGATAATTTATGAATTTATTTTGGCAATTTTGTTAATTGTTTTAAGTGAAAACATTGATGACTACAAATTACAATATATATTTTCTTCACATATTTTAACGTATCAATTGACATAAGAAATATATACTCACCACCAAAAGAAATGCAAATACAATGCATGTTGGTTAATATATGAAGAATTGCTCATATTCAAGAGATATTGAACGCATCACATGTAAATATAGATCCATGACTCAAGATACACCATTTGTCTCGTGCAGGAATAGCGTGTGAAGTTTGGAAATCACATACAGAAAATCATGATAAGAATAAAGACACGCTTTGGTAACACTTGACCAATTTTTAGTTTTGTCATTAAGTAATAAAACAATGGAAACATCTCTTCTTAACGTACATACTTCTCTATATGTCTCTATTGTTCGCGTTTCTTTTGGCAGTGAGTCTTTAAATATAACTTGATTACTTTCTACTGCTGCAAACCCTACCCATCCTCGATTATCTGTTATATTGTATTCATGGCAGATGTAAGGTATAATTTCAAACCTCTCATAAAGGGGCATGGGTGGCCCAGTTGTCTCAGGTGGACACACTTACTTTGGAGCATCTGCTGATCGCAGGTGAAATCTCAGATCTCCCCTGATTATGATCCTTGGGCAATCTGTACCCATAGGTTATCTATAAGCCATGCGTCGCTGTGGAAGTTCCTCTCACTTGAAACTGATATGCCATGGTAATGATGCTATTGCTGAAATATTGCTCAAAGTGGAATTAACCAAAATTAACTCACTGCGTCAGACCACAACTTTGACTGGAATCATGAACAGAATACCGTATTTGACATAATAAGCGCCCGGGGCGCTCTCAAAATTAGAAATAGGGGGCTCTTATTAGAATATTATTTTGGTGAAAAACAACAGAGTTGAAAGATCGTAAATTTCGTGTTTTTTGCTGACAGCCTGAAATGTTTATATACAACAGATATATTTTTCCAGAATTTAATTTCTATAATTAAGGATGCATAAAGCACACGTATTTCACACGAATAAATAAGTCTTGTGTACAATGAACAATCGGAAGGGGTGCAAATATTAGCAAATATCGCCCTGGGCGCATATTAGAGCGGGGCGCTTATTACGTCGAATACGGTATCTCATTTCTGTTACCCAACATACACAATTATCCATTCTGTAAATTGTAAGATGAAGTTAAGTATTCCAAACATCTAGCTTATTGTGCAGTTGCTCCATGCTAGAGAATCATCACACAGAGAGGAAGGTCATTGGTGTGATCTCTGGCCCGTCATACCAATGGACGTTAAAAGATGGTTACCTGTCTGGCTCTTGGCATTAAAGGGATAAAACATGGACTGGTTGGCTCGGAGTCAGTATACTGTGTCTGAGTGGATGATCCATGCTAAACTGCGGCATGGTATCTCACTTGACTAGCACTGTACAACCGGCATCAGTCCAGACCAGGACAAGCAGCCTCATGCTCATGTTCATGCACCTAGCTACTGGTAAGCCAGGATAAGTTACCTGACAATTTACCCTGTATGACAATGTATGAGGTCCGCCCACTGGCGCGTACCATTGTGAAGAAAGGGGTAGTGGTGGTCCGCGACAATTAGTACGATGGATATGTGGCTGTCCTTTCTCGGCTAACAATAGTACGTGCTGATGTGAGGAACCTGATGACTGTGAAAATGGTGACAGCAAATTTGCATACATAACAATTGAGAAGTACCGTGACAATGAAGGGAATTCAATTGCTGTAAAAATGGAGTACTGTTTTTACCCCAGAGAGCAATAATGAAGTGTCATGTCATTCATAACTGATTGTGAAGGTTGAGACCTTAGCATAGTGATAGTTGACTTAACGACATACTCCTTAATTAATCCCATATGATTGTTTATGGGGTTTCAGCAACTTACTTGGGCTAATGAAACTACTCTTGCCTTGTCACGAGGGATACCTTCTGCTCTAATTCGCTTGATCGTTGATACAGACAGACTGGTGGCAATGTTAGCTTTGACAATGCTAGAGACTTATTTATTCATTCTTTCTCCATGTATTTTATGACATGATAGGCCAATTCTCGAACCTGAGAATGTATGATTTGCCCATGTTTACCTTCCTTGTTGCTTTGACATATTTATTTGTTTGTAATTAACTATCAAACAACTTTTAGAGAAGTCAGGTATTGACTTGTCACACCAACCTCTTAGTCTTATGGACCGCCTCCGTGGTCTAGTGGTAGAGCGTCCGCCCGGAGAGAGGAAGGTCCGGGGTTCGATCCCCGGCCGCGTCATACCAAAAGACGTTAAAAGATGGTACTTGTTGTTACCCTGTCTGGCGCTCGGCATTAAGGGGCTAAAACAAGGACTGGTCGGCTCGGAGTCAGTATACTGTGTCTGAGTGGGGTATCCATGTAAAACTGCGGCATGGTATCTCAGTGGGCTAGCACTATAAATCGGCATCAGTCCGGACTAGTACAAGCAGTCACACACACACAGACACACACACACACACACACACACACACGTGCATGCACGTCGCTATATAAGTGCAATAATCTTGGACGCGACGTTAAACCCCATTTCACCTCACCTCTTAGTCTTATGAGTAACAAGTGTGTCCACGCCTACTTGTCTCAAACGCATTTTGTGAGTTAGTTCAACTTATCCTGGATTACCATAATCTTGAACACAACATTCAACCCTCTATCACCTCACTGAAGCATCTTACTTGGACTGGTAAATGGTAGATCTATCCAACATGGTCGTTCATATGCATGAATCCTGATCTCCAGGACACAATCTCCATGAAGCAGATGGCCCACTCTCTGGCTGTGGAGAACCAGCGACTGAAGGAGTCCAACTTGTACTTCCGCAACCTGCTCGTCAGAGAGGCGACAAGTGAGGATGTCCATGCCCCCGCCAATGCTGAGATTCTCAACTTTCATGATAAGGTGAGTTTACCATTTTCTTCTAATGGTCAGTAATATAAACAACAGGATTATGGATGAGTTGATTGTACGCCGGGGTGGGGTATGTAATAGCCTTGGTCACAGTTGATCGATGGTTGGAGTCTTTTGATGTTGATGGCTTCTTGTAGCTTTCTGATTTTGAAGTCTTTGAGGTTGGTGGTGAGGGCTTTGACTTTATCCCACAGAATACTGTAGTTTGGGTTGTCACGGAATGTGGTCCGAGAGAGCTGATTTAGAGTCATCTTTGGAGATCGAGCTTTGATGTTCTTTAATTCAGGTTTATTACAGCAATGTCACAGCCGGGACACCAGAAATGGGCTTCACACATTGTTCCCATCTGGAATCGAACCCAGGTTGTTGGCGTGATGAGCGAGCGCTTTAACCACTTGGCTACCCCACCTCCCTTATCACTTTCATGAACAAAGTCCGAGTGAGGATGGAACTTTCATTAGTCTGTGCAACTTTACCAACATAATCTTACGCTGGCAAGATCAGATTTATTAAAATATAAATAACTAATTCTTTCCAATCCTAATCCACTTACTGGCTCTGCTAGGCAATAGTCTGTGTAAGAAGGGCTCCACGACAGCACATGACACATTCATTACACACTTTTAGTAAGTGAGAAGTTTGGAGGAAAACTCACACAAACTATTGACCTCATAGTCATGGTGTGTCAATGAATGAATTCTTTGCTGTGGTGGAAATAGAAAAGCAGAAAACAAATCGAAATCTATGTTGCATTCTAGCAGACATTTGAATGTGTCATTTCAACAACCGAATCACACACCACCACACTGTAGGCCCTGCAGCTGTGAATGGGGTGTGAGACGGTGTGTCACTGCCTACAGAACCCCTGCTAAAGGAGGTCTTTGCAAATGTATTAATAACTTGTTTCTTCACAGGAAGGTCTTTTCAAACCTGTGCCTCCAATATGGCAACTTTTCATGCCTGCATTAATATTCTCAGAACATTTCCCATCCCTGGGATTTGACCTGTGTACTGCTTGACTTTGTTGATTTCACGCTTGCTAGGAATTCAGTCACTGGGACATTGAACATTGTACGTGTATAGAATGAAAAGTTTTTGAAGTCTTGCCTTGGGGATATAAGTGAAGTTAATATTTTGAGGATGTAGTCATTGTAATGAAATATGTATATTTCTGTTTTTATAAGATGACTATCTGCCTTCCGTTTTTGGAGCAGAACTCCCAAGCCGTTAAATATACCTAGATGAAACTTGCTCTTGTTAAAGAAGTATGTTCGTGCTTATCATCCTTATTAGAAATAGATATTATAGAGCTGTTTGTTTCGATATCCCAGATATAATATACCGTTGGAGGTATTAGTAATGAAAATATGTAGAAAGCTCAACTTAGGCTCAGATAATACAATATTTATTTCTATGTTGAGCATAATAAGTATGTATATTCCACACAAGAATAATAATGTCTTTATCATATAATGTCATTCTTAAAATAAGCCATCTACCAAGAGCATCCACTAATCTTTTTATCAAAGTCTTGTTTCCACCCTTGCCACATCAAACCCACTTTCCTGTGCTAAATATGATTGGACTATTGCACATATTGATATTCCTATTTCACAAAATCAACATCCACGACTGGTACACCTTCGTATGAAAGTAATCTACCACTGCCAGTCTTTGTTGACACAAATATGTCTTTTTCATCTTTTAAACCTGCCAACGATTGTTTTTGTGTCAGGGACGAAATCGCGAATGTTTTCGTTAACTGATCGACTAGGTCATCACAAGGTGGTGCAAGGTTCGAGCCAAGAAAATTGGCCTTGGTGTGGCAAGGGTTGAAACTAGGCTTTGATATAGGCTTGTGGACACGCTTGCCCCCGGAAGATGAAAATAATCATGTTTGAGACTTATTTACACTGAATGATGGGTCTTTAGAAGCCACACTTTAACATGAATATGAATATGAACTCCTGACTTCCATAGCATTTAATCCAGCCACTCAACATGACATTACACAGCGATATGCACTTGTAGACTGAGCGAGGGGGACACACACCTTAATGCCGATCCCCAGGCAGGGTAACAAACAGTAACATCTTTTGACATGTTTTGGTATGACGTGACCTGAGATCAAACCCCCAACTTTCCGCTCTCCGGGCAGATGCTCTACCACAAGACCACGGAGGTGGTCAGATTGGTAATCAGGTCTAAGGACCAAATATCACTGTTTGTATGAACATTAAGGTTGCTCATAACTGCTTTGGCGCGTTGTATTAGGCTATTATCACATGAAACCAGCTTCTGTTTCATCCCTATCCCTCTTGACCAACTGTATTGGTTTCCCTTTAGGTTCAGAAGCTGGAGCGCCAGCTGACCTTGAAGAATACTGCTCTGGAACAACTTAACAAGCAGTGTGAGATATGGAAGCGGTATGGTCAGAAGGCGATGGCCGCACAGTACACAGCCAAGAAGGATGAGCGGCCCTTGCCAACTCCAGTAAGTGTCACTGATATACTGCTCCACTTTTGATGAGGATGCGAAGATATTTCAAACTATGAAGAAAACAGCTTATGGAAATATGTAGTTACCCATTCAGCAAAGCGTGTCATTGTGTACCTGCAGGTGCATAGCATAAGGACACCCCCCAAAAAACACGAAATAATTGTTTACGAAGTAGGCTTTACATATAATTTAATTTACTTATGGAATGCATAAATGCTCAGCTTTCTAAATGTGAAAACATGAAATAGTTTTTGTACCTTTAAAAAAGAATCTGAAGATAAAAACGTATCGTGAAATTTACAAGCATACAACCACCCTTAATGGCCATTGGTGACTCCGCACTTCATGCTGAGTGGTATGCAGTCCAATATTTTCTGTCTGAAAATATATTTCATTGATGAAAAGAAAACGCTCAAGTGCCTAAATTTCTAATATATCTACTTATCCTGAATTACTCGATAATGCATCTGCTGCTTAATTTACAACAAGGAAGACAGCGCTTCGCTATAATCCTGGGGGGGGAAAAAGTGTTGTTTCCGTCTCAAGTCTACTTTTTGAAGGACCCATCGCTGCTGTCATGTGACAGATCATGACATCACAACCAATTCACATTCCAGCTCGTTGTCCTACAAGGAAGTTGTGCTTCGTTTTGCTCCTCGAACTTTGACTTAATTTGTTGGTTAGCTTTCTGTTACCACACTTAATTTCGTCTGTGACGAGTGATGCATTTCTTTTCATATTATGTCCACTTTAATGTGTATTAATGTGCAGGTATTTTCCACGTAAATAGACTTTGTCTTTTCCCCTCCTTTTGGCTTGTTAGGTATAATATTTTTCATATTTTATTTTCATGCTTGTATTTTGATACACTTTAAAAACTCTAAAAATATTACCGATTGAAAACTTTTGTGTTTATCATCGGTATATTCATGTCGACTTTAACTACAATTTCAAGTTTTGCGTAACTCGTGCTTGCGCCGGGCACTAATCATGCTAATTGATCCACTCAAAGATCCTCATGCACGTTGCTTGGACTGCACTCAAGTGTGCACTCCAAATTTTAAATGTAATTTTTTCTCACGTCCCTCTCACCGAGTATCTCCATTGTAGACAGGTCATTCACAAATGTATTTCACGGCCTACCCGGTAGCTCAACCTATGTATGCGCAGCCTATGGTGCCGTACCTGCAGAATCCTTTGACGCAGAACTTCATGCAATCCATGTGGCAGCAGTCCATGGCACAAATCTACCAGGGGCCTGCTCGGGATGAGACTGCTCTTAAGGCGTTGGAGCATGTGTCTCATAGCCTATTCCAACAAGCAGGCTCGGGCAACTATAGGCCGGGACGCTCTCCAGGATTCCTTTCGAGGCAGAGGCAAACCACAAGACTCTTTATCAGTTCCACCGTGGAAAGTTCCAATGCAGGGGTGGGGATAAGAGGGGGAAACACGGAAGCTCCCACCCCCAGTCATCCCAAGCGTCGACACCCCTGTAGATAGGAGACTGGGCCTCTTTTGGCAGAACTTGGTCATACTTAAGGACGCTTTTGTACTCAACGTACTGCACTACAGCTAGCGACATAGCGATAGCACCATATGTCTATGGTTATGCGTAGTCATCCATTATGAGATCCACCCAGAGCGATCTCGTAAGCCTGCTTGATGACTGAGCGTAACCATAGAGTAATGCAGGATAAGTAAACAAATTAGTAAGATCTGAATATGTTTTACATTTGCATACTTATCCTGCATTACTACATCTAAGGACCCACCCATTGCAGTCTTGCCTCCCCACTATAGCTTCAGAAACAATCTTTTGTTGGCTCGGGTGACGAGCAGGAATGGGAATTGGTTGTGGAACATTTTCTGTCACATGACAGCGACGATGGGTTCTGCGAAAATTAGACTTGAGACGGAAACAACACTTTTTCCCCACCCAGGACCATCACGAAGCGCTGTCTTCTTTGTCGTTAGGGAAGCAGCAGATGCATTATGGAGTAATTCAGGATAAGTATACAAATGTAAAAAATATTTGGATCAAAATATCTGATGTTCATTGAGTTTTTAATTGATTACCTTTGATTAATTTTTTTCGGGCACTAAGTAAGGATTAGATATATGGATGAACAACTTCTTTTTTACAAGTAGGAGCAATGTTTTAGTGTAGAATCTAACACTGTTATCGTGCACATGAAATATTGAACAAATGAAATTTCAATCTTTAGACTACAAGGAGAACCTCTCACTGAGGTAGTTTATCTGTCTTCAGACAACTGACAACTTTAGTCAAACAGAGATGGTACATGTGGAATCTCGTGTGAGTCAGACTGAGGGACAAGATGTCAGCCGACAGTCACAAGCAGAGGAAGAGGCGGCGGCCATGTTGACTGAGTCTCAACTTACTGTTCAGAAGTTAGAGCGGCTAGTCGGAGACGTGACGATGGAGAACATGCAAGAGAAGGAAAAGATGGAGATGCTCACAGCTCATTATATGGTAGGTACACTTCGTGCAGAACAAACACCTACTTCATCACAGCTCATTATATGGTAGGTACACTTCGTGCAGAACAAACACCTACTTCATCACAGCTCACTGTATGGTAGGTACACTTCGTGCAGAACAAACACCTACTTCATCACAGCTCATTATATGGTAGGTACACTTCGTGCAGAACAAACACCTACTTCATCACAGCTCATTATATGGTAGGTACACTTCGTGCAGAACAAACACCTACTTCATCACAGCTCACTGTATGGTAGGTACACTTCGTGCAGAACAAACACCTACTTCATCACAGCTCATTATATGGTAGGTACACTTCGTGCAGAACAAACACCTACTTCATCACAGCTCACTGTATGGTAGGTACACTTCGTGCAGAACAAACACCTACTTCATCACAGCTCATTATATGGTAGGTACACTTCGTGCAGAACAAACACCTACTTCATCACAGCTCATTATATGGTAGGTACACTTCGTGCAGAACAAACACCTACTTCATCACAGCTCATTATATGGTAGGTACACTTCGTGCAGAACAAACACCTACTTCATCACAGCTCATTATATGGTAGGTACACTTCGTGCAGAACAAACACCTACTTCATCACAGCTCATTATATGGTAGGTACACTTCGTGCAGAACAAACACCTACTTCATCACAGCTCACTATATGGTAGGTACACTTCGTGCAGAACAAACACCTACTTCATCACAGCTCATTATATGGTAGGTACACTTCGTGCAGAACAAACACCTACTTCATCACAGCTCATTATATGGTAGGTACACTTCGTGCAGAACAAACACCTACTTCATCACAGCTCATTATATGGTAGGTACACTTCGTGCAGAACAAACACCTACTTCATCACAGCTCACTGTATGGTAGGTACACTTCGTGCAGAACAAACACCTACTTCATCACAGCTCATTATATGGTAGGTACACTTCGTGCAGAACAAACACCTACTTCATCACAGCTCATTATATGGTAGGTACACTTCGTGCAGAACAAACACCTACTTCATCACAGCTCACTGTATGGTAGGTACACTTCGTGCAGAACAAACACCTACTTCATCACAGCTCATTATATGGTAGGTACACTTCGTGCAGAACAAACACCTACTTCATCACAGCTCATTATATGGTAGGTACACTTTGTGCAGAACAAACACCTACTTCATCACAGCTCACTGTATGGTAGGTACACTTCGTGCAGAACAAACACCTACTTCATCACAGCTCATTATATGGTAGGTACACTTCGTGCAGAACAAACACCTACTTCATCACAGCTCATTATATGGTAGGTACACTTCGTGCAGAACAAACACCTACTTCATCACAGCTCATTATATGGTAGGTACACTTCGTGCAGAACAAACACCTACTTCATCACAGCTCATTATATGGTAGGTACACTTCGTGCAGAACAAACACCTACTTCATCACAGCTCATTATATGGTAGGTACACTTCGTGCAGAACAAACACCTACTTCATCACAGCTCACTATATGGTAGGTACACTTCGTGCAGAACAAACACCTACTTCATCACAGCTCACTGTATGGTAGGTACACTTTGTGCAGAACAAACACCTACTTCATCACAGCTCACTGTATGGTAGGTACACTTCGTGCAGAACAAACACCTACTTCATCACAGCTCATTATATGGTAGGTACACTTCGTGCAGAACAAACACCTACTTCATCACAGCTCACTGTATGGTAGGTACACTTCGTGCAGAACAAACACCTACTTCATCACAGCTCACTGTATGGTAGGTACACTTCGTGCAGAACAAACACCTACTTCATCACAGCTCACTGTATGGTAGGTACACTTCGTGCAGAACAAACACCTACTTCATCACAGCTCACTATATGGTAGGTACACTTTGTGCAGAACAAACACCTACTTCATCACAGCTCATTATATGGTAGGTACACTTTGTGCAGAACAAACACCTACTTCATCACAGCTCATTATATGGTAGGTACACTTTGTGCAGAACAAACACCTACTTCATCACAGCTCATTATATGGTAGGTACACTTTGTGCAGAACAAACACCTACTTCATCACAGCTCATTATATGGTAGGTACACTTTGTGCAGAACAAACACCTACTTCATCACAGCTCACTGTATGGTAGGTACACTTTGTGCAGAACAAACACCTACTTCATCACAGCTCATTATATGGTAGGTACACTTTGTGCAGAACAAACACCTACTTCATCACAGCTCACTGTATGGTAGGTACACTTTGTGCAGAACAAACACCTACTTCATCACAGCTCATTATATGGTAGGTACACTTTGTGCAGAACAAACACCTACTTCATCACAGCTCATTATATGGTAGGTACACTTCGTGCAGAACAAACACCTACTTCATCACAGCTCACTGTATGGTAGGTACACTTCGTGCAGAACAAACACCTACTTCATCACAGCTCACTGTATGGTAGGTACACTTTGTGCAGAACAAACACCGACTTCATCACAGCTCATTATATGGTAGGTACACTTTGTGCAGAACAAACACCTACTTCATCACAGCTCACTGTATGGTAGGTACACTTCGTGCAGAACAAACACCTACTTCATCACAGCTCATTATATGGTAGGTACACTTCGTGCAGAACAAACACCTACTTCATCACAGCTCACTGTATGGTAGGTACACTTCGTGCAGAACAAACACCTACTTCATCACAGCTCATTATATGGTAGGTACACTTCGTGCAGAACAAACACCTACTTCATCACAGCTCATTATATGGTAGGTACACTTCGTGCAGAACAAACACCTTCTTCATCACAGCTCATTATATGGTAGGTACACTTCGTGCAGAACAAACACCTACTTCATCACAGCTCACTGTATGGTAGGTACACTTTGTGCAGAACAAACACCTACTTCATCACAGCTCACTGTATGGTAGGTACACTTTGTGCAGAACAAACACCTACTTCATCACAGCTCACTGTATGGTAGGTACACTTCGTGCAGAACAAACACCTACTTCATCACAGCTCACTGTATGGTAGGTACACTTTGTGCAGAACAAACACCTACTTCATCACAGCTCACTGTATGGTAGGTACACTTCGTGCAGAACAAACACCTACTTCATCACAGCTCACTGTATGGTAGGTACACTTTGTGCAGAACAAACACCTACTTCATCACAGCTCACTGTATGGTAGGTACACTTCGTGCAGAACAAACACCTACTTCATCACAGCTCACTGTATGGTAGGTACACTTTGTGCAGAACAAACACCTACTTCATCACAGCTCATTATATGGTAGGTACACTTCGTGCAGAACAAACACCTACTTCATCACAGCTCATTATATAGTAGGTACACTTCGTGCAGAACAAACACCTACTTCATCACAGCTCATTATATGGTAGGTACACTTCGTGCAGAACAAACACCTACTTCATCACAGCTCACTGTATGGTAGGTACACTTCGTGCAGAACAAACACCTACTTCATCACAGCTCACTGTATGGTAGGTACACTTCGTGCAGAACAAACACCTACTTCATCACAGCTCATTATATGGTAGGTACACTTCGTGCAGAAGAAACACCTACTTCATCACAGCTCATTATATGGTAGGTACACTTTGTGCAGAACAAACACCTACTTCATCACAGCTCACTGTATGGTAGGTACACTTCGTGCAGAACAAACACCTACTTCATCACAGCTCATTATATGGTAGGTACACTTTGTGCAGAACAAACACCTACTTCATCACAGCTCATTATATGGTAGGTACACTTCGTGCAGAACAAACACCTACTTCATCACAGCTCATTATATGGTAGGTACACTTTGTGCAGAACAAACACCTACTTCATCACAGCTCATTATATGGTAGGTACACTTCGTGCAGAACAAACACCTACTTCATCACAGCTCACTGTATGGTAGGTACACTTCGTGCAGAACAAACACCTACTTCATCACAGCTCATTATATGGTAGGTACACTTCGTGCAGAACAAACACCTACTTCATCACAGCTCACTGTATGGTAGGTACACTTCGTGCAGAACAAACACCTACTTCATCACAGCTCATTATATGGTAGGTACACTTCGTGCAGAACAAACACCTACTTCATCACAGCTCATTATATGGTAGGTACACTTCGTGCAGAACAAACACCTACTTCATCACAGCTCACTGTATGGTAGGTACACTTCGTGCAGAACAAACACCTACTTCATCACAGCTCATTATATGGTAGGTACACTTTGTGCAGAACAAACACCTACTTCATCACAGCTCATTATATGGTAGGTACACTTTGTGCAGAACAAACACCTACTTCATCACAGCTCACTGTATGGTAGGTACACTTCGTGCAGAACAAACACCTACTTCATCACAACTCACTGTATGGTAGGTACACTTCGTGCAGAACAAACACCTACTTCATCACAACTTGAGAATGAATGGTTCATGTCTGTTTGGGCTTGTAGTCTGACATGCGACAGGCAATGGACAACATCTGCAACAACACGTGCCTGTTGATACGTATGGGCGGCCATTCGGTAAATTAATACAAAGTTGAAATAAAGTGGGTCTTTCTTTTCATATGACATCTTTTCGTACCATTTGACTATTATATTGCATACTTTTGACCCTTATTTCAACTTTGTATTTTTTAACTGACGTCTGTTTGTTTTGTGTTTTGGCCTTAATTAGTAGCATTTTATACTTTATTCGTAACATTTGACTATTATTGCGTACTTTTGTCCTTTATTTCATATTAGTATTTTTTTACCGAATGGCCGCCCATAGATACCGTAATACGTGCCAGGGGCATACCACCATTCATTAATGAATTTCCTATGGGCAGTTCTTTGTTTATGTTCTTTTGAGTGGTTACATGTCCTCAGGTCTAAAACTTGCCTACTTATAAATATGTAATTTTTGCTGAGAATTTCTATCCTTAGATACAGATTCATTTGTTTACATTCACAGCCTGCATTGAGATGAAATGTTTTTGATCAGCAACCGTCACTCTGACTTGTTCATCCGTGAACTTGCCGTAAGAGGCGACTAACAGGATCAGGTGGTCAGACTCGCTGACTTGTTCTGTGCATGTCATCATATCCCAATTGCGTGGATCGATGCTCATGATGTAAATCACTGGATTGTCTGTTCCAGACTTGATTATTTACAGACCACCTTCATATAGCTGGAATATTACTAAGTGCGGCGTTAAACAACAAACAAACAAAGCTTTAATACAGGCACTGTTGCTATTACAAGATGAGTAGGTTGTAGTTAACAGTAACTGACTGTATTGACTTCCAGTTGATTGCAACAGTTTCTGTAAACTGGCAGTACACGTGTGTCCTCTATTGTAGAACCTGGAGCAGAGCTACAAGCAGGTTCTGGAGAACATGGCCGAACTGGAACGGAACCAGGATGCAGCAGAGACTCGCGGACGCATCAAGGCTCTGGAGCGGGACATTGAGGACAAGGCCAGGACATTAAAGGACAACACGGAGGAGATGAAATTTCTCCGATACCAGGTACTGTTGCTCTCATAGGTACTCCTACTCTCATAGGGATACTCTCTCATAGGTACTCTCTCATAGGTTCTCCTACTCTCATAGGGGTACTCTCTCATAGGTACTCTCTCATAGGTTCTCCTACTCTCATAGGGGTACTCTCTCATAGGTACTCTCTCATAGGTTCTCCTACTCTCATAGGGGTACTCTCTCATAGGTACTCTCTCATAGGTTCTCCTACTCTCATAGGGATACTCTCTCATAGGTACTCCTACTCTCATAGGGGTACTCTCTCATAGGTACGCCTACTCTCATAGGGGTACTCTCTCATAGGTACTCCTACTCTCATAGGGGTACTCTCTCATAGGTACTCCTACTCTCATAGGTTCTCCTACTCTCATAGGGGTACTCTCTCATAGGTACTCCTACTGTCATAGGGGTACTCTCTCATAGGTTCTCCTACTCTCATAGGGGTACTCTCTCATAGGTACTCCTACTCTCATAAGGGTACTCTCTCATTGGGGTACTCTCTCATAGGTTCTCCTACTCTCATAGGGGTACTCTCTCATAGGTTCTACTCTCATAGGTTCTCCCACTCTCATAGGGGTACTCTCTCATAGGTACTCCTACTCTCATAAGGGGTACTCTCTCATAGGTACTCCTACTCTCATAGGGGTACTCTCTCATAGGTTCTCCTACTCTCATAGGGGTACTCTCTCATAGGTACTCCTACTCTCATAGGTTCTCCTACTCTCATAGGGGTACTCTCTCATAGGTTCTCCTACTCTCTCACATGTATAATGGCGGTCAGGTAGCCTTGTGGTTAAAGCGTTCGCTCATCACACCGATTCCCCACATTGGTACAATGTGTGAAGCCCATTTCTGGTGTCCCCCACCCTGATATTGCTGGAATATTGCTAAAGCGGCTCAAAACAATACTCACTCACTCACTCATATGTACTCCCTGCTCTCATAGGGGTACTCCCTCAAAGGGGTACTCTCTCATAGTTACTCCTACTCTCATAGGGGTACTCTCTCATAGGGGTACTCACTCATAGGGGTACTCTCTCATAGGGGTACTCGCTTATAGTTATTCCTACTCTCATAGGGGTACTCCTACTCTCAAAGGGTTACTCTCTCATAGTTACTCCTACTCTCATAGGGGTACTCTCTCATAGGGGTACTCTCTCATAGGTACTCCTACTCTCATAGGGGTACTCTCTCATAGGTACTCCTACTCTCATAGGGGTACTTTCTCACAGGTACCGCTGCTCTCATGGGTACTCCAGTTAAAGTATAGGTCTCAGGAAATGAATCATGTTTCATTTCTTGTCAGATCATGCACTTTACTGAAGCATATAAAGTGTCGGCTCTTTGTCGGGACAAGGCAAAATTAAAATCGTTTATCATGATCAGCTCAGAGAAACAGTTACCACAACTCACACACTGATGAGTTCGAACCCATGTCGAATATGTCGAGGTAGATCACCTAAAGATCTGTGGTGTGTTAGAAGACGGCAAAAGTTTTGGTGGAAGAACTCTAACTGAATGTTGTGTTGCAGATCCAGAGTGCTCAGAGCGACATGGGAACCTTGAGCCAGCAGAAGACCAGGGCGGAGGCCATGCTCAAGTCCCAGCAGGAGCGGGCCAGCCAGAAGGAGACCCAGCTGTTCACCCAGTGCAGCAGACTACAGCAGCAGGTAGGTGGCGGTGGAACACTGCAGGTGAAGACTTTATTTGAGGAACACGGTGCAGTTGTAGACTTTATTTGAGGAACACGGTGCAGTGGTAGACTTTCTTTGTGGAACACTGTGCAGTGGTAGACTTTATTTGTGGAACACAGTGCAGTGGTAGACTTTATTTGTGGAACAAGGTGCAGTGGAAGACTTTATTTGAGGAACATCGTGCAGTGGTAGACTTTATTTGTGGAACACTGCAGTGGTAGACTTTATTTGTGGAACACTGTGCAGTGATAGACTTTATTTGTGGAACACAGCAGTTGTAGACTTTGTTTGAGGAACACGGTGCAGTGGTAGACTTTATTTGAGGAACACTGTGCAGTGGTAGACTTTTTTTGAGGAACACGGTGCAGTGATAGACTTTAATTGAGGAACACGGTGCAGTGGTAGACTTTATTTGAGGAACACGGTGCAGTGGTAGACTTTATTGTGGAACACAGTGCAGGTGAAGACTTTATTTGTGGAACACGGTGCAGTTGTAGACTTTATTTGAGGAACACGGTGCAGTGATATACTTTATTTGAGGAACACGGTGCAGTGGTAGACTTTAATTGAGGAACACGGTGCAGTGGTAGACTTTAATTGAGGAACACGGTGCAGTGATAGACTTTATTTGAGGAACACGGTGCAGTGGTAGACTTTAATTGAGGAACACTGTGCAGTGGTAGACTTTATTTGTGGAACACTGTGCAGTGTTAGACTTTATTTGAGGAACACGGTGTAGTGGTAGACTTGTTTTGTGGAACACGGTGCAGTGGTAGACTTTATTTGAGGAACACAGCAGTGGTAGACTTTATTTGTGGAACACGGTGCAGTGGTAGACTTTATTTGAGGAACACTGTGCAGTGGTAGACTTTATTTGTGGAACACGGTGCAGTGGTAGACTTTATTTGTTGAACACAGCAGTGGTAGACTTTGTTTGAGGAACATGGTGCAGTGGTAGACTTTATTTGTGGAACACTGCAGTGGTAGACTTTATTTGTGGAACACTGCAGTGGTAGACTTTATTTGTGGAACACAGCAGTTGTAGACTTTATTTGAGGAACAAGGTGCAGTGGTAGACTATATAAGTGGAACACTGCAGGTGTAGACTTTATTTGTGGAACACTGCAGTGGTAGACTTTATTTGTGGAACACTGTGCAGGTGTAGATTTTATTTGTGGAACACTGTGCAGTGGTAGACTTTATTTGTGGAACACTGCAGTGGTAGACTTTATTTGAGGAACACTGTGCAGTGGTAGACTTTATTTGTGGAACACAGCAGTTGTAGACTTTATTTGAGGAACACGGTGCAGTGGTAGACTATATAAGTGGAACACTGCAGGTGTAGACTTTATTTGTGGAACACTGCAGGTGTAGACTTTATTTGTGGAACAAGGTGCAGTGGAAGACTTTATTTGTGGAACATGGTGCAGTGGTAGACTTTATTTGTGGAACACGGTGCAGGTGTAGACTTTATTTGTGGAACACTGCATGTGTAGATTTTATTTGTCGAACACTGCAGGTGTAGACTTTATTTGTGGAACACTGCAGGTGTAGACTTTATTTGTGGAACACTGCAGTGGTAGACTTTAATTGTGGAACACTGCAGGTGTAGACTTTATTTGTGGAACACTGCAGTGGTAGACTTTATTTGTGGAACACTGCAGTGGTAGACTTTATTTGTTGAACACTGCAGGTGTAGACTTTATTTGTGGAACACTGTGCAGTTGTAGACTTTATTTGAGGAACACGGTGCAGGTGTAGACTTTATTTGAGGAACACTGCAGTGGTAGACTTTATTTGTGGAACACTGCAGTGGTAGACTTTATTTGAGGAACACTGCAGTGGTAGACTTTATTTGTGGAACACTGCAGTGGTAGACTTTATTTGTGGAACACTGCAGTGGTATACTTTATTTGAGGAACACTGCAGTGGTAGACTTTATTTGTGGAACACTGCAGTGGTAGACTTTATTTGAGGAACATGGTGCAGGTGTAGACTTTATTTGTGGAACACGGTGCAGTGGTAGACTTTATTTGTTGAACACTGCAGGTGTAGACTTTATTTGTGGAACACTGTGCAGTTGTAGACTTTATTTGTGGAACACTGCAGTGGTAGACTTTATTTGTTGAACACTGCAGGTGTAGACTTTATTTGAGGAACACGGTGCAGGTGTAGACTTTATTTGAGGAACACTGCAGTGGTAGACTTTATTTGTGGAACACTGCAGTGGTAGACTTTATTTGAGGAACACTGCAGTGGTAGACTTTATTTGTGGAACACTGCAGTGGTAGACTTTATTTGTGGAACACTGCAGTGGTAGACTTTATTTGAGGAACACTGCAGTGGTAGACTTTATTTGTTGAACACTGCAGTGGTAGACTTTATTTGAGGAACACTGCAGTGGTAGACTTTATTTGTGGAACACTGCACAGGTAGACTTTATTTGTGGAACACTGCAGTGGTAGACTTTATTTGAGGAACACTGCAGTGGTAGACTTTATTTGTGGAACACTGTGCAGTTGTAGACTTTATTTGAGGAACACCTGCACAGTGGTCAGTACTATGCTGGTTGTAAGAGGGGATTCCATGACTTCGGTGATTCAGTGTCATTGTACCTGAATGACTTGGACCGTTGCTCTCAATATCAATCACTGGATTGTCTGGGCCAGACTAGAATATATACAGGCCATCATATTGCTGGAACATTGCAGACTGAACAACTTGAATATTGCAAACACACATGCAATAACTGTTGTGGACCCGCAAAAACGTCTCATTGTTTTGTTATATTAGGAAGAAACAAGGCAGATTAAACATATGAAGCTGTTAACCGCATCAATTAGTGGAGGTTCCTTTAATCGGAGTCATCTGATTAGCTCATGTTTGGGGTAAATCTATTTTAGGTAATTCCTGTTCTTGTGGTATAAGTCAATACAGTAATTTATTGTACCTCTTTTAAGAATCTTACAATTCCATGGTTAATCCATACCATGTGACGAAACAATATATTTCAATGTAGAACCCAAATCATGTGACTGACATTGACCTTGAATATTGACTTGTCACATGATGAATATTGCCTGTTGTTTGCGAGAAAACAAGATGGAGTTAATAGTAATATTCCACAATTCACAGGATACTGTAATGAAACAGAGGACAGCTTAAAAGCTTGATAAACTTTAAAGTGCATTTCAGTATCTGAATGACATCATAAAAGCGATCCAATGCAAATATTAGTGGTGTAGAAGTGGTGTAGTCAGCTTATGGCTGCACCGATTGATCAAATCTTTGTATACACAGAACACTGACATCCTGCTCAGTGGCGATTGTTACACATCTTTGTAATCACAGGTTTATGTCTGTGTGTCTGGTTCATATTTTATCCATATGTTATTTTTATAAGTGTCAAAGACAAGGAGATTATTATACCCCCAAGTGTGTCATACTGACTTTACAAATCAAGTGTCAGAATTCTTGTATTTCCCGAGTGAGAGCATGGATAATACATGAATTCTTAAACAAGTTTCGTGAAATCAGTATGACACACATGTGAGTGTAATAATTTCTTGATAACCCCCTTTTTCCTAATCCTTTTGAGCTCCCCTTTAGAACAACGCACTGATCACCACCACTGTCGGAGAAAAACACAATTTGTTGAATGCTATGACGTTTCAATTTTGACATCATTCCGATCTTATGTCACAATAAGATTCAAATGACGTCAACAATGCTGTCCGAATGACGGAAACAATAACCTGGTGCTCAAGATGTGATATTTACACTCATACTCATACGATTTTTATGAACCCTATGGGCATGATGGGTAATACAAAGTGTTATCAGAATATGCACACGATAAGAGGCATAGAAAACACATCTGACCTTGTACCTTAACCTTGACAAGAAAGGTGAATCATTAATGTCATATCGAATGTTCAATTCATCATTGCATCTCTCCCATCTGCAGGTATACGGGCTCCTAACTGAAAATGAGAAACTGACGATGAGACTCTCTGCTCAAACAAACGTTGCCCGGGTGCAGCCGGTGATGCAGCAGATATCACAGGAGCCGACATCCATGCCTGTCATGTCGTACAAAGCTGGTGCGTTTCCATGGCAACGTGGTCCGAAGGATGTGAGTTTGTTGACAAATAGTGAAGTGGCGTCCTCCGATCTTAACTACAGCGATCCATGTTTGCTAAAAAGACAACTTTCGTCCGAGGAAGAGAAATACCTGTGCCATCATTGTTTGAGGACTGATTTCAAGGACGAGAAGAGTTTCAACCAACATATGCAAAGATGTGGTGATTAGTGCTTTCTCGCCGCCATTACTTCATGGGTTTGTATACACTGCATTCCTCAAAGAACGACCACAACAGACACCGAGCCGCAGTGCTGTAGCTACTATTAACCAATGAATCTAGCCATGGTTTGGTCTCGGCAATGGGAAAACCAGCCAGGTCACACTAATAGCTACATTCCCTGTGCATCATCTGCTAGAGTGGACATCTGCTCTCATCCTTCCTTAAATACAGGGCAGGCAGGCATCTGTAGGGTTTACTAAAAAAGTCAAGCACAGCTCATCTGTGAGTTCTGCTCACCCTCATTCAATTACTTGACTGAAAAAAGAAGTGAGTCACTGCTATGTCGTCATTAATATAGAGCATTTTAGGTCATTCGGTTTGTTTGAACTTTACATGAAATTCTTGTAGCAGTACAACGACAAAACACTTCTGAAATATGTCTGATTTGAAATGAAAGGTCTCTCTGTGTTAATATTTCAAATCTGAAAAGTATTGCAAACTTGTTCATAAGAGGTACATGTAAATAGCTTATATTTTAGTTTCGTTTCAAAAACATGTTTTTCTCATCCTTTTGAACCTGAACTCGAAATCAAGGTGCTTGCTGGGAAATGTCCGTGTCTGAATGCAGAATATTTCCTTCGGTCAACACCAATAGATGTCATGGGCGGATACAGAGGGAGGGTGCGGGGGTGCGCACCCCCCCTTTTTATTTTGAAAAAAATCTTTATTTCTGTATAAATTACCACCAAAGACAATAAATAGATCTTAATTGTGCACCCCCCCTTTTCAAAAAAGCTGTATCCGCCCATGGACGTCCACCATCCCATCCTACTTCAGGTGTTATTTGGTATGGGCAGCTATTCAGTCCAAAAACACATAGTTGAAATAAAGGACAAAAGTACGCAATAATAGTCAAATGTAATAAATAAGAAATGAATGTTACAAACAACAGTCATTATTTTCGTACAAATAACGACTACAAAATACAAAACAATACCAATGAACAACTATAACAATGAACAACTTGTTTTGTATTTTGTATTCATTATACGTATGGAAATAATGATGTTTATTTAACATTCATTCTTTATTCATAATATATGACTATTATTGTGTACTTTTGTCCTTTATTTCAACTTTATATTTTTGGACCAAATGGCTGCCTATAATTTGGAAGAGCTGAAGAAAGAATATCCGCGACATTTGAGTGTAATGATTTTAGTATCACGCTGTTTTGTTTATCAGATTGATCCTCCAGGTATTGGGAGATGATATTGTCAGCTTATTCTGTGGTGATTATGTTCAAGATTATGTTTCTTATTGGAATACTAGAATAAGCAGATATATCTCTCAGGTTTTCAGTTACTTTAGGCAGAAGGTGTAAACAAACTGTTGTATTGTTCTTATTCTTATTATAGACGACCGCCTCCGTGGTCTAGTGGTAGAGTCCGCTTGGAGAGTGGATGGCACTTGTTACCCTGTGTGGCGCTCGGCATTAAGGGGCTAAAACAAGGACTGGTCGGCTCGGAGTCAGTATACTGTGTCTGAGTGTAGTATTCATGTTAAACTGCGGCATGGTATCTCAGTGGGCTAGCACAAAAATCGGCATCAGTCCGGACAAGTTCAAGCAGCCACCCGCACACACACAGACACACAGACACAGACACACACACAGACACAGACACAGACACACACAGACACACACAGACACACACACACACACACACACACACACACACACACACACACACACACGCACATCCCTTTATAAGTGTTATAATCTTGGATGCGACGCTAAACCCCATTTCACTTCACCTCTTATTATTGTGTTTATTGACAAATCTTATTGACAGTTTTGTCATATAGCCAATATGTGATGAAATGACAAGTAACTATTTAAAAAAACAAAACAATAACCTTTGACTGACTTTAGTTTGAGGCACACGGAATTGCACAGATTGCAATAAAAAAATGTTAAAAATTAAAAAAAATGAATTGCAGATTTCATAAAAGTTTCATTTAGACATATTTCAAACATAACTTCCACCCACATGGAACTGCAACATTTATTATTTGTAACCTGAAGGGTAAGTATGTATGTAAATGTTAGCGACCTCAAAGTGATATGGATTTCAAATCTTGATGTGTTGGTCAAGATCAATGGGGGCACGGGTGGCCCAGTCGTCTAAGGCGCTGTGATTTGCTGTGCAAAGTTGCATCCCTTGGGCAAGCCAGAAACCTATGATTGTGGGTGTGAATCCTACTTCGCCCCAATTATGTTTCTAGGTTTGTCAGCACCATACACCATACAGCTCGTGGGTTTCACCGAAGTGGTAAACGTCTGAGACCTGCATCACTCCGGGCTTTACTCCCACATTGACACGCCGAGATATAACTGGAATACTGTTAAAAGTGGCGTTAAACCCAACTCACTCACTCACTCAAGATCAATGACAAAGGTAAGCAACCTGCCAATAATGGATGTTCTTGTGGTGTAGTATGTTATGACTTATTGGGGTCAAGATCCTCTGGTTGCCATGTAAATATGAGAACCCAGTGTTTTCGTGGAATGTGTCACTGGTCTATCTCACCTTTTTTTCCAGATGTTGTCTTGTTTTAACAGGACTGTACAGCAATGAGCTTGAAATAATGCTACAATTGTCTATCAAAATGTTAACATGCTTTAATGAAAGGCATTTAACACCAGTAGGGATTTATCTAGATTTCAAACCTTGGGCCCTTGGCAAGAACATTTCGGAAAAAAGTTGTTATTTTTTTCAGTTCCTATTTTCTTAGAAATTCTTTTTACATTACATTCAATCATGTAAAACTAAGCATTAAAGACTCTCCCTCGTTATTGGTATTCACTGAAATACATGTCACCTTGACTAAGCCATCACATTCATGATAAGACACAACTATATTAAATTAGATACTATATTAATATGAATTGGGACCGTTTTATTCCAATTTAAGAATTTTACTGACATTTGCTGCAGACTTGGGGCCAAATATCGGACTCTGAACAGGTTTAGCTAAATCCCTGACCAGATACAAGTCATAAAACATGCTGGTCTTTGAAAGGCATTTAGAAGTGATACACATAAGGAAGAGAATTTATGGATGTCAACTTCTTATTTATGAGGAGCACAACGTTTCGGAGAACTTGCTTACTCCTTCATCATTCATCTGATGAAGGAGTAAGCATGTACTCTGAAACGTTGTGTTCCTCATAATAAGAAGTTGACATCCGTAAATTCTCCTCATTAAAAAAACAAGTACAGTTACATTTTGTGTCTTCAAAATGCTTTATGGAAACGACAGCTGTCCACATGAATGACTGAAGTCTACATTGTCATCAGTTCAATGTTTTATGTATGACAGTAACTGAGTTTGACATTTCACAAATGGAAGTGCCTTCTGTCTTTGTCCATCTTTATCATGTGTTTAGTCATGTGATCAGTCATGTGATAAGTCATGTGATCAGTATCATGTTCATTGACTGTGGTTGTAAGTCATTAAACTTTCATGAAGAAACCTTTGTCTGTGGAGCAATTTAAGATTGGTACCTGTACAAATGTGACCCAGTTAGTGGCCTAAATGATTTTGATTGATTTATTTCTAAAATGAGGAAACTTCCATTATCTTTTTCAATAGGTTAAATAGTCCTGATTTAATTATCTGATACATTTTCCTTATGCCAAGCTGGCTTGTAATCTGAAAGGTGTCTGTATTTTACTTCCTGTCACTCATATTGTCTTTTGTTATGTTATGTACAAGACAACACACATGGCTGCTTGGACATTCATATCAACATTGTCCTTATGTATTATACATACACATTGAACACTACATTATTGTTTGTCTTTAAAATAAAGGGGTCTTGACAAGATAAGTTATCTACTGCTGTGTGTTGACAACATTCATCGCTCAGCTGTTGAGAGTGGTTAAGGCATCTTGTTTTCGGTATTGGAAACGGATAACGATGAACGAAATGCATATACAGTTATTGCTTACACTTTATGTTAAAGTCAAATACAGCAATTATTACTTTGCAGTTTTTTTGTTACATACTAACTTTCCTGATTATTCAGTGTATTTTGTATCTATTACCCTTATATGTTTTCATCCATATCTGTCCATCTTCTTATCTAACCAACCAACTATTTTTTAACTTATCTCTAAATTTCTTGTTTTCCTTTTATCCAAAGCTCACACACATTTAGGTCAATTTCCTCCAAAATCTTGCTATCTCAGAGGTGCCATTACTGAAGTATCTCAGTGATGGATACCCGGGTGGAAAAGCACTTATTAATTATAATAAAAATTTCCATTTTTTCATGACCCTCCCCCAAAATATGTATTATTTTTTATGACCCTCCCCCAAAATGTGTATTATTTTTTATGACCCTCCCCTAGAGAATGTTATTTTTCGGGGGACCCTCACTTGATTCACTCTGACCCACCAAACCCTATAATAAATGACTGGTCCCTTAGGGGACACAACTCTGGGCATCAAGTTCAAAAACCTCTTGACTCTTGGACAATTTCTGAAACGCTGGTGAGTGAGTGAGTGAGTATGGTTTTACGCCGCTTTTAGCAATATTCCAGCAAAATCACGGCGGGGGACACCAGAAATGGGCTTCACACATTGTACCCATGTCGGGAATCGAACCCGGGTCTTCGGTGTGACGAGCCAACACTTTAACCACTAGGCTACCCGACCGACCCTGAAACAGTGGTAGTGAACATAGCCCTCAATGGCTGGTGGGAAGCCTTGTGGTTAAATCATGTGCTCGCTATGCCAGAGGTCCAGGTTCAATTCCAAGTGGGTACAATGTGTGAAGCCCCCCTTGTCTCCCATCCCCCTTGTCTCCCACCATTATATTGCCAGAGAATTGCTGTGTGCGGTGCAAAGCCCAACTTACTTTCTCACTTGTTTGTCAGTGATAATGAACCGGTTTTGAAATGGTTAACCAGCCAACATCTCATTGATATGACAGTCATTGCCAGGACAACGTACTGGTGCATAACAAGATTTGCACATTGCGTCAGCAAATGAGTTGTTAATTCAGTAATAATATCTATCAATCTTGCTAACATGTGTACAGTGTATTTGTACACAGAAATGTTGTGTTTTCATGGGTGTGTTTTCATGGGAGTGTTGTCTGACAAGTTGTGTGATCAGTATATGTTCTCTGATCTCAGGCCTCAATAGTCCCAGTTGATGTTCCTGCAGTGATGTCTGCAAGCAGTTACACAATATGGAGGACTGATATATGAAATAATAAACAAATTTAATGTGAACTACAATTGTTATTAATCTTTTTCTCGTTGCTGTGGGGGCGGTTGGATAGCCTAGTGGTTAAAGCGTTCGCTCGTCACGCCGAAGACCCGGGTTCGATTCCCGACATGGGTACAATGTGTGAAGCCCATTTCTGGGGTCCCCCGCCGTGATATTGCTGGAATATTGCTAAAAGCGGCGTAAAACCATACTCACTCACTCTCGTTGCTGTGACATTTATTAGGATTTTGGACTCTCCTGAATGATGGTGAACCAGGCGATAATGTGCCACAATGCGGACATGTTATGGCGATACTGAAGGAGATGGTAGCTAGGTTATTCTTGTCAGGCTGGTGTAAGTATGTTTGCTCTGACAGACCTAAGGAAATAACAATCTTTTCCACTCTCAATGAAACCCAAACTATGTTGATATACTCACACGCAAAAGGGCGGTCAGGTAGCCTAGTGGTTAAAGCGTTCGCTTGTCACACCGAAAACCCGGGTTCGATTCCCGACATGGGTACAATGTGTGAAGCCCATTTCTGGTGTCCCCCGCCGTGATATTGCTGGAATATTGCTAAAAGCGGCGTAAAGCCATACTCACTCACTTACACGCAAAAGAGAGGCAAGTGGATTTAAGCAAATAGGTAACAAACACGGAACCATAAATTGATACGAGTTTTAGCATGTAGTGAAGCCTGATGGTGTTATTAATATTTTTGGTTGCATTTTGGAAGACGAGTAAAAACCCAACATAAAAGACGAATCGCCAAAACGCACCATTTCAATGAATATGTGGGTATCATGCACCAATTTCTCGCGAAATCGAAAATGCACGAACTGTCATGAACTGTAGTGGGTATAAAACTGTGGCCGATTCTTGGACCTACCACTCCTTGGTCAACAATGCCACGCCTAACTCAAATTCAGAGAAACCAGGCTATCGGACGTTTGGAAGATTGAGAGTCTGTCCAAGATGCTGCCCGTCATTTCAACATTAACATAACCATAATTTACCGTCTCCTGCATCGATACAATGCTACACAGACCACAGATGACCTTCCTCGGAGCGGTCGTCCTAGGGTCACCACACCTCGACAAAATCGGCAGATTACCCGTCACCACCAGCGACATCCGTTCCTAACTGCAAGTGAAAGTGCTCGAAAGACCATAGGAACACATAACCGACACATTAGCCGGGACACTGTGATCCGAGGTCTCCGTTCCAACAACCTCAGATGTCGCCGACCA